AAACACAAAGTTTGCGTCAAGTGCAGGATTTCTGTAGAGCGAAACAGCCTGGTAATCTATGAATGGATCATTTGCCTATATATACCCTACAGAATTCCTCCCATCTGCTCTGCTAATGAACTCTGGAATTAAATGGCTAATTAATTTGTGCTTTTAAGCAGTTTCAAGTTCTAAAACATACGTCTTTAGGGGGATCTCAACACTGTAGAGATCATTAAAACATGAATAATAAAAGGCGGTAGTTTTTACTCAAGAATTATTCTTTCAGATATATTGCAAATAGTTTTCGTCTCTCATCCCTGCAGTTATAAACAAAACAAGCTGTTAAAAAACGATTAGCCGCCTTGTATCGTGATTCCTGATGTTCCCACATCTGTCTCAACGGGAACATCAGTCAACAGACAACCCACAATCCCAACACTCCCAACAAGAAGCACAGAGCACGACGATCAGAGCGTATTTATTAGGGGAATAATAAAGTCAAATTTATATTGACTTTTCTCTGACAATGGACGCATTAAAAGACCATTAGCTAAAGCAGAAGAAATCCATCGTCCACCCAGAGAGGACTATGCTAATTAGCTTCGGGAGCAGCAAACTGGTGCTAAATCACTGTTGAAGTTTAAACTCGCTGAGATTTGGGAATTTAATTTTTTTTAAACACCCCTGAAACAGTCCTGCATCTGGTGGAACAACATAATACTCATTATATAACAGTTAAGGTCTGCCGTATACAAGAGCCAAAACTGTAACTCATTCATCAACATCGAAAAGAAATTCTAATTTATTTTAATCTCCCGCTGCACTTGCATTCTGTCAAATGTAAAGTTAGATGGATTATGATTGGCTTGCTGTGATTTTGTTCTCATTTTCTAGTCTGATTGGTTGGGCAAAGTTTATAGGTATCTGAGGTAAAGACATCCATAAAACTTCTGTTTGTTTCAATTTTTAGGTAACATTCATTCATTCATTCATTCATTCATTTATTCATTTTCTTTTTGGCTTAATCCCTTTATTAATCTGGGATTGTCACAGGGGAATGAACCACCAACTTATCCAGCATATGTTTTATGCAGTGAAACATCCATACACTCTCATTCACACACATACACTAAGGACAATTTAGCTTACCCAATTCACCCATGCTGCATGTATTTGGACTTGTGGAGGAAACCTGAGCACCCGGAGGAAACCCATGTGAACACGGGGAGAACATGCAAACTCGACAGAAATGCCAACTGGCCCGGCCGAGGCTCAAAAAAGTGACCTTCTTGCTGTGAGGGGATCATGCTACCCACTGCGCCACTGTTGTGACCTTTTAGGTAACATTTCACAAGAAAAATAAAATATGTGAGCAAACTGCAAACTTAAACAGCACTCTTAATCTACTTCAAATGTTAAGTTCTGTAATCTTTAATTGATGAATGCAGATGCGGCAGATATGGTGGCTTTTCCTATATAATAGTGCATAATATCACATGAAAAATGGTGAATAGTCTTACTTTTCTAACAGTAAAAATTGCTGTTGTTGTTTATGTGTTTTACTTTGGTGCATTACAAATTAAACCAGACATTATTTTACAACATAATCAGTTGATTCTCTGAGAGCCAAAAAGAAGTATGCATGAACCCAAGTCATAAAAGAAACACATCATTAAAAGGGTTTCCATCCTAATGTGAAGTGAACCTTTTCAAAGTTTGCATAAAAAGATAAAAATCCCAAATGCAAATAAGGTGTTTCCATCAAGTTGTTAGAGTGGCCAACTGTAGTATTGGTAACCTAGTAACCAACAGTAAACAAGACATGCAAATAGATCACGTGAGTGCAATGTTCGCTATATTACAATTAATTCTGGAAATGTGTTTTAATGTCCCATTATTTGCATTAAATCTTCATTGCACAAGTCCGAAACCATCTCAAACAAGTGTAAAAATGTCAAATGTTTTGCGAATTATATGATAGTTTACCAAAAAATTTTAATTCTATCATCATTTACTCACACCTCACTTGCTCCAAACCTTTGTGTGTTGAACACAAAAGAAGACATTTTGAAAAAAGCTGAAAACCTGTAACCACTGACTCCATACTATTTTTTTTACTATGGAAGTTAATGTTGACAACTTTTCAGCTTTCTTCAAAATATTTTCATTTGTGTTCAGAAACTCGAGGAGGATGAGTAAACAGCAAGTAAATTTATTTATTTTTTGTGAACTATCCCTTTAACACAAGGTGATGGAATACCAGCTACTGTCCTGTAGGCCTATCCTGAAAACAGCACTCCTCTAGAACGGTTTACATCCAACACTAACTCTGAAATAATAAACCAACGCACCACAAGACTCAACAGGCTACAAACTGACTTTAATTTTTATCACTAGACTAAGCAGGGGAGAGTTTAAATCATAGTGTACTGCTGCTGTTTTAGCTTTTCCCACTCAAGAGCATCAGAAAAGAGCAGACAGAAACTGTGGATCTGCCCAAACACAAAGCAGCGGGATATCCCAGCATGCCTCTCCCGTGCGTTCCCACAATGCTGTTTATCTAAGAGCTCCCTGGAGACTCCTCGGATTAATACTATTCTTGTGTTTGCAGACTCCACACCTTCTATGTACTCTGTTAGACAGACGCTTTTTTTAAACCTTGCAAAATAAAATACAGTTTTATGGTAGTAAGTAGCAAAGCAAACTTTTGTTTTTCATCAGGGTGGTTGAAGATTCATCTTTTCCAAGTTTATTTTAATACACCACAATATTCACAAACATTTTTACATGTACAGTCAAGCCTAAAATTATTCATAGCTCTGGCAAGTTCTAACTTAAAGGTGCTGTAAGTTTTCGACTCTTCTAAAGCAAGAAAATACCATAATATGCTTGCAGATATTTAAGTAACATGCTAAGTCAACATCCTTGCCTGAAAAACAATGCTGAAATCAGACATTCTGCTTTGAAAATGTGCAGAACACAACTTAAATCAGCCTTCAGGCTCAACAGTCATGCACACTGCTGTTGGTGTCGTTAATCTGGCAACCTGCACTTGCGTGTTTTGAACCAGGTGTGCAATACCTACTTCAACCACTGAGTGTCAAACTTACATACCTCACCTTTAAAGTCACTTTTACTCAACCAGAAAGTTGTCTTTTGACTGGATAATGATACAGGTTTCTCCCAAAGATAATAAGACGATGATTTTCTCAGCTTTTATTCACATTTGAACAAACTTTTAAGTTAAAATTTGCCAGAATTATGAATTTTTTCTGGTTTGTATTACTGTACATGTAACACTTTTCCCCTAATTATGGATAAATAAGTCACTTTGTATTATACATGTACACATTGGAATGTGAAAATGAGGGTCAGTTATAGTTTTTTATTGATTACAAAGGAAAAAAATAAATAATATACATTAGAAAAAGCTGCAAATAAATTAAAGTTTAGCCTATTAAAATGAATAGCTATTATAAAGAAATTGATTCAAATCTCATTAGCTTTTTTTCACTATAATTTAAACATTTTGATTAAAGAGCAGTGTGAATGACTCATTTAGATTTTTCAATTGATTACATTAAATAACAGAAGCGTCACTTTAAAAATGCACAGATCTATAATGAAAGCGATTGCTTTCCTACATATTTAAATTTGAACATTTAAGACAATATTTGCTGTGTTAAAAAAAACACCAAAATTGACCTGTTTAGCTATTATTATTATTATTATTATTATGTGTACATGTCTGTTCAAACACGCAGCCAAAACCCATTGCGTGTACAGAATCTGCCTTTTTATCACTCTGAAAATGCGTCTGAGAGTCATGCACCGCTACATGAACTGACTGTTTTGAGGATTGCACAGCAGGGGCAATTGCGCCTATAATGAAAAGGAAGGAAATCCTGCCGTTTTTATATTTATTTCAAAGTGTTTTTAAGCCTAAATGAAATAAAAGTACAGAACAGATTCATGTTTAAGAGCAAGGGGTGTCCCCTGGTGGTTCGGCAGTATGGGTTGCGAATAGGGAGGATCGGCTCTTTGATGTTCATCGCCACCCTTCATAGAAAGATTAAAAATGTGGTAGAAAAACAGGAAAATACCTTTATGGGATGATAGCAGGATAGAATTGTAAAATAAGGGAGAATCCTGGGAAAAACGGGATTGGGAGTTGACAGGTATGCTTTGTATTTACTTTGCAATCTGATAATTTAAGCTACGGTAAGATTCTAATCTCATTTTTTATGTTTCAGACAGTTCCACAAAATAAGTTGTGATACTTTATGCTTTTAATTAACTTGCATAACAGACCAATACTTGAACAGATAAGTACAGAAGTTGCATTTGACAGATGTTGTGGCAATGGAGTATATGCACAGCTAATGTTTCTTCCCATATCAATAAACTTCTGGTGAATGGTTAATGTGACTTTTTTTCAATTTTATACAGCTCCTTTTACAGAATTGATGTTGCAATGTTATTAAAATATAATTGGTTAAATAGACTTCAGCATTCATTTAGTTGTTCAAGTGTAAAAAAGGGTGAAAATCCGTTTACACACAGGCGCCATCAGGATAAGCAGGCAAGCGCAGAAACTCCAATGAAAATACTGGAGTAAAAAAAAAATTCATATTTTAAAGACATGGTGCAGTATTTAATGCATTCTGAGACCCACTTTATATTGTATATTAATCAGGCAGTGAAGATCATTTAATTTAAACTTAAACATGCAGATTTTGTAACAGCATACAGTTTACCAGAAGCGTTTGACCCAGGTTACTAAAATAAATAAAAGTCCTTCTGCATATTTTAAAATTAAAATACTGTCTGACCCTCTTGCAAGAAAATAAAATCCTCTTTAAATATAATCGGACATGTTTGTCTCTTAATCAGTGATGAAACTTTAAAACTGCCCCAACACAGACAAAAAGCCAGCTTAACTCTCTATACTAGTTTATGTGTAAATGCTGAAACTGTACATGACACTTTATAGATTCATCAGAAATCAAGTACAGGCATAAAAATTTACCAGCATCTTTTATTTACAATAACAAATGCAAAACTCTTCCTTGCATATATATATTGCTCTTATATATCATTTGCATTTACTGCATAAGCCATTGCACAGACTCTTTTTGCAGGTAATTTCCATAATAAAAGTCTTATTTAATGCATAGAAAAAAGGGAGGAAACACACGCAAAACACATGCACACATCAAACACACACTACATACGTTATTACACTCCCATCTGTAATCAATTTTGGCAGAGTAAATGATGTAGTGCTAAAATTTTTATATTAACTTAAGGGGGTATAAATATGATTAAGGCCCAAACATAACGCACCCCACATGAAAATACATATTGTTTAAACTTAGAGTTTAAGATTAGAATGCTGCCATTCAGAAAACCATTTGGTTAATAGAAGCTCATTTAGAAACAAAGAAATAAGAGATAAACGTCCTATTTAATTCAATGTAAACTACAGTAAAGCTGTGCTAAACAGTTCACTCGAGCGAATTCAAGGCAAAATACATGTCATCAAAGCAGATTCATATTCTAACCAAACAAAATAAGCATAAGTTAGATATAAAGACTCATTCATTTTCATAATATATCACTTCATTTTCATGGAGGAGTTGTCGATGGATCAAGATCTACTGTAAATAAATACATGTGCCACAAAGTTGCAGAGAAAATATTCTACTACACATTAATCTTCAGTACCATTGTAGACTTATGTGAATGAGTCTGATGTGAGTGTGAGTCAGTACTAGAGTAAATAAGAGGTAAACCGAGGCACTTTTCAGTGCACGTGAGCAGCAGATCAGATCTATGCGGTGCTTTCCGAGGGTTGGATATCACCATTGCTGTCTTTAAGGACCGTTCTTCCAGTTTGTGTAGTGTCTTCATCTGGTCCAGTGTTGTCGTCTTCATTTTGCACTGAGTGTGGTCTGTAGAGAGGAGGGCTGGGAAGACATAAGAGGTTTGTTTAGAATCAGAAATTGAGCAGAAGGTATAGAGAATGTTAAAATCACACGTTCATCGCAAACCTGTCCATTGTGAGAGGTCAAATGTGCAAAATGGCATGCACAAAGTAGTAGCTTCAAAAATGTCACCAGCTATGTTTCCATAAAGCTATTTTTACGCACATTTTGGAAAATCATTCATTCATTTATTTTTTTCGGCTTAGTCCCTTTATTAATCTGTGGTCGCCACAGTGGAATGAACCGCCAACTTATCCAGCATATGTTTTACACAGCGGATGCCTTTCCAGCTGCAACCCATCACTGGGAAACACCCATACACTCTTTCACACACATACTGTACACTACGGTCAATTTTGCTTATCCAATTAATCTATAGTGCATGTCTTTGGACTTCGGGGGGTTTGGAGGGGGAAGCGGAGAACCCAGAGAAAACTTTCGCCAACACTGGGAGAACATGCAAACTCCACACAGAAATGCCTACTGACCCAGCCGAGGCTCGAACCAGTGACCTTCTTACTGTGAGGTGACATCGCTACCCACTGAGCCACTGGGCTGCCCATTTTGAAATATCGCATACAGTTTTTTAAATGTGCACGCCAACGTGCGCATACATTTTGAAAATGCATTGCATTGCATTTTGACTTCATCTTCTGAGGTGCAAGTAATTTAGTATATAAGAAAATAAATACCCCACCGCAACAAATTCCAATTTTCTTTTTGATATGTGGCACCACTTTTTCAGGAAACAATTTAGTTCCCTTTGACTTACTGAATGAAAACAATGCTTTATTCGCAAATGTTTTTTTAAAGATATTCCAGTTTTATGCATCTTTGTATGGAATCATAGCTACCGTTTGTGATAAAGTCCTGCTGAATGATTAATTTAAAGTGAAGAAATTGGTCCTCCAACCAAGTGTGTGCACACACATTATGAGTGAGCAGTGAGAGCACACACATAAACACTATGAGCACACAAGAGCAAGGACACCTCAGCTGGGTGTCGAAGACTAGAGAGTGTGAGGTTCATTCATTGCTCCCATCTTCAATTCCTGTTGGTACTAGGAATCGAACCTGCAACCTATGATTACAAACACCCCAACTATTAGGTCACAACTGCCCCCCAGTTAAACTCAATGTCTCAATATCCATGCAATATCCCTAAATCTCTGTGTACAGTAATTTTGGCTTACTGCGTTTTCCCTTCATCTATCTATCCTATCAAACAAGCAAAATTACTCAGTCCCTTTAGCTGTCCGTTTCTAATGACTACCTACAGTATAAAAGTAAAATCAAATGGTTTATAATGATAGGTTCACAATGTTCTTCAAGCTCAGTAACAGGTAATGTTGTTCAAGTCATCCAAGTCATTCCAATAGGAACATTCACTGTCTGGAGTATAACGCAAACGTACAGGGTCACCTAATATATAGCTTTAAGCTCCCAATATGGATCATTTAGCAACTAACATGTACCCTTTAGATACAAAACTGTACCTTTTGAATGGCTACTGTCCCACTGACTGCTGGGCTGCTACAGCTGAGAGTGTAAGCATAACATCCTCCAAACATCTGAATGATTGCATGTTGTTTTAGAACCAACAAGGAACATGTCTTACTTGGAGAATCAAGATAAGCAATTGGGTGTTAGTATGTGGTCACACATTAAATCTGTCGTTGTCATTGTTTTAAACTCCAAACCATGCTCAGGTGACAATATCAAGACATGCTTTTCTATTAGACAACACATCTCGATTTCATCTGAGGTTGTTGTGCACTTAAGGTTGAACAAAGCAGAACACATCATGCATTCAGAGAGAAACTTCTTGAGAGTATCAATCCTCAGCCTCGCTCAACCAAGGTCACCTGTTAATGATCCTTAATCACTGTCAGGCTTGTACAGATATTTCATGACCAAGTTGTCCACCTTCTTCTTCTGTTTCTTCACTTCTTTTTTGCTGGGGGGTCGTTCTTCAACAGGACTCTCCCGATCCCCATCGGAGGCTTTCTGATTTGTTGTCCTCTTCACACTGTTTGAGCTGCGGTATGAAACAGTTGATGCAGAGCTGGAAGATGATGATTCAGATTCTGACTTGGACGATCCGGATTCTTTCTTCCTGGAGTTTCTTGACCCTCTCTTATCTTTCCGTTTTGAATGCCTTCTAGAATGACCCTCATTGGAGGAGCTGTCAGATTCAGAGCGCCTGCTCTTCTTCTTGTTCTTCCTCCTGCTGCTCTTGGAGCTGAAGGAACTCATAGAACTTCCAGAACGTCCAGAATCTAAAGCAGAACGTGTAAGACCCAGATCTTTATCATCCTTATCTTGCAGCAAACTCTTAGTGCCCTTTCTATCTTCGTCCTCTCCTGCACCCCCACCTCCCTCCAACTCTTCATCTGAGTCCTCCAAGCTGCGACGTTTAAATTTAATTGGTTTGAAGCTCAGGACTTCATTGATAGCCTTTTCCAGATCGGGGTCCAGATAGTTGCGGTGACTCACAGGTTTAATATCAGAGGCATCCACTGGGCTCTCAGAGGAGCGCATCTGGGCAGGAGTAGACAGACTCCGTCCTTGAGAACGTGGACTGTATGCTGCCACGCTCACTGAGTCAACATCATCATCCTCATCAACATCATCATTATTCAAGCGAACTCCAAATTCACTAAGCCTGGTGCTGCGTGCCAGTGAGATTCGAGAGCCTACGCTTGTGCTTCCGGGACTACGGCTTCTAGAGCGTTGCCTATGACTGGTGCTCGCTGACCCATAATCGCTACGGCTGTCATCAATCCAAGAAGTACTACGCCGCAAGCTGAAGCTGCTCACCCCAGAGCGCGCATCTTCATCTTCGTCAATCCCACGCCGGGTAGAAGCTCGGCTTGGGGCCACTGAGGATACCATGGACTCCTTGTCAAATTCTGGACTACTCTTGGTCCAGCGACGATCAAGGCCCTTCCTGGCCCTAATAGCAGCCTCCGAGTAAGCCTGGGAGATCACCGAACCTCGGTCATCCAGGTCATCTCCAGGCCTGTCTGTGGATTTGGTTTTAGCTTTGCGCAGTGACAATCGGTCAGGCATCTCCGGCTGCTCCCGTAAGGCACTGAAAAGCGAAGTTTCATCCCCTGCACCTCCGTTCCAGTCCTTCTGATGTGCACGCTTCCTGTAGCTAAGCGAACTTATCACAGACACCGAACGGCTCTCATCTGAGTCTTTTTTAACATCCTCTTTCCCCTCCTTTCCTTCTTTTACATCTTTCACGTCTGCATTAGCAGAATTGGGGTGTCTAAGATGGACAGAAAACACGTTAAAAACAGCAGAACTGCAAATGATCTGTGAATATAACAGGATGATACCCATGACTGAGATAAACATGAATTGAAAGAACCAAGAGATTTGAGTGGTAAATTAGGAGCATATTTTACACCAACTCCAGGAATAAATGTAAAGCGATTAAACCCCTAATGGCCGTTACGTAACAGCTCCATACTAATACTACTGAGGATCAGAACAGTAGCAGCAGCTCTCAGTGCGAGTCGTGAATCTTAAGTCATCAAACACTGTCTTCAGCTTCTTATTACCTCTCCCAGATGGAGAAGACATGTATGTTTTGGCGGTTACTCTGGTGAACCACATCGATAGTGCCTAAATATTTTAATCCTGTAAATGTATCTACAAAACCAGTCATCTCAGCAAAGAAAAGGCAGGATCCTTTATTTATTCCTCAAGGTTTGCTAATTTTTTTAATTAAACTTTCTAATTGGTAATTCACAAAGAACTGTTTATTTTTATACTGCATTACTTTCCTGTTGTCGTTTGCATCTGATGTATGACATGATGTTCTGAAAATGCAATGGTCAAGTTAAAAGAAGTTCATAGTTAAAGGGTTAGTTTACACAAAAAAGAAAATTGTTCTAAATTGTTCACTTTCATATTGTTCCAATCTTATGAGACATTCGCTCATCTTTTAGTTTATTCAATTCACCTATAGCGCATGTCTTTGGACTGTGGGGAAAACCAAAGCACCCATGAGGAAAACCCACGCTAACTGGGGGGGAACATACAAACTCCTGTGAGGCGCCAGTGCTAACCACTGAGCCACCATGCTACCCTTTGCTCATCTTTGAAACACAAGTTAATATATTTAGATGAAATCTGAGAAATCTTTAATCCCCTATAGACTGCAATGACCCAAAACATTCAAAGTCCAGAAAAGGAGCCAAAAACATTCCATGTAACTTTAATAATTACTTAGGGCTGGTTGATATTGGGCAAAAAAAACGATCACTGATGTCTAAAGAGCGAGGAGGGATCCGGGGGTGAGAAGGGTGCACAACTTAATAAGAGAGACGCGCGATTTCTGGGAGATTATCACTCGTTTGCGGGCATTATGAGTCCCGAAAATGCATAGAGACTCATGGAACTTCTGGGAGACTTGAGATGTCTGAATATCACGTTATAACTATAGTGAGACGCAATTCAGCGGTACATCCTTCATAAACTCTCCGACGTGCACTGCTCTCTGCCTGGAGATCAGAGGAGCGCAGGACAGCGTGTGGCTGTGTGTGTGTGTCTGTGTCTGTGTGTGTGTGGTCACGTGATGTGCGTTTTCAGCAGACTGAGGGCTGTTCAGAAATGCCAGGTAAAACGGTGTGTATGTGGATAATTTTTGTTCTAAAATGCCATTTTAACACTAAAACTTATTAGTGTAAAGAAGGTCTGTGTGTGTATTTTTCGCAGGTGGGTTTGCGATGGGGGCGGGGCAATGGATCGCGATACCGGCCCAGCATCGTGTTGTCTATTGGCCATCGGCGATGGACAATGGCATCGTCTATCAGCCCAAACCTTTTTGATATCAATAATTGTTGAATATTTTTTTAAAGCAATACATTAAGAGTTTTTGTTATTTAACCACTTTATTTTACTTTACCAACATTACTAAAGCAACTAGTTTTAAAATGTCAATAATAATGATACAGTAAACCTCAAAGTTTGTAAACAAGGAAAGTAAATAACTATCGTTATTCAAATACATGCTAAACATTACAAATGGTTGAATGACTACATTACCCCCTTTGCTTAAAAATCTTTCAGATGGTGAGCTACTGTAGTGGCTGAGATGCACATGAAAAGAAACCAAAAAGCCATTTTGGCGTTGTCCTTACATCCTTTTTTAAAATTTTTTCCCATGTGTTGTTATTCTGACCTGAAGTGACAAGCGCGAAAGCGTACTTTCCTTCACCATTGTCTATGAAGTCTCTTGTGACTAGGTGACCATCAAGTGTTTTCTCAGGGGATGACAAACAGACAAACCACTGCTGCAGCTCCGATGCAAGGTTATGGAGAAAAGTAAAAAGCACTGCACTGTTTGGATGTGCTGTGTTTGTCTGAATTAGTTAGTCTACCGTTATTACTGAAATGTGTATACTTCATACAAAGTGTGAAGCAAATTAGTTAGTTCTACTTACATGAATCACGGTGCGCTTGCGGCATTCAGAAAAGTTCAGATGTTTTTTTTAACTAGGTATACCTGGAAAATGCGCATCATGTGTGTGTTGCTTGCACATCATGTGCGCGTCATGCAAATCGTGACAAACTTATACCCTAAGCGTATTGGTATTCCTTCCAAGGCATGCGCTCAGCAGCCAAAATTTTAATAAAACTATAGCCTTCATACCTGAACATCATACCAAACTTTTGTTATCGTTATTGACAATGGTGTTTGGTCAATAAATATCAATACCGATTAATATTTACAGCCCAGCCCTTGTTCAACTAATCATACAAAGCTTCAAAAACACTTATCTGCACCAAAAAAACTTTCGTATTGTTTGGTAATGTGTTTCACATCAATTCAAAGTACACGTTTACTAAAGCCTGGTTTATACTTCAACGTCGACCCACAGCGCATGCATGTTTGTGTTGTTCTGCAATAACACTTCTGAAACGCTAGCTAGCAGTAGGTTTTTATGTTCCACTGTGTCAAGTTTATTCGCTGGTGTTTTGATTTTACTGAACGCTACCTTAATGTACAAGTAGCTCAAACTCACTAATTTTGAGGCGGTAACCAGCGCACATGCAACAACTTTAATCATAAGGTAAACACAGTTTCCATTTAGAGCTGCTTCACAGGACTCGACACTCGTGAACACTCGCTCCATCTGACTCGTGGCTCGTATTCCCTCTCACACTCATCAGCGCTACCAGCAACCAATCACAAAGCTTGCACTTCATATCGTTGCAACGTGTAGTTAAATTTTTAGAGGGATTCGCGTCAGAAAAATGGCAAGGGCTATGCGACGATGCACAGGCTGCACCGGAGCATATGTGTGCGCTTGACGCAGAAGTATAAATCAGCTTTAAGCAGGATGTGACACTTTCATGATGTGCTCTTGACTCTAATGGCAATACATTGTATTACCTATAGTAAACACCCACCATGATTCAATTCAATTCAATTCAGCTTTATTTGTATAGCGCTTTTACAATGTAGATTGTGTCAAAGCAGCTTCACATAAGTGGTCATAGTAACTGGATCAGGGTAGTTCACATGATGACCTCACAAAAAAGAGAAAACACTGACCAACAAAGTTTTTGGTTCCTTTTCTGGACTTTTCCTGAACATTTCATGACAGTTGATGATAAGGAGCTTTTAGATTTCATCTAAAATGTCTTGTGTTCTTGTCTCAAGGGATGGAAACAACATTTTAGGTGAACTTACCCTTTAAAGAAAAGAGTTCCTTCATGGTCTAGTCTGTAGTTCTCTAGGCCTTATAAAATAATCCCAATCTTTAAAATAAAACTAATGAGCTTTCACACTGACCTGGTGGTTTTCTGTGGGCCGTCATCTGAGAGCGTCTTGGTGGATCCTTTGCTCTTTGAAAGCAATGACTTTACCCCATCCACCCGGTCCTCCACCTCAGAGTCCATATCTGATTCATCTCCACTGCCAACAACAGAAGCTCAATCAGATACAGCAGCTGACATTAAGGTCATTTTTTTGGCCGGTCAAGACAAACGAGAGTTATGATGCTTCAGTCAGTCGTTAGTGCCTCAAGAACAAGTGGTTTCAATAAAAATAAATCTGAGAAGGGAAATGATTTCACTCCCTTTCCAGAACAAATGGCTCTATTTTTTGACACTGGCAGAAAAAGAAAAAAACCCTTCATATATTTTGATGTCACATCTCTTACTGCTATCTCTCTGTGAAGATGTGCGGATGCAGTTGCACATGTTATGAGCATTTGCAGATACTATTAGAGCATATATAAGAATTAGATTATAAAATTACGCTCAAAAGCTTACACATATATTTAAAATACAGTTGAAGTCAAAATTAGCCCTCTTGTCATTTGTTTAATTAAATTTTTATATTTCAAATATTTTCTAAATGATGTTTAACAGAGCAAGGAATTTTTATCAGTATTTCCTGTAATATTTTTTCTTCTGGAGAAAGTTTTATTTGTTTTATTTCAGCTACAATAAAAGCAGTTTTTAATTTTTCTAAACCTTTTAAAGGTCTATAATATTAGTCTCCTTAAGCAGTTTTTTTTGATTGTCTACAGAACAAACAATCATTATACAATAGCTTGCCTAATTACCCTAACTCGCCTAATTTACCTAGCTAAGCCTTTAAATGTCACTTTAAGCTGAATACTAGCATCTATCTAGTAAATATCTTATAAATAAATATATATATATATATATATATATATATATATATATATATATATATATATATATATATATATATATATATATATATATATATATATATTGCACAAACACACAAGCAATTCAGTGGTTTTAGGCTTCAGCTGCTTTCAACTTATCAACACACAATTTAAAGATTAAGCACACACACAGCTCACCCTGAGACTCTAATCGACTGTGACAATCTGCTTCTATTGGTTGCATATTGCAGTTCCACCCAATTACAGCAAATCAACCAAATGCTGCAGATTCCCCTCTTCCCGAGTCCAAGACTTTACACTTGCACAACAACACAGATGAGCAAATAACAACGTGCTAAACAGCAGAAAAACGCACAAAGAATTCATAGAGTGCCTGGAATACTAGAATTTACTCTGGAAGTGCTTTCCTTCAGATTTTCAAAACACACAGAATAACAGTTTAATTCGCCCAGTGGGATTCACGGTGTGTTGGCTGGTTTGGTTGGATTAAAACAAACACGGGCGTGATTACACTGTTGTCTGGTTTATTTAAATAAGGATGAACGCTGCCATCCGAAACTTGGTGCACACCAAGAGCCCTTAAGAGCGTATACAATGAGAGCGTTCAGTCCAGCACATACTGTAGCACTGTGCAATTTTGTATCTATAAATTACGCTTTTAAATCTTTAAATGACAGTGTGAACTCTAATGCCAATACAAGATTTTGAGTCCGATTTGAAAGTTAATGGGCTCACTTACTCATGAACAGGGTGCGAGTTATACATTGACGATCGTGGGGGTCAGGTTTTTCGATTATGTTCGGTTATATGCCTCAGTGAACCAAATTTATAAATATTTAATTCAATTACATCTGATTTATCAAACTTGTTATTATGTTTTCAGTGTTTTTATGGATATTGAGTGGTTCTCTATGACATTTGTGATATTAAACAACAGTTTGCAGTTTGCAAATTAACAGTTTGCTTTCCTGCACCTATTAATGGATGACCATAAAAGACTGTATGTAATTTTCATTTTACTGTTAAACTTCAATCTGTGAGCAAGAGTATAATAAGAGCAAGAAGAGCAAGAACATTATAATATACAAACTATGCATCTAGTTTTATGCACGCCTATTTTTCAAGAAATATCCTTTGTGAACACTTAATTTGCCACAGCCATATGACCCTGCAGCCCAAGACTGTGTATACTAAAGCTAAGCTAGGCTGAGCCTGGTCAGTACCTGGATGGGAGACCACATGGAAAAACTAGGTTGCTGTTGCAAGTGGTGTTAGTGAGGCCAGCAGGGGGCGATCAACCTGCTGTCTGTGTGAGTCCTAATGCCTCAGTATAGTAAAGGGGACACCATACTGTCAGTAAGCGTCGTCTTTCAGATGAGACGTTAAACAGAGGTCCTGACTCTTTATGGTCATTAAAAATCTCATGACACTTCACGTAAAAGATTAGGGGTGTAACCTCACTGTCCTGGCCAAACTCCCCCTATTGACCCTTACCCATCATGGCCTCCCAATCATCCCCAACTATTACATTGGCTGTATCACTGTCTCTCCACTCCTTCATCAGCTAGCGTGTGGTGAGCGCACTGGCGTCGTTGTCCTGTGGCTGCTGACGCATCATCCAAGTGGATGTTGCACACTGGTGGTGGTGTGGAGAGACCCCCTTTATGATTGTGAAGTGCTTTGAGTGATAATGCACTATATAAATACACATTACAGTCAGTTGGTGCTCCTAAATTTGCAGGCTGAATTCATATTTTTTGGCGCAAACATGCATTCACAGTTGTATGAACCATTAGGGTTGATCAAACGTATATTTAAGTTATCTGTTATTTTCATTCATTCATTTTCTTCCCGGCTTAGTCCCTTTATTAATCCGGGGTCGCCACGGCGGAATGAACCGCCAACTTATCCAGCACATTTTCACGCAGCGGATGCCCTTCCAGCCGCAACCTATCTCTTGGAAACATTCATACACACCCATTCACACTCATACACTTCAGAAAATGTAGCTTACCCAATTCACCTATAGCATATGTCTTTGGACTGTGGGGGAAACCGGAGCACCCGGAGGAAACCCACGCGAACGCAGGGAAAACATGCAAACTCCACACAGAAATGCCAACTGACATAGCCGAGGCTTGAACTAGTGACCACTACCTACTGCGCCACTGCGGCGTCTTTATTATTTTAATTTTTAATTTTATTAAAGATACAGATCAGAGGAACTATTTCTTAACTATTAAAGAGCAGACAATCCCTCAACCCCTCATTCATTTATATTCCTTTGGTTTAGTCCCTTATTTATCAGGGGTTGCCACAGCGGATTAAACCACCAACTATTCCAGTATGTGTTTTATGCAGCAAATGCCCTTCCAGTTACAAACCAGCACTGGGAAACACCCATACACAATCTCACGCACAACGGGCAATTTTGTTTACCAATCTACTTTTAAATTTTTTGTTCATTCATTTTTTTTTTTTTTACATTTGATATTTTCTTGTTCTCAACTATTTACTAACTATTAAAGGGCAGACCCCCATACATCTTGTTTTGATGATCTTCAGGGAGATCAAGTGTTAATTAGGGAGTCCAGACCCCCCCAAACCCCCCTGTAATTCACACCCTGCTCATGAATTTATGAAAACCGCATCTCACAAAGAAAATCCTAAATCTAGCATGCAAAATATTCTGGATCAGTTAGCTGACTTGACCCCACATGGGGTCAGATGTAGACCCCACGAGGTAGATGACTAGCTACAGCAGATGAGAAAGCAAATCATTGGCTAACTGGATATGATGTCTTAGTGCTCAACAGAAACATCTGTGATTGGCCAGAATGGTTATCGATGCACTTGTTTCACTGTTTATACGACCAAGAGCATATGAAAGCCACAATTTTTTTATTTGTTGTTTTTATGAACGCTTAGATAATGTGTACAAGATTCCCAACACAAGTTCAAGATTCCCAACTTATTTCAGGGAATACAAGTTTCTCTGACTTTTCTAACATTTCCAATGTCAACTTTACAAATGTACATGTTTTAAAAATTATTTCATAACTATTGCACTTATGGAGAGTAATTTCTAGCTGATCTAATATTTTAGAATTGAGCATAACTAAAAAAATCTTACTGAACCTGCAGTAGGTAGTGCTGTGGATTACAGCAAGAATTTCGCTGGGTCGCTGGTTCGAACCTCGGCTCAGTTGGCGTTTCTGTGGCGAGTTTGCATGTTCTCCCTGCATTCGCGTGGTTTTCCTCCGGGTGCTCCGGTTTCCCCCACAGTCCAAAGACATGCGGTACTGGTGAATTGGGTAGGCTTAATTGTCCGTAGTGTATGAGTGTGTGTGTGTGTGAATGTGTGTGGACATTTCCCAGAGATGGGTTGCAGCTGGAAGGGCATCCGCTGTGTAAAAACTTGCTGGATAAGTTGGCGGTTCATTCCGCTGTGGCGACCCCGGATAAATAAAGGGACTAAGCCGACAAGAAAATGAATGAATGAATAACTTTGGATGTACAAATGTTTCTAATGAAAAGATGGCTGGTGTTAATGAAAAATCAGGTGAATGACACACAATGATGATGTTAAACATGTTAAACACACAGCACATGCTTATGAAGATGACAACAGAAAAATGCTGCTGCATTATCAAGTTCATTTTCACATGCTCGTACAATGAACAAAAACTCAAGCAGCAACAAAGACCATTTAGTGTTCTCACGTTTTGTTCTTTCTTTTCTGATACTTTGTCACCATGTCTTGTAAACTGCCAAAAATAAAACATACACAAAAATAAAGGAGAAAGGAGACAAAGAGTCAACAGCGGATTGATTTAAAAACTAAAATCTGGCAGGAAAAATGAAAAGCAAAAGAATTAAGACAATCCTCTATGTAAACAATCGTAGCATGCAGTGTTCATCCTGATCACCTACAGAGAGATGTTGCCATGTGAACAGTGACAGGATGCCAAACCTCATACCTGTTGATGAGGTCATCATCATCATCCGTCTCCATTTCGTCTTCCATAGCGGCCTGAAGGTCTCCAATCCTCTTAAAGGCCAACTTCAGATCCGCCTGTAAGCTCTGATTGGCTGCTTCCAGACTTTCGATATCCATCTCCTGTTAAAGGTCCAATCAATCAGTATTACGGAAAATGACCACAGTTTTTCTACATTACCTTACTAGAACTGGACATGGCTACTTAGGCAAGAACTACATCTATTTTCATGAACTATAAACAATATAGTGGAAATTTCTCTTTATTATAGATATTACAGCAAAAACAAGGGTCTACATCCAGTATCCAGCAGGTGGCGCTCTCTAACTCACCAGCTCGTGTTTTTTGCGACTGGCTTCTGCTTCTTTCTTTGACAGTTCAGTCATTTCCTCCTTTATATCCCGGATCTGCCTCTGCAATCGCTTGTTCTGATCCTTCTCCCGGTTTTCGCAGCCCACACGCTGGTCTCGTTCCTCCGTCATCTTCTCCAGGTTCTCCTTCAGCCGGGTTACAAGAGACTGGAGAGACGGAAAAGCCAAATATGAATGTTCATAACAAGACAGACTGGAACAGTACGGAAATTCACCAAATTTTTTGTGGCCACTAATGCCGTTGTTTTAGCCATAGATATATACAGTACACAGATGAAACATTGACAGATTTTTCTTTAAACGCCTATACTTAATCATACTCATTCGCATGCATGAATATCTCAAATCTATCTGCAAAAAGTCGATTATTTTCCTAAAAAAGGTTAGTTCACCCAAAATTGACCAATTAATTACCATCACGTTGCTTCAAACCACCAAGACCTTCGTTCATTTTTGGAACACAAATGCTCGCTCGTCCTCAATAGACAGCAATGGTCCAGAAAAGTCCAGAAAAATACCAAAAAACATCCTCCAAACAGTGTCCTAAGTTGTTAAATTGGAATATTATGAAGCTACTATAATAGCTTTGCGCGCTCGTAAAATAAAAATAACTTTATTTAATTCGTCGCCTCAGTGTGAGTATATTGTGCGCATTTAAGAGCACTGTACACTGATGCATACCAGGTACGTGCAGTCACCTGTCATCCTCCTCACCTGCCATCATAAGATTCATGCTAATAATAAAATAAATATTTTTTTAATGATTTGTGCTGTAAGTGCAATTTCTGTTCTGTCGCTTGTTATAGGCTGTCTGTAGCGTTCACCTTTTGGAAGGCATATATAATCACTATACAATTTAAATTCTTCCTTGGCCCAATATGTACCTGCTATGTGTGTAGAAAGAATGCTGATATATGAAACACAATGGGTAGTTGGCAAATATATCGGGTGCATATGCTTGTAAATCTGACCCTGAAAGAGTCTGTGCCTCACCAATCACAAACTTCAAGTCACTGATGTATACCCTCAGATGCCTGCATCTACCTGTGTCATCTTACATGACACAGGTAGAAACTGTTGAAAAAAGTAATTTTTGTTAGTTAATGCATTTGCTAACATGAACAAACAATGAACAATACATTTATTAGATTGTTTATTCATCTTTATTAACGTTAATAGAAATAATATTGGTTATAAGGTATAAAGGTTGACCTATGAATATTAATAAATTTTATACAAGAGTTGTTCTTCAAGAGTTGTGTCTTAGTAAATACATGAACTAATGAAACCTTATTGTAAAGTGTGACCATTTTGTGTTGACTTTGTCTTGACTGAATGAGTCAGGATCATTGGTGTCTATGGAGGATGAGAGAGCTCTCAGATTTCATAGATTTCTTAAATTTGTGTTCTGAAGACAAATTAATGATTGGAACTAGGGTTGGGCGATGTCGACCAATTTGGCATCATATGATGTCTAATGTAAAACATTGCCATGGCGATGGAATTGTTGTCATAGGCAGCAGTAAATAAAATGATTTATGAATTTATTATTATTAATAATTATTTAATTCATAACGAATTAATTATTTGTAGCCTACCGTTTCAACTACCTGGCCCGCATGGTCTTTGTTTTACCCATAAACAAATCATAAATAAATAAATACACACAAATTACCACCTGTCAATCACTTTTTCCACGGGAATCTGGCATGAACAGGTGATCTGTGTCGTTATAATGGCGTCCACAAGCTTGGTTGGTAAAAAAAAGGTCCACAACCAACAGAAACCCGCCAACAGTTTCTAAGATTTTCGCTAAATAACTAAGTACAAGCGTGAAAGATTGAATTAGTGTACTGACACTGTGACACGTTACCTAACAGATTCAAAAGACCAAGTAGTCGTTAAATAGAAACAAAATTAATTAAATCTCACGTTTAACTAATATAGTGAGATACAGGGCCGGAGTGGGACTCCTTTTCAGCCCTGGAGTTTCAAGCCTCAGACCGGCCCACCTCAGTTCACGACTGACTATATTAAAATAAGGTCATTTCCAATTCAGTTTCTAATTACACTATCACGTCTTTTTTTTGAGAAAACAGCTGCTTGAGAACTTCAAATGTTCAACAACCCTAACAGTATTATATGTCTTAACAATAAAAATGAAAAAAAAAAATTACTCAGAAGAGGATCAAACCTGGGTTGGTTGCGTCGTAACCTAACGTGCTAACCACTCGACCACAATAGCTGTACAGCGAAAACTGACTCATCTGAGTTATATCATCATTTACCTGCAGGCTGCATATTGCTCACGAGAAAAAGAGCAGAGCTGCTGTAAAATAATGAATAAGAAGACTGTGGTCAAGTAAATAAATACATTAATTAAAAAAGTGTGACTGCTGAGAGCAACAGATTCTGGAGCTAGAGACACCATCCAGCGGTATATCTTTGATAAACTGTCTGACGTGCACTGCTCTCTAGGGTTTTGTGCTCAAAGCACCCGCTGACTGCCTGGGGCTCAGACGTGCACATATGCTAGAGCGGCGCGCATGACAGAGTGTGTGTGTGAGTGCGTGCGTGCGTGCGTGCGTGCGTGCGTGTGTGTGTGTGTGTGTGTGTGTGTTTGTGTGTGTGTGTGTGTGTGGGTGGTCACGTGATGTGCGTTTTCAACGGTATAGCATGAACGAAGGGCTGTTCAGAAATGCTGGATAAAAAGCCAGTGTGGACGTGGGTCATTTTTGTTCTCAAATGTCATTTTAAAACTAGGCTGTAATAGGGTAAACAGGACCTAAGTGTGTAGTTTTTGCGAGCGGGTTTGCGACGGGGGCGAGCAGGTAGCTCTGCATCTATCAGCGATGGACAATGGCATCATCTATCGATCCAATCCTAATTGGAACAACATAAGGGTGAGAAATTAACACAACAACCTTCATTTTTTGGGTGAACTAACCCTTTAATAGAGCAGCACGGTGGCTCAGTTGTTAGCACTGTCGCCTAACAGCAAGAATTTTACTGGTTTGAGTCCCGACTAGGCCAGTTGGCATTTCTGTGTGGAGTTTGCATCTTTTCCCAGTGTTGGTATGGGTTTTCTCTAGGTGCCCTGGTTTCCCCCACAGTCCAAAAGACATGTGCAATAAGTGAATCAAATAAACTAAATTGGTGTGTTTCCCAGTATTGGGTTGCGGCTGGAAGGCCATCCGCTGTGTAAACATATGCTGGAACAGTTGGCAGTTTATTCTGCTGTGGCGACTCCTGATAAATAAGGGACTAAGCCGAAGGAAAATGAATGAATGAATAACCCTTTAATGAACCCAACAGGACAATATGCGAAACAGCTGCATATAATTCCAATAACAATGTTCACGATTGGCTAGTGTTCATTTCATGCCTCACCTCCAGGCGTTTGGTCTGGGTTCGCTCATATTCCAGTTTGGTCTCCAGTTCACGGATTTTGGCTTCCTGGCGGCTGACCAGTGATTTCTCCACCATAGACTGTTCCTGAAATTCAAGCTGCGACTGCAGAGAGTGAAGCTAAAACCCAAAAGAATAAACACACACAGAGGTCATCCAATGCTCTCACTGCATGAGCCCGAACAATCCACAAATCCTATATATGATGAATGATGGAATAGGGGAGGATATTTAACCCTTGATTACTGTTTAGATTGTCTTCCCTTTTGTTATGTTGGTGGCTGTTTTTGCTCATTGACTTCCATTCCAATGGCATTTTTTGCCATGACAGCGTACAATCATGCATTCTTGATTGTTGGTTGATTTCTGGCTTTTAAATGGAGTTCTATAGTTAATATGTAACTATGCTAATTTTGATATTCTCAGACATATCAAGATAAGTGCACAAAAGGTCTCTCTCAAACAAACATACACACACAAGCACACTATACTGAAGAAAATAAGCTTTTTTTATGCACTGCAATTGATGATCAAGAGCAAAAATTCAACATTTGACCTCCTCCCAACACAGACCAAACAAACCAGCAACAATCAAGAATACATGATTATATGGTGTCATGGCTTTGCAATAAAAAATGTGATTATAATAGAAGTCAATTGGGCAAAAACAGCCACCAACATAACAAAAGGGTATTCAATTTGCCTAGAGTGTATTGAACTTTTTAAAGCATTTTCCCAAAATATGTGTCAAAATAAAATGTCACCAAAGATCATTCTATTTTCTGAAACACAAAGAAAGTTGTAGCCAAATCAAGACTCAAGATCACCCCAGAGCTGAGATGGAAAAAGTACACAAATCCTTTACTCAAGTAGATGTTAAAAACAACTCTGATAAAAGTTAAAGTACTGACTACACTTCTGTATTCAAGTAAAAGTGAAGAAGTACGACCTTAAAAATGTACTTCAGTAAAAAGTACTCATTACTACTACACATTTTAGTTTTACTAGTTAGGTAAATATCTGGTCTCCCACATTTGACTGTTTTAGTACCAAATGTACAAATCTTTACGACCCCTCCGCCCCCCCAACCCCCCCCCCCCCCCCTCCCGCCCCCACACACTTTTTTTCACGGTATTAGATTGAAAGATCAGAGAAATCTCGTGCAGTGTGATGAACATAAGTGGACCAAAGACTGATTACCTTTTATTTTTACCTTCTATTTGTTAACTGGAACGTGTCTCTCTTGTTTACCTGTGATCTGATTGAGCAAAATGTGTCTTATAACTAGGGCCAGACGAAATCCATGGACGTTTTTTGATATTTCTGCGGAGAATTTGATAAAAATCTGTGGATTTCTGCGGAATTATTTTAGGAATATTATAACTAAAATCTTAATATGCGAAATAAAAAAGAACACCTTTTTAATGTTCATGTAATGTTTAAAAAGCAAATCCAATCAGATCCACTTTATTCGGTAAACAATTCAGGTCTCTCATATATCTAATAAAGACAGAAAATATTACTGTACAAACTGCATTGTACATAAATCAGATGAACATTTTTATATTACTCAATATTACTGTAATTAACTCAAGTAAATAAACAGAATCAATGATGGGCTAAAAATCTGCAGAATTCTGCGCAGGCAGATTCCATGTGGGCTTACTTATAGCCGAGTAAACAGGGTAACATCAGTCATGTTAAATTCACCGTCTCCCTCTGTAGTCACCCTTGACTTTCTCATATCAATCGTCATAAACTAGCATTCTTACGGCGCTTAATAGCCTTTGTTGAAAAAGCTGTGCACTGCAGCACGCAGGCGCAAAAAATAGACCAACTGCATTAAAAAGGCACTAAAATTGCGCAATGACCGGAAATAATTTAGATTGCGTCACCAAACACATGAAAATATAATTAACGAGACCAATTTAAAAATTTAAGGAGTGGAAAGTACAGACAATTGTGTAAAAATGTAAGGAGTAAAAGTAAAAAGTTGTTAGAAAAATAAGTAGTGAAGTAAAGTACTGATACCAGAAAAATCTACTTAAGTACAGTAACAAAGTATTTGTACTTGGTCACTTCCCATCGCTGCCCCTGAGTGAATGATAACATCCTCAACAGCACTCAAGGGTTAATGTTACTCACTAAAAACTTCAGCATAAATCAGTATGGGTTTTTCTAGGATGGTTAATTCTAGTTAGAGCAGTGTTCGCTTTTTATTGGATTTATAGAGGTTTTTCGTACCTTGTCCTGGATCTCTTGTTTTTCCTTCATGGCCTCCTCCACCTGAGTCTGCAGGTCACTGATTTGTGCCAGATCTCTCGTAGACTAAACACACACAGAAACATAACATATGGAGTTAATTGCAACTCTTAATTGTGCTGCAATTTCTGTGTGCTTTTAATTATTAAATTATAAAAAAATATTATTTAAGTGTGAAAATGACCAAAAACAGAAAAACAGCAATGTACAAAACAAATATGGCCTACAAAGAGTCATTGCAATAGATGTAAAAAAGAAAAAACTTTGTGTTTTAGGGCAAATTTAATGTTATGTATCAATTAAAAATATATATTTTTAAATAATTTTCTTATTAAAGTCTTTTCCATTCTCCAAAACTTAAATCTTTAATCTCTAATCTTTAGTCCTTCATTTATTTGATCAAAAATCTTTTTAAGATTACGTCTTATAATAGTGAGTTAAAAACAGATTTTCTTGCTTTTTAATAAATGTTCAAACAAGCAGAATTGATTTAAAATAGAAGGATTTTTTTTTACATTTCTTTACTGTGACTTTAGACCAGTTAATCATAAAAAAATATTTAGTTAGTTGACGTCTTGTCGTCATTCATCTTCATAACTCAAAATGATGTCTCTTTAGAAGACTTGGATTAAGCCACTCGATTTATAAGGATTTATTTATTTTTTAATCTCTATTTGAACATTCTCAAGTGTCTTAGCTAAACAGTAAGTAACATTTTATATACAGTTGAATTATTAGCCCTCCTGAATTATTAGCCCCCTGTATATATTTCTTTGTAAATAATATTTTACTAGATGTTTTTCAGAATACCAGTATTCAGTTTAAAGTGACATTTAAAGGCTTAACTAGGTTATTTAGGCAAGTTAGAGTAATTAGGCAAGTTATGCCTAGTTCAGACTGTGTGATTATAGCCCCGATTTTGGCTCGCCGACAGGTTTTGAGAAATCGCAGACAAATGCCTGAAATCACAGGCAAATCGCTGCTCGTGCACGTGAGTGACAATCACACAGTATGAACTATCAAAGACGCGATCTGAGAGAATCGCCGATGAGTCGCCGATGCCTGCGAGATATTTGGCGTGCTAAATATCTGGAGCTGTCGGCGATTCCAATCATACAGTGTGAATTGAGTTTTGACTGAAAATAACATCAGCGATCGCCTACAGCCAATGAGAGAGCAGCATTCACTTGCGTGTGTGTGTGTGTATACCTGCTGCAGGCCAGCGGGAGGCTGGGGGAGAAGTTAAAAGCGCTCTTTTTCGGTTTATTTGGACCCACGAAATGGAGGAAAAACTAGTGGAGGTTTGACAGGACTCAGGAGTACCCGTGTCTGTTTGACGTTTCATACAGAAAGAAATTCGTTTATTATCAACGTTGAGGAGAAATGGCTAATTCCCTTTAAACCCAGGTGAGCAAATATGTACATTTTCTACCCCATTAAAGGCTTCTTTCTCATTATGTAGTTAATAACAAAAAATAGCCTACTCTACGTGTTTTTGGCTGTGAGACGTAGTTTGGACGGCGATTCTTCCAATAGTAAAGTCATGCAATGTGAAAGTCCCTGTCGGCGATCCATCTTGCAGTGTAAACAAAGCAGCGACGAAACGCTAGCCCAGATAGTCATGCGTCATGTGACACGACTACTTTGAAAATCATGCAGTCTGAACTCGGCATTATTGTATAATGATGGTTTGTTCTGTAGGCAGTCGAAAACAAATATTGCTTAAAGGGGCTAATAATATTGACCTTAAAATGGTTTTTAAAAATGAAAAACTGTTTTTAATCTAGCTGAAATAAAACAAATAAGACTTTCTCCAGAAGAAAAAATATTCTAGAAAATACTGTGAAAATCTCCTTGCTACTAAACCTCATTTGGGAAATATATTGGAAAAAAAACTCACAGGAGGGCGAATAATTTTGACTTCAACTGTAAATAAAAGTGAACAGTGTATAAATTGACCTGAGCCACTGCAGCTTTGTGTTTCTTCATGAGTTCGTTCATGTCCTCCTGATCCTCCTCGAAGCGAGACTGCAGGTCATTCTTCTCTCTCTGCAGACGACTGAGCTGCTCCTCCAGCTGAAAGAGACACAACAGACCGCTTGAGTGAGCTACTTTCTGACATGTTTCCAGGATGACGAAACCTCCTGCAACCTGGCCATCTTGGCATCAGGCAGATTTCAGCTTATACTGTACTAGCTTATACCATAATACCATTCACAGATGATGTGACAAAACATACCAAAATACTGCAAAGATAAGACACACTTGTGACTAAATGTTGCACAGGTTAGTGTATACTGCATGAACTGTTTTTGTTTCTGTTCGCGTTGAGTTTTTGACTGTTTGGCGCCATCTTGTGACTGAATAATCTGCAGGTTAGTGTATACTCCTTCAGCTGTTTTTGTTTCTGTTTGCTTTGCGTTTTTGACTGTTTGGTGCCATCTTGTGACTGAATAATCTGCAGGTTAGTGTATACTCCTTCAGCTGTTTTTGTTTCTGTTTGCTTTGCGTTTTTGACTGTTTGGCGCCATCTTGTGACTGAATAATCTGCAGGTTAGTGTATACTCCATCAGCTGTTTTTTTTTTGTTAGCTTTGTGTTGTTGACTGTTTGGTGCCGTCTTGGGACTGAATAATGCACAGGTTAGTGTGCAGGTTAGTGTATACTCCATCAGCTGTTTTTGTTTTTTTCAGCTTTGCGTTTTTGACTGTTTGGTGCCATCTTGTGACTAAATACTGCACAGGTTAGTATATACTCCATCAGCTGTTTTAGTTTTTGTCCGCTTTGCATTTTTGACTGTTTGGCGCCATCTTGGGACTGAATAATGTGCAGGTTAGTGTATACTCCATCAGCTGATTTTTTTTTTCTGTTCGCTTTGTGTTTTTGACTGTTTAGCACCATCTTGCGACGGAATAATGCACAGGTTAGTGTGCAGGTTAGTGTATATTCCATCAGCTGTTTTTTTTCTGTTCGCTTTGCGTTTTTGACTGTTTGGCGCCATCTTGTGACTGAATAATCTGCAGGTTAGTGTATACTCCTTCAGCTGTTTTTGTTTCTGTTCGCTTTGCGTTTTTGACTGTTTGGCGCAATCTTGTGACTGAATAATCTGCAGGTTAGTGTATACTCCATCAGCTGTTTGTGTTTTGTTCGCTTTGCCTTTTTGACTGTTTGACGCCATCTTGTGACTGAATAATGTGCAGGTTAGTGTATACTCCATCAGCTGTTTTTGGTTCTGTTCTCTTTGCATTTTTGGCTGTTTGGTGCCATCGTGTGACTGAATAATGCGCAGGTTATTGTATACTCTATCAGCTGTTTTCATTTCTGTCCGCTTAACTTTTAGTTAAATAATTAATGAACCATTATGGCTCAGAACAATGTTTTGTGTCTAATTGTTATGTTTTGTAGCAAGTAGCTGTGTAATAAGCAGGATAAAGTACATCAAGGATGGTTGTTTTTACTAAAATAAAGCTCTTCAGTCTTATAGACAACAGTACTCTGCTTCATGTTGGGCTGCCAATAAACCTGTCAGGCTTTATTCTTTGCTAACAACCTCTGGGATGTACTTTATCCACAAGATATCTGATAGTTGCACTTTTTTATTTGTCTTGATTTTTATTTCTCTCTTTAAACCTTTCAGAACAGGATGACTAATAAAAATGTTATAAAACAACAGGACACTTCCCAAAATACAGGCTTGTAGCAGCACTGCAGTGCTTTAACAGCTTTGTTTCTGCCACTTTAGAGTAAGAGCCAGAGTGGGACTAAAACACTGTCATTACACACAGTAATTGCATATTCCTGCCTGAAGCAGTGACGAGAAGATTATACCCTTGAACTCTACTATTTGACATCCTCTCCTCTTCCTGATAAATAAATAAATCAAACGCACACTCCCAACTGATCTACTAGATTCAGAGTAATGTATAATCCTAAATGTACGGTGGCCGAGAGAGCTCAAATCGCTGCAAATTAAAAAAAAAACATTGACAAAATAAGAAATTGAATTGACAGCATATTGAAAATTCTCAAAATGCAAACACAATTAGAAAATGCACTGTAAATCCTCCCAACACATGCACATTAAGAAGCATGCTGCAAATATCACGGACCACAACGGAAATGTTTCAAGAGAATGTTTAATTGATTACACAATTCGTTTGTCTTTTGCATATTAGTCAAAATCAGGCCACTGTATAAAAGAGAGGAAGTTTGTTGTCAAATGTATTAATGATCAAGAAGAGTAAGTCTGTTTTCATTTTATCTCAGGGAGATGACAATAACAGCCAATCAGAACATATTTGATGTTTAAAAGGTTAGGCCGAGCTGGATGTGGACCAATGAGATTTCACTATGGGTGGAGCCAGAAGCAGCAGAAATAAATATCAACTGCTGTCAGAACTTGTTGTCAGCTGTCACAGTCACAGTCGGTTAAAAAAACGCAGATTAACATGGAAGAGACAGGATTTAGTGCTTTATCGTGTCATGCTTGGTTAGGATACCATGATTCAGGGATCCTTTATCTGACTCTGAGGGTTTAGACAGTTGTCTCTATGGAATATTTACTTGAAATGGTTTTTCCATCAGCCTGAGCAGGGATATGACTGAGCTCCTGATTTTTTTTTTATTTGAAGCATTTTGAATGAGTCAAGTAAAAATATTTATTCTGCTCAGTTTGAGTAATAAAATAAATTTTGTGCAAAAAAACTATATTTCTCCTCACAAAAGCTCTGAAGTATTTAGTAAAAACATATTTTAAAGGAAAAAGTGATAATTTTCTCATATATAATGATTCTCCAGTGAACTAATGCTATTTTATTCCTATTTTCTTTTAAATATATTTTAAGAGGAGGTTTTAGTTTTCATTTTTACATTTTCTGCTTTTATTTTATGATATAATAAAAAAAAAAAAATAAATATATATATATATATAGTTGTCTGCCATTTTATTAGTGTTTTTTAAAGATGTTTAGTTTTAGGTATTTTAGTACTTTACTTTACAGAACAGGGTTAAAACTTTTATGAAAAAGACAAAAAAAACAATAAAACTACATTGATTACGACTGTCATGACACATGAACTGTGAAAGTGTCAATTTGCAACATAACTTTTTTGAAGCCCTCAGCCTTTTAACCAATTACACATACCTGTATTTCTGTTGATTTGATGAATTCAGTAACCAATCAGAGGCCTTTAGTTTAATTAATTTTTGAGTGTGTGCGTTTACTGGCTGAATTCTGAACGCTTGCAAAATCTCTAAACTAACTTCCTGATGCAGGTAAAAGATGTATTTTGCAGCTTCAGTGATGATAATGGTAGTTTTTTTTTGTGTAACTTGTACTTGACCTGTTTTAAAGTAGAGCAGAATTCGACTCACAGACATCTTTGCTTTGGAGATGTCGTCCATCTGGATATGAAGGTCTTCGATTTCCAGCTCCATGGACTTTCGTGCTTTAACTGCAGCAGCACAGGCAAACTCTGACTCCTCCAACTAAACCACACAGAACACAAAAACACATCAAGCATCTATCAATCCATTAAGGCACAATCATTGTTTTGCATTTTTCCGCATCAATATGCCCAATAGGCATGCAATAACAATTCAGCCTAAAGAACCGTACACAAATCCACAACAGGCTTGTATACAGGTCCAAAGGAAGTAAAAAAAAACAATAAAAACTAAAAAAAATAATAATAATAGTAATAATAGTTATTATAATTATTATTATTTATTATTATTATTATTATTATTATTATCAATTTTTGTTGTTTTATTTTTTGTTTATTTCATTTGAATTTGTTTATAAGAACGGTGTGTATTTGTGTAAATAAATATATACAGTTGAAGTCAAAATTATTCACCCACCTGTGAATTTTGTTTTCTTTTTTAAATATTTCCCAAATGATGTTTAACAGAGTAAGGAATTTTTCCACAGAATTTCCTATTATATTTTTTCTTCAGGAGACACTCTTATTTGTTTTATTTCAGCTAGAATAAAAGTAGTTTATTGGTAGCCCCTTTTTTAGCAATATTTTCAGGGGTCGCGAGACAATGAAGGGTGGGGGGTGGGGGTCACCTGGTGCTTTGCAAAAATCTGTTTATTTTTATTAAACCATAAGATTATCTATTATCCAATAACCATATTTTATCCATAACCCACTGAAGAGAAAAAAATGTTGTATATAGTTACTATATACTATATAGTTACTATAGTAGCTTATAGTTACTAGTTCTATTGGCTTGCGACCCCTGGTGTAATTAAATTATTTTAAAGGCATAGCAATAGCGTCAGATGGAGCAGATTGATTTTATAACAACAGGTTAAACTTTCTGGCATATTTACAGCACTGGCATACATTTAAAAAAATTAAACGAAGAATAGACTTGGTATATTGGTGTGTGTGTGTGCACCATTGCGTGCAAGGTTTCTGTATTTATAACCACCTCAGAGGACATTGGGGTTCACGAGTCACTGGCATTGTTATTTTGGGGGTCGCCCAAAAACCCCTGGTCTAGAACAAACCATCATTATGCAATGACTTGTCTAATTAACCTAATTGGTTAAGCCTTTAAATTTCACTTTTAGCTGAATACTAGTGTCTTGAAAAATATCTAGTCAAATATTCTGTACTGTCATCATGGCAAAGATAAATCAGTTATTCGAAATGAGTTTATAAAGCTATTATGTTAAGAAATGTGTTGAAAGTCTTCTTTCCGTTAAACAGAAATTCTGAAAAAAATATACAGGAGGCTAATAATTAATAAACTGTATATAGTCATTGTGATTTTTGCTGTACCTTATTTTTGAGCGTGGCAATCTCCCTTTTGCTGGGCACGTTACTCTTCATGTGGTCCAGCATGATCTGAGCGTCAGCTAGAAGAACTTTTGTGCGCTTCAGATCCTTCCTGAGCCGCTTCTCGGTTTCTACATCCTTCTGGCCAACCTGTCAAATAGTGCAGTGTTTGAGTATGGAGGGAAGTGTTGTGTGTGTGTGTGTGTGTGTGTGTGTGGTGTGTGTAATTCACATGATGTGTTGTGTTAGTACATTACCTGTTCTTGTGCAGTCATCAGTTTGGACTCCAGATCTCTCTTGTCTCTCAGAACTCTCTGTTTATCAGCATATTCCTCTTCTAACTGCACTTCCATCTGCTTCAGCTGCAAATTAAAGAAAGATGTTAGGAAATATGAATGTATTCGATTATGGGTAGCTGACAAATAGACAGTACAATTTTTTTAAGAAGAATATGATGTAATTATGTAGTTTGAAGTATGATGTTCAAGAAAATATAAGGGATCACTAACTTGATACAACAGGCTCGTTTTCTTTAATAATGCCACTAATATATACATTCTCCACATCTTCCATTTCTGTTTAGTTCAATTATGACTTAAGTCGGATTAAGGTAATCAAAAATCCCTGTTTGGAGCTTATGCAGGCCTACAGTGCAAAACTCATGTTTAACTGAATGAACAGTTAGTAAACACAAGCACATCTTATTGAACATCATTTATTTTCATCACCAACTATCATAGTAGAACAGTTTCTCAAGCAGTTTGTGATGCATTTTGGAAACATGAGACGAGCCCCTATTCTAATGCACCACCTGGCTTGAGAAAGCTGTTCTCAAAGACTTACTTTTAGTCATTATTTGGATAGCACACATATTCTGAATGCCTTCGGTAGAATTCAAATGAGCTATTTTTATCTAGATTAATGTAGATTAATTCCAAGAAACAGTAAGATTAATCTGAATTTTTTAAAAATTAATCTATGCCCACCTATAACATATATATTCAGATTCAGTTTGTTCACCTTCTTACTGCAGGACAGTCGGATCTCCTCCACTTCCTCGTCTTTACTGTCCAGCTCTTTAGAGTGTGTTTGTCTCAATCTCTCCATCTCCATTTCCAATCGAAGCTTAGCCTAATTCACAGACAAACACACATATATTGGTATTATTCTCTGCAGGCTTCTTATAGTTAATTAAACTAAACAGCAAGACTAGTAAAGCTAAAATAGGTTTGCTGATTAAAAAAAAAAAAAAAGAATTAAATAAGAAAAAAAAATTTTGTCTAGTTTGAACAACTTCCAAAGATACTTTACACTCAGTTCGCTAACAAAATATTTAGACTCAAATCAAATGCTTAGCATCTAATTATTCACATACCTGTACAATAACCTTACAATAAGCAGGATAATGTAGATTGTGAAAAATGGCTGTGATTTTAACTGGAAAAAAACTGAAAAATTTGCTACCGTAAAAATCTGTAAACCGTTGAACAGAAAGTAGTCTTAGTAAACACAGTGATAACTGTACATTGACTTTTCCAGAATTCCCCATACATGACACTTAACTTGTATCTTTTTTGACATTACTCTGGTTCTTTTTTGTCTCTATTTGATCAGTGATGTGCATTAGAGTTTTATGTTTATCTAATGTTGATAAGTAATAATTACTGAATTATATAGTACATCAAAACAATGGTGTATTAACACAACAAATTAATGAAGTGTGGTAGTTTACCATTAAAATTTGTACATTTATTTTATGGTTTCTGCCATATTTTTAGCTGTAAAATTCTGGCAACCACAGCTGCTGTTCGTTTTTTTCTAAATTGTATGTTTTTTTTTTAATACAGTGTACATACATACTGATTGGTGTCACATTTCAATCAAGACTCCTCCCCTTTGTTGTGGTAAAACGAGAATTGTAATTTTTTTTTAATCTCGTACCTGTTCCAGCATCTGAATGCTTCCAGCCTGTTCGTCAAGCTCCTCCTCCTGATCTTTGACCTTTGCCTCCAGGTCACGCAGCTGCTTCTTGACCTTTGCGTGAGAAGCTTCGTCTTTTGACTCCTGCGAGGAAAGATCCTGGAGCTCTGATTCCAGCTGTTCAACCTTCAGACTGACCGTACACAGCTCCGTGTCCTTCTCCTGATTTCAAAACCACAGGTTTTCCATTAGCTGATGCTTTACTTTAGAGCAAGCTCAAAGCTGAAGAAAAGAGCTTTGCTTACAGAGCAGGTCATATTTTAAAGTGTCTTAATATAACATGTTGGAGTGGCTTACAATAGGCTCGCATGCATCTAAGGTCAGAAAAACTTTAAAAGTTGTTTAAACACACTGCAAAAAATGCTTTTCTTACCTAGATTTTTTGTCTTGTTTCTAGTCCAAATATCTAAAAATTCTTATATCAAGAAACATTTTCTAGGCAAGCAAAATATATTGTCCTGTTTTCAGAAATAATATCCCAATATTAAGAGAGTTTTTCCTTGAAACAAGCAAAATAATCTGCCAATGGGGTAAGCAAATTAATCTTGTTTTTCCTGTTGACATAAGATTATTTTGCTCACCCCATTGGCAAATTATTTAGCTTGTTTTAAGGGAAAACTCACTTAATTTTGGCATATTATATCTTAAAACAAGACAGTATGTTTTGCTTGTCTAGACAATTCTTCTTGATTTAAGAGTTTTTAGATATTTGGACAAGAAATAAGACAAAAAATCTAAGTAAGAAAAACATTTTTTGCAGTGCACAGTTGTATAGGCAGCCTCTAATAGTAGACATTTATTTTTGTTGTTGTTGTTTTTGGGGTTTTCATCTTTTATTTGGATAGGATAGTGGAGGACAGACAGGAAAGCATTGGGAGCAGAGAGGGGGGAAGGATGGGCAAAGGACCTTAAGCCGGGAATCGAACTCAGGTCGCCCTGAGCACTATTGTGCTATGTGTCGGCGCACTTAACCACTTAACCAGTAGGCTATTTACACTGACTTATAATTTTTTTATTTTTTTTTAAGGGGTGTAAACATTTATTACATTTATAAATATAATAGAATTTAGAGATTTTGTAAATTAAACTGCACAACCACAAGAAATAACAACAATGAAAACTATGGGAGTCGACTCCATAACATAAATGATTGACTATTTTATTTGACATTTTTGCATTTATGAGTAAAAGCTTCATTATTGATTTGACATCTCTCCGTTATGGATGTGACTGATGTAAAATTGCCATTTGCGTGACTTTGGTAAATCAAATAAAATTGTTAGTAAACACTGACAGAGACATTTTTGAGTATTTTTAAAGCACTGTAACAATTTTTCCATGGCAAGGTTAACATTTGCATGGCATTGCTCCTTTTCTTTATCTAGCATGCACCATTTTACACTTGTTTACATTAACAGACAGCTGTATTACAAAATGCAAATAAGACTTTTTTTTTTTTTTTCCTCTGAAGACCCATTTGACCTGCTCTTTAAATACACGAGGGAAAGAGATCAGCGCTCATTCTCACCTGCAACTGCTGCTTGATTGTGAACATCTCACTGGTCAGCATATCTCTCTCTCTGGACAGTTTCTCTCGCTGGTTCCTCTCTTTCTGTAGTTCCTCTTGAACCTGGCTCTTGTCCACGTCAAACCTATCAGAAAATGCAGAAGATAGACAAGCAGTGAGGCATAGTCGATAGTCTGCTCATATCTACAATCAAACAGAATTTCAGGCAGAAGAGAAAACACTTCCTCTTCTGCTTCTAATTTTGTGTGGATATTCAGATCACAAATGTGTATGCGTGCTGCTATCTGAAGATGAATGGAGTTGAAGAACCCGTGAAGTGTTTGATGTTTTACGTAATCTCAACTAAAAATGAAGAGAGGGTGGGATGTAGAGTAGCTCCTCCTCTTTTTAAGAAGCAACCAATAGTGTTTTGTTTTTCTCACAGGTCTGCCAGTGAGTAGTTTTGAAGGTCTTGAAGGGGGTGGGGCATGTCAAATACTTGAGAGCATTTGATTGGTCAGAAGTATTGATAAGAAATTATGAGGTGACATAAAAAATAAACAGATCCATTTAGACGGAAGTGACAAACTGCAAGCTTTACATGTTTATATCAGTTTTATATCTCCTAAATGCACATTTTGTCACTGTTTTGGAGCACACCAATGTATGGATGTCCTTAAATAACAGACTGAAACTAACATCTAAAATCTTTTTATTTGAATTTAATGGGACCTTTCAGCGAGTTTTGAGTAATCTGAGCTCATTTGACGTTTTCTGTTACTATTCAGGTGTCAAAACGAAGTCTGCACAAAGTCGTTCATGAATTGTTATGAATAATACACTTGTGCTTCATCCCACTCCATTTTGAACTGGTTAAAATCTTTTTTTTTTTTTTTTAATTTACACATGAAGATGTTTTGTTGATTATTATGAAATAAATTTGTGTTTGAATAATTGTTTTTAAGTTCAATAACTTTTAAACTGTTCGAAAAATGAATCAAATCAAATTAAATTGCTGTATTTGTAGCGCGCCATGGTGGCTCAGTGGTTAACACTGTCGCCTCAAATGCAAGAAGGTCACTGGTTCGAGTCCCAGTTGGACCAGTTGTCATTTCTCTGTGCAGTTTGCATGTACTCCCCATGTTGGTGTAAGTTTCCTCCGGATGCTCCAGTTTCCCCGACAGTCCAAAGACATGCACTATAGGTGAATTGAATAAACTAAATTAGTCATAGTGTATGTGTGTGTGTGGGTGTTTCCCAGTACTGGGTTGCAGCTAGAAGGGCATCCACTGTGTAAAACATATGACGGAGTAGTTATCTGTTGTTGCCATTGTGGCAACCTCTGAAATATAGTCTAAGCCAAAGGAAAATGAATGAATGAATGAATGTTGTGTTTGTTGAGTTTAGTTTTAGGCTCTAGGTCTGGTCTGCTGTGGTTTAGTTCAGTGAAAGGATGCTTTCGCACCTAGACTTTTGTTTCGGAACCTGGCGCGTTTCCCCCTTTAGTGTGGTTTGTTTGGCATATGTGAATCCACATCCGCACAAAAACAATCAGTACGAGATCTCCTGAATGAGGTGGTCTCAGCTTGATTAAAACAAACTCTGAAGCAGATCGATTGTAGTGAGAAAGCAATATGATCCAACGAACTAATGAACCAGGCTATATCACAGTGAATAATGGATATGTTATAGGCATATGTTCATGCCAAATACAAAAGTGAAAGTATGCTGAAGCACGCTGAGCTATTATTAAGAGATTTTTATCCATTAGGAAAATGGACTGATCTGCAGTATTGGTTTATCTATTATCTCTCTCTATAATGTAAAGCCTATAATGCATAATTCTAGCCAAGGCTAGAATCTTAAATCTGGTTTATATTTGGTGACGATTTCTGTGGTGTCACCATTCAAAATTAAAGCGTAGCTTTTCGCGTATAATGTCTTATTGCTCATTGTCATAAATTGAAAATAGAACACATGACAGCTGAGCGGGACTGTAAAATAAACCATGGAACTCTTTGACCCGTTTTAGTTATATTGGTTAATTTAGAAACATTGCAGTGTAAAAGCGAACCAAGTGCAACACTGTAGCAATTGTAATCCCTGTTTCAAAACAAAACAATCGATGTGAAAGCACCCTGAAATCAGGCATATTTGACCCTGGACCACAAAAAGTTGCATAGGTATATTTGTCAGACTAGATAAATTTTATGGATCAAAATAATAGATTTTTCTTTTAAGCCAAAAAATCATTATTATATTAAGTAAAGATCATGTTCTATGAAGACATTAAGTGAATTTCCACTGTAAATATATCAAAACTCAGTCTTGGACAACATTAAAGGTAATTTTCTCTGTATCTAGATGTTTTTTTAACCCTCCAGATTTCAAGTAGTTTTATCTCAACAAAATGTTGTGCTTTTAAAGTATACAACAATGGAAACCCAGTTTATTCAGCTTTGGTGTGATGTATTAATCTCATACAAAAGTGAACCATGCTCACATTTGGCACAATTCATCCACATGAAATGGAGAGGGGAAAAAAGCAGTCTATGGGAAATTATTATTATATTAAACAGTTCTGCAATAAACTAACTAAATAATACGATCGTAAACACACAGTATAACAATCATTCATTCATTTATTAATTTTCTTGTCGGCTTAGTCCCGTTATTAATCCGGGGTCGCCACAGCGAAATGAACCGCCAACTTATCCAGCAAGTTTTTACGCAGCGGATGCCCTTCCAGCCGCAACCCATCTCTGGGAAACATCCACACACACAAACACACACACACTCATGCACTTCGGACAATTTAGCCTACCCAATTCACCTGTACCGCATGTCTTTGGACTGTGGGGGAAACCGGAGCACCCGGAGGAAACCCACGCGAAGGCACGGAGAACATGCAAACTCGCCACAGAAACGCCAACTGAGCCGAGGTTCGAACCAGCGACCTTCTTGCTGTGAGGCGACAGCACTACCTACTGCCACTGCCTCGCCCATATAACAATCATATGGTAAATAAATACCCCAAAGAATCACAAAGATACAAATAACAAAACAATAAACACATAGCAAAAATAAACCAACAGCTTAGAACTAAAACAAAACAAACAAACACAAAAGTTCAGATGGTAAACAACAGCTTAAACAACAAACAAAAGAGTATAAACACAATAAACAAACAGCTTAAATGACACATTAAAAAAACATCAAACAATGACCGAATGGCTTTAACTAAACAACAAACAAATAATCAGACAGTAAACAAAATCCCAATCGACTAAATAATAGCCAAAAGACAAAGGATTATAAACAACTGAAAGTCAAACAATGGACAATAATCAAACAGCAAATGAACAGCTTCAACTAAGTATTAAACAAACCAGGCAGAACCAGAGAGTAAACAATTGATTGTTTATAATAAATCACTGTATGATTAAACAATGAATAGACAAAAACACCAAACCATCAACAAACAGCCTATCTATTTTCAAAATAATCACCTAAACAATCAAACAGTAAACCAATGGTCCAAACAACCACACAGTAAACAATAATCAAGCCAGAAATCTCTATAATCAGACCCCAGCAGGTGACCAGCCAGCAGACCGAAGACTGATGTGTGTGTGTGTGCATCTGTGTGTATGTGTCTTTGTCTGTGTGTATGTGTGATTTGGCTCTTACTTCCTCTGCTTTCTCTCCAGCTCATGGTTGCGTCCCTCTTGATTTTCCAGGTGCAGTTTGGTGTCCTGCAGTTCAGCTGCCAGTCGCTGGCATTTCTTCTTTAACTGCTGGACTGATCGCTGGGACTCCTCCTGGTCAGCCTGCAAGTCTGCTAACTATGAAGAAAGAAAAAGAAAGAGAGACAGGGTAAGAGAAAGACAGGAAAGAGTATATAAAGGCCTGCTGAATTTAAAGAGTTATGGGTGTGAATTTAGATGCATTTCTTCTTCTTTTTTTTATTGGATTATTGTCAAAACAAGGTACATTGCATTACAAGTATTTAATGGCAAAGGTTTTTTTTATCTTTACAACGGAACACAAATAATAAACATTTATGGAAAAAATAAAAATGAAAATTAAAGAATATACAAAGATAAAATGAGCAGAAATAATACATTAATAAAAATATAAGGAAAGAAAATGTTTTAAAATGTTTTAAAAATAAATAAATGAGGAAGCAAAGACTTTAAAAATTTATTAAATAAATAAATAAATAAGGAAAGAAAACAAAACATTAGAAAATAAATAAATAAACAAGTAAATAAAAAAATAAATAAGGCAACGCAGCAGCACAAGAGGTAATGCTGTCGCCTCACGGCAAGAAGGTTGCTGGTTTGAGCCTCGGCTGGGTCAGTTGGCATTTCTGTGTGAAGTTTGCATGTTCTCCCTGCATTCGTGTGGGTTTCCTCCGGGTGCTCCGGTTTCCCCCACAGTCCAAAGACATGCACTATTGGTGAATTGGGTAGGCTAAATTATCCATAGTGTATGAGTGTGTATAGATGTTTCCCAAAGATGGGTTGCAGCTGGAAGGGCATCAGCTAAGTAAAAACATATGCTGGATAAGTTGGCAGTTCATTTCACTGTGGCGACCCCAGATTGATAAAGGGACTAAGTCAAAAAGAAAATGAATGAATGATAAATAAATAAGGAAATAAACTAAAACAGAAAATAAATAAATAAAGAAGGAAAGAAAACAAAAAACATAAAAAATATAAATAAATAAATAAATAAATAAGGGGAAAAAAACATTAATATTAGAAAATATTTAAGAAAGAAAGAAGTAAAGAAATCAAAATTATTAATAAATTAATTAATTAATTAATAAAATAAAATAAAATAAAATAAAATAAAATAAAATAAGATAAAATAAAATAAAATAAAATAAAATAAAATAAAATAAAATAAAATAAAATAAAATAAAATAAAATAAAATAAAATAAAATAAAATAAAATAAAGCTTATAGGGGTGGGTGTGGGGGTGATGGTTGGAGAAGTACATTTATCTCAGTAGAGGTTATTAAAGGATCCCAAGTTTTGTAAAGAGAAAAGTTATTTTTCCTGCTCTTAGAAACAGCATTACATCACTAGGCGTGTGTGTGTGTGTGTGTGTGTGTGTGTGTGTGTGTGTGTGTGTGTGTGTGTGTGTGTGTGTGTGTGTGTGTGTGTGTGTGTGTGTGTGTGTCTGTGTGTGTGTGTGTCTGTGTGTGTGTGTGTCTGTGTGTGTGTGTGTCTGTGTGTGTTGTGCTTTACTAACTTTTCTCTCTAGGTGTCTCTTGTTCTGTTGTTCTGTCTCCAGCTTGTCATCCATCTCCTGCTGGAGTTTCTTCTTTGTGAATTCTGTGTCTCTGATGGCGCGTTCATATTTCAGCCTCCATTCACCTCCTGACAAACACAGAGTTTCCAAAGTTGGATTGTTTTGTTGAGCTTGTTTTTAGCATGTTAAGAAGTTTCGAACCCCTGAAAGCCGTCAACACTCCTTTATAAAAAAAAGTGTAATACTATCAAAATGTACAATAGACTATGGATTAACTGCTCATCTACTTTAAGTCTAGTCCACTAATATAGTCTGCTTGGAGGAGTGAATAAAAACAAGTGAGTGATTTTTAGCACTGAGTGCACCAGAACCTGCCAGAATGCTATTTGTTAGCATAATATTTTTTTAATCACAGTCCCTCCCCTACTGTCCAAAGCCACGCCTCGTGAAACACAAACCGGCACATTAAAGATGACAGTAGACAACCCATTAGATCATTAGGTCATTCGCCAGTTAGAAAACTTCATAACATTATAATACTACAATTCTTAAAGAAAAACTGTATTTTATTTAGCACGTTTACAGTTGTGTAGCAGCAAAACTTGTCATAATGTGCAATATTTCATGCATGCAAGGATTGCTAGTCTCACTCTCTCATGCACGTTGTCCTAAAGCAACTAATGTATGCTTAGTGGTTGGCCAGTGGGGTGCAGCAATTACACTTATTACAAAGCCATACTTTAATGCTATTTCAGATTGAATATTCAGAGTAGCGGTAAACAATATAGGGAGCACGTCACAGGTTGCCATTTAAAAATGAACCAATGTGAATATAAAAGCGACTTCAGCTCAGTAAAAGCAGGCTAGGTGGAATAGCGATATTTAAAAAAGTTTTGTTGTTAAACTAAATAAAAATCGACATTATCGATGAAGGTCATTTATAAAACTGAAAATAGTCACATCAATATGTCGCCAGAAGATTTCAGTGGCTGAACAACACTTCCGTGCATATAACCCATTCGTAAACCTACACAATCTACATCAGCTTTGCGTGACTAAAATGCTTATAAAACAGAACATTCATTTATTCATTTTCTTTTCGGCTAAGTCTCTTTATTTATCTGGGGTCGCCACAGCGGAATGAACCGCCAACTTATCCAGCATATGTTTTATGCATGGAATGCCCTGCCAGCTGCAACCCATCACTGGGGAACATCAAACATCTTAAATTTTTCATATGAGACCAAAATAGTGCTCCCTGATTTTGTTTTGATTGTCTACAGAACAAACCATCAGTATACAATAACTTGCCCTAACTTGGCTTTTTAACGTAATGAATCCTTTAAATGTCACTCTAAGCTGAATATTAGTGTCTTGAAAAATATCTAGTCAAATATTATGTAGTGTCATCATGGCAAAGATTTAAAAATATTTCAAATGAGATTATGTTTATAGAAATGTGAAAAAAAAACAGAAAGTGGGGAAAATATACAGGGGGGCTTATAATTCAGGTGGGCTAATAATTCTTAATTCAGACTTAAACTGTACATATTTTTTTTTACCAGAATCATCATCTCCATCGTCCATCTCTCCATTGAGGTCTGAGGCTCGGAGAAGTCTGGCCTCCATGATCTCCATCTCCATGGACTCTGTTTGTTTCTTCAGAGCGTCAAACTTCACCTGTGTTTCAGGAAAAAAAAAAGACAACAGGTGTGTTTTACAGCAACCCACTCATAACCACAGCCTCCTTACATTTAGGGTCCTGTGAAGTGCTTTGAAATGTGTATTTTATTCGATGTTTGATGTAATCTCAACTGAATCACGAAGAGAGGGTGGGACATAGTGTAGCTTCTCCCCTTTTTATTAAACAGCCAATAGCGTTTTGCTTCAACACTGGTCTGCTAGTGAGAGTGGTTTAGCTCAAGCGCATCAAATGTGAAACATCTTGAAGGGGGCGGGGCATGTCAGATACTAGAAAGCATTTGATTGGTCAAGATTTTATGAGAAACTGAAGAATGTCCAGCAGGCACACAGCATCATAAGACGTTAATATTAGGTTAGATTTAGGTCATGTTGTCAGGTGACCTAAATTCAATGTCTTGCCAGCGTCTAAGGATGTTTTTTTGCCATCCAATAACGACGTCAAATTACGTTGATATTTGGTTGATTTTACGTTGTGTTGGAAAGCAATCAAAATCCAATGTCTGACAGATGTCATAGTGGTAACGTCTACACAACGTAAAGGTGTAACATGATTAGACGTTGATATTTGGTTGATTTTAGGTTGATCTTAGGTTGAACAATGGACGTTGGGTTCTGACGTCAACCCAATTTTTATTTCCAAACAAAATCCAACGTCCCCACGACGTTGATAAAACCGTTGATCCATTTAGGCGGAGGTGACAAGCTACAAGCTTTACATGTTTATATGAGTTGTATATCTTCTAAACTTTTATTTTATCACTGCTTTGGTGCAAACTAGCTTATAGATAACCTTAAAATACAATACTACAATAACAATACTGACACTAGCATCATGTTCATGGGACCATTAAAAAAATCTGACTTTCACCACAACTTCTAGTAAATCCATGACAAACTACCATGTTAAAAATCACATCTAACATGTAAACTCATTGGAAAAGCTACATTGTTTTATAAAAACATTACACAGCAGTTACATTAGTAGTATCTGTATTTTAGTTACTGTCCTTTGCTGTCTTAAAGACTGAAGCAGGAGAGATGATTTTCATATGCTGTACCTGTAAATCCTTCATGTCCTTCTCCAAGCGCAGTCTCTCGCTGGTTTCAGTCTCCAGCAGCTGTGATGTTGACTCTGCAGTGTTTCTCTCATCTGAAAGCTCTGCTGTCAGCTCTGTGATCTATATAAACACACATATGCATTACTATTCTGATATTATGAAGTCAATTTTAAAAGTCTTAATGTGGCCACAACGTTCTCTGTGTTTCAGCTAATGGAATGATTATTGGTGACAAATCTTATTTTGACCCTCTGTGCAAATTGTCTACCCTTTTGTTATGTTGGTGGCTGTTTTTGCCCCATTGACTTTCATTATAATGATATTTTTTATTGCAAAGCCATGACAGAATATAATCATGCATTCTTGATTGTTGGTTTTCCCTGTTGGAAAGAGTTCAAATTTATCATTTTTACTGTTGATCATCAGTTGCAGTGCAAAAGAGTTTTTCTTTCTGGCTCTTATGTGAGGTATAGTGTAAGAGAGACTTTTACATGCTTACCTTGATATGTCTGAGAAAATCAAAAAAAGCAGCTCAGCTCTCAGAACACGGTAAACATAGTAAGTGTATTTATGCATGCGCACTATCATTTGAATAAAGTGGAAGCCGCAAAAGCACAAGACTTGTTCCAATCAGCTTTTTGGATGGTCTAAATAGGTCCTCATCGTTATTCTCTTAATTAGTTATGGTCATGTTTTGAGCATAACCTGCATTAAACCAATCAGAGTCTCATCACCCATTCTCTTTAATGCTACGTTCACACCAGACACGGATAAAGCATCAAGTGCGAGTGATTTGCATGTTAAATCAATGCAAAGATGAGAATAGACATCCTGCGGTGCGACTCGTGCGAAGGAGCAGCACGAATGACGCGATTCATGAGCGAGTTAAGCGTTTTTGCACGTTTGACACATTTAACCAATACACTTTACGTGTTAACCAACTAGGAGCTTGCTCTTGTAGAGGAGTGATTATAACGTAGCGTCTGTTGTTGGTGTGCCGAGGGAAAATCCTCTTGCCAACATGGGGCAACAGTTCATCAAACTGGGCTTGGTTCAGTCTGTAGCATCGCTGAAAGCTTCCATCATCCTGGTATAGTGTCTAGAGGAGTTGATGAACTCACAGAGTTGGGTGCACCACTGAAAGGATCTAGTGGACAAGACGCCGAATGAATCTACGCTGTTCAGCCTTCCTAAAGCAAATAAACAGAGCTACTCTCGCAATAAAATCCATGTAAGCTATTTCAAGAATTCACACTTAAATATTGCTTGATATTAATAGCAGGTTTGGCATGCTGTCCTGGGAAAGAACCTTGAGCTCGAAGATAATTGATCCTAGGGCTCCCGCCTGGTCAATGAGCATGTGAAAGGGTAAGACAGGGGTGTCCAAACTCGGTCCTGGAGGGCCGATGTCCTGCATATTTTAGCTCCAACTTCCTCCAACACACCTGCCTGGAACTCTAGTATACCTAGAAAGAGCTTGATTAGCTGGTTCAGGTGTGTTTAATTGGGGTTGGAACTAAAATTTGCAGGACACCGGCCCTCCAGGACCGAGTTTCGACACCACTGGGGTAAGAGATCATGTAGTTCTTAAGAGCTCCCCCTCGTAAAGGAAAAAAATGTTTGGAATGATCCGATTGGCTTACTAATGATTACAGATGAGAGATCAGCTGCGATCAATCATATCACATGCTCCTCTCAAAATTCCCTGCTGAAAAATCCAGCTTAAACCAGCCTAGGCTGGTTGGCTGGTTTTAGCTGGTCGACCAACCTGGATTTAGAGGGGTTTTTGCCATTTCCAGGCTGGTTTCCAGCCATTTCCAGCCTGGTCTTAGCTGGGTAGGCTGGAAAATGACCTGCCAAATCCAGCTAAAATCAGCTTGACCAGCCTGGTTTAAGCTGGATATAGCTGGTTTTGGCTGGACTCCCAGCTTGGCTAGGCTGGGCAAGCTGGTTTTAGCTGTCATCTCCCAGCCTGACCAGCTAAGACCAGGCTGGAAATGGCTGGAAACCAGCCTGGAAGTGGCCAAAACCCCTGTAAAACCAGCCTGGTCGACCAGCTAAAACCAGCCAACCAGCTTAGGGTGGTTCAAGCTGGATTTTTCAGCAGAGTTAGTTTGTGAAACTTCACTTAGCAATAAAGCTAGAGTCACTGGGCAGACAGAAGCCCTGCCAATGACGTGTCTATTGTGAAGTAAATTTGATGCGCAAATGAAGCGAACTGACGCACGAATGAAGCAAGTAAACTCAAATTGTTCATGCGTCTATTTACTATTTGCACATGCGGTGTCTGGTGAGAATACAGCATAAGAGTGAGATTTGCTATTTGCATGGCGGACTTCACTAGCAAGAAAACAGTTAAACAGACCATCTGTGTGAGGATTAAAAACAAGCCTCCTCCATTCGGCCTCTTTACTGTCTCTTTATCTTACTTTTAGTCTTTACTTTAGTCCTTTACTTTTGTGGAGTAAGGAAACGGTGTTGTACGCACCCCACTGAAGACATCCATTTCATATTAATTTCGTAATTTTGTTTATTAAGCGCCAAGATTTGTTTCAAAACTATTTATAAATTCAGTTCAAATTTCCAGCAAACTAATAAATGAACAATAATAACAAAGTGTGGTCAAATATTCAAACACATTTCCTATTCTTCCTATGCCCCATATGGTAATGCATGCGTCACCAAAAACTGACCGGTGGACAAATCTTAACTTGTTTTTATTAAAACAAATATGAATATACATATAATAACAACAACAACAATAATAATAATAGTAATAATAATTAATTATTATTATTATAATTATACTACTACTACTACTACTACTACTAATAATAATAATAATAATAATAATAATAATAGCATTAAACAAATGCATATTGTCATTAATAAACATACTACAACATTGCTAGATTCTGTTTTTTTTATATTCATGTAGAAAATAATATATTTTTAACAATATAATAGTTTTCATAGAGCTTTGTGTATTGCAGTAGATTATTGCGTTATTGTGTATTCCTTTGTTGTACATCCTGTGTATTAAGCAATGCGTGTTTTGGACCCTCATGGGTGCCTTACTGAGCTCCTTAAATAATAAAAACTGTCGGTGCAATAGCCTAGTCATTATGCGATAGCGCTTCAGGGCGTCCTGAGATCAAATCCCTGACCCTACATCCCTCTCTGTCTTCCACTTCACCTTCTCTCTGATTACTGTCCTATCTAATAAAGGCAAAAAAGACCAAAAATAAATCTTTAAAAAATAATAAAAATAAAACTCTGCCTCATTGACTTTAGATCAGATTTTAGTTGGTCAATAGCATAGTTTATTTCAGCTGCCTCAAAATAGTAACATGCCAATAATGTGCCTTAACACACCTCCTTTATAGACCAGCATGCCTATGAATTCACAAAGTAGCACAAATGGATTTGCTATTTAAACAACGTGCCACAAAATTTGAAAATAACAGTTGCGCTGGTCTGAGAATAGCAAAAAGTGCAGGTGTGCCACACCGAATTGCCCTGCGTGTATGATAGGGCCCAAAGTAAGAAGCATTTTTCTGCCGTGCACTTTGTTTAAGTCAAACAAGTAAGTCATCTCTTACTCTGCTCTCCAAGCGATCAGAGGTCAACCGCAGCTCGTTTCTCTCCTTCTCCACCCTCTCCAACTTCAGCTTCATATGCATGATCTCCTCCTACGAGTCAAAAGAACACACAGCTTTATCTCCATTTTAAGGCAAAAAAAAAATCAAACATTTAGCTGAGAACAAAACAATCTTTAGCCTGAGGTTTGCTGAGCTAATATTGCATGATCTGATGTTCTTTTGATCAAGCCGGAGTTTCTGCCTTTAGGTGAGTTCAAAAAGAGGGCAGAAGGCAACGCTGCATCTCCAAAACCAATGCTTTGAGACAGGGTTTTTAAAGACGTGACGGCTGCGGGAATCAAAGACACGTCTCGGATCTAACGCTGATGCAGCTAAAGCCGTCAGATCATGTCAACTTTAAGGCAAACACATACACATACACAAACAGTTGAAGTCAGAATTATTAGCCCTCCTGTATATTTTCTTCCCCAATTTCTGTTTAATGGAAAGAGGAAACGCATTTCTAAACATAATAGTTTTAATAACTCATTTCTAATAACTGATTTCTTTTATGTTTGCCATGATGACAGTACAGAATGTTTTACTGTATATTTTTCAAGATACTAGTATTCAGTTCGAAGTAGGGCTGGGCGGAATAAAGATATCAATATTTATTGACCGAACACAATTGTCAATAACGATAAAAAAGTTCAATATGACGTCCTGTAGCTTTATTAAAATGTGGCTGCTGAGTGTGCACCTTGAAAGGAATACCAATAGAGGTTATTTCCAATCGAGGTGCACAGCTTGGCAAGATGCACCTAGTTGAAAACATTTCAGAATGCCGCATGCGCACCGCGATTCATGCAAGTACAACTAACCCACTGCTTTACACTTTGTACACTTTTGACTTTGTATGCAATATACACATTTCAGTAATAATGGCAGACTCAGACAAACACAGATCACCCAAACACTGCAGTGCTTTTTCATTCTCTTCATAAATACAAACTATTATCAAAACCTCAGCAATGATTTGTTCATTAGTCATCCTCTAAGAAAACGGTTCATTGTCACCTAGTTATGCAAGACGCCAGAGGAGCTCGAGCACAAAGCGCTTTGAAAATTTTAGATGCAACATGTGAGCAGACTCTGTTTGGTTTTTTCACCTCCGGTCAGAATAACAACACATGTGAGGAGTGAGGAGATTGTAAGTAAAAAATTATGTAAGGATGTCGCCAGAGTGGCTTTTTGGTTTCTTTTCTTGTGCATCCTAGTCACTAGCTCCCCATCTCAAAGAGTTTTTAGCAAAGGGGTAATGTAGTCATTCAACTTCACGATTTGTACCGCTGCGATATCTATTTGTAATGACAAACCATAATGATGGTTTGTTCCTTTACTTGAAAGCTCAGCTTTAACTATTATAATTAGTTATGTTAATAAAGTTTAATGAACTGTGTGATTTATTATAGACACCCTACAGATGTTAATCAACCTTAAAGTTTGCTTTGATTGTTCAGCGTTTACACCTTTATCATTGCACACACTTTGTAACATTTTATTTATTAAGTTTGAGTCTCTTGAACACTTATGTTTATTTTATTATAAGACATAAGAGACAAGATATTTTTGTAATTTTGTTTTTGTTTTTGACTATTAAAACTATTTGCCTTAGTAATGTTGGTAAATTAAAATAAAACGGTTAAAAAATCCTAATATACCTAAATTGATTGTACATTTTTTTTTTAATATTGATCAATACCGAATGAAGAATATTATATCGTGATGTTTTTTCCTGTATCGCCCAGCCCTAGTTTAAAGCGACTTTTAAAGGCTTAGCTAGGTTAATTAGACAAGTTAGGGTAATTAAGAAAATCATTGTATAATGATGCTTTGTTCAACTTCCTGTTCAAATTTTTAAACTGAATCATATTATATGTTAAATCAGTGTTTCCCAACCCTGTTCCTGTAGGCACACCAAAAGTGCATATTTTGGACGTTTCTCTTATCTGACACATTTAGTTCAAGTTTTGGAGTCTCTTCTAATGTTCTGATAAGTTTAATCAGGTGTGTTTGATTTGGAAGACGTAAAAAAAAAATTTAATCAAACATTTATTTGACTTATTAGTTACATTTATTATTTAAATTTAAAGTGTGTGGTTTTTGTTAAGCAGTAGAGCAGTAAGATTATGGTTTAATGATCCCAGCAAAATAATAAAAAAGTGAAAATACATCAACACAGCATGCATTCCTGTAAATAAATGAACAAAAAAAATCTAAAAGTCTCTAAAAAACCTAAAAGTTTTTCTAAAAGACAAGGCGTGTTGTGGCACTTTGCATCGGGTGTGCGACGAGCTCCTTGATACAGCCAAATCTTGGAACTACTTGATGCAGATTTTATGTTTAGAAATGAGTTGAAAAAAATCTTCATACCGGTAAACAGAAATTGAGGAAAAACACTGTGTGTGTGTGTGTGTGTGTGTGTGTGTGTGTGTGTGTGTGTGTGTGTGTGTGTGTGTGTGTGTGTGTGTGTGTGTGTGTGTGTGTCTGTGTGTGTCTGTGTGTGTCTGTGTGTGTCTGTGTGTGTGTCTGTGTGTGTGTCTGTGTGTGTGTCTGTGTGAGAATGTTTGCCTTAAAGTTGACATAATCAGACGGCTTTAGCTGCATCAGGTGTTTGATTAGGAAGTGGTTGAAAATGTGTACTGTTAAGGTACATGGTTGGGGAACACTGCATTAAAAATATTGCTTAAGGGGGCTAATGATATTGACCTTAAAATTGTTTTTAAAAAATTAAAAATTATTTTTATTCAAGCTGAAATTAAGCAAATTAGACTTTCTCCATAAGAACAAATATTATAGGAAATACTGTGAAAAATCTCTTGCTCTGTTAAACATCATTTGGGAAACATTTGAAAAAAATAATAAAACTCACAGCAGGGAGAATAAATTTGACTTCAACTGTATATGGATTAGACTCAGATCTACTCACGTCTTTTCCTCGAATCTGTTCTTCTGTGAGCTGAACTTCTACTAGTGGCCGTACTGTGGTGAAAAGCTTCCACCAGGGCCAGTCTTTTACACCGCGGTTCTTCTTTATGTTCTTCTGGACACAGCGGATGGCCAAATCCTGGATCTGAGAGACACACAGAACTATTACATAATATCAACCGCATTGAATATATATATTTTTTTTACATTTTAACCACAAATTTAAGCCCTTTTATCATTTAATCATTCACAGGCCTGTCACAATAGTCTATATATTGACTTCCTGCACAACACATGGACATGATCTCAATCATTTTTGTTGATGCAATACATATCGCCACAATTCTAGCAACATTTCAGCTGATTGCGCAACATCTCGATCTCTCTTGGAGGTGTCAGAGTCAGTATGGTTAAAAAAAAACACTGTAGTATTTACTACAAATTACTATAATATTTTTATGTGGGTGTGTGACAACTGAAAATAGATCTGGTAGCTGATATCGCAGCCTCTGTTTTTACATTGCACCCTTTTTTGTTAACCTTTATTTAACTTTTTTTTGTAGCATTTCACTCTCTGGAAGAGTGTCCTCGCATCGTGATAATATTATATTGTCATTCTGCCATCATACAATGAGTGAAATGGTCTTAAAATGACAGTAATCACAATATATTTTGGAACAATATATTCTTCAACAAAAAAATAGATAACATGACAGGCCTACTAATTTATAAATAAAATTTAGAAACAAAATAATCTGCCATTGGGGTAATAAAATAATCTTGTTTTTCGTTTTGACAAAGGATTATTTTGCTCACCCCATAGGCAGATAATTTTGCTTGTTTTAAGGAAAAACTCACTTAATTTTGGCATTTTATTCCTTAAGCAGGGGTCACCAATCCTGGGGCCTCATGTATCAATGTTGCGTACGCACAAAAACTTTGCGTACCCCAGGTTTCACGCTCAGAATCGCTCACGTTTGGATTTACTAACAATGAACTGAACGTGGGAATGTGCGCAGCTTCACGGCAGCTTTTTGGCAGGCGTACGCACATTTTTTGTGCGTGTCTGTTTTATTTCCATTGGCGACTCCTAGAGGCAGTTGTGTTAAATCCCTCTCTACAAGTGTCTGAGCATTGCAATGGCAGCTGTATGCAAGTGGTGCTCGCTGCAGAGCCATTTGAGGAGAGGTGAGCTCCAGAGAGGGGGAGCTTAAGCTTGAGCTCCACCTTTTTTGCACTTCTTCTACGAGTGATGTCACTGGGGGTAGGGTTAGGGGTGGGGTTGGTATACGCATTAAAACAGCTTACAGGAGGAGGAGCGACAGCTCATGCTCCCCCTCTCTGGAGCTCACCTCTCCTCAAATGGCTCTGCAGCGAGCACCCTCTCGCTGTATGAGACGGGTTCATCTAGCAGGTAAATAAGGTTTCCATACCATACAGTTGAGCAGCTAAACATTAAAGCACAATTTGCAGCGGTCGCCTGTTTTCCCCAATGTAATCTGAGCTATCTACTGCACGCACATTGCTATAAAGACACTATCTGAAGATGAATTTGCATGCGTGAATCAGAAACATTTTCATTCAATAAATGTGCAAATAAAATATGATGCACAAACTTATTGATGATTCCTACTTGTCTTTCTCGTGATAAATAGTTGGCAAAATCTGATATGTAGCGGGGGAAAAAAAAGAAGAAAGAGTTCATCAGACGCTGGATTCGAGCCGAGTTCATGCTCGAACGTGTCAAAACATGTTGACATGTGTCTTACGAACGCGCCACTGAGACTGTTAAGACTACTGCAACATTTTACAGATATAAACCAGACTATTTATTTTTTAATGCACTCAGTGCGATGTTCAGACCCAACTGTGTTAACCGCATCAGCTAAACTCTCCCCACTCTATTTTTTTTCTTTTGTTGTTAATTCCGGAGGAAAAACTTGCAAATAACACCGCTTTTCTCCGGTCTACCTCCGAAAGCAGCACCTCCAATTCACATTCTGTTCAAAGTTTCTCTTTTTGCTTGCTTTTGTTATTGCTTTTTCGTTGGGTTTTGCCATTAGCATAGTCATTAGCATATTCATACGGGGGAGGAGGCAGGGAGGGGTTTTGTGCTCGTGCATGGTGCGCTCAGTTTCACGTTCATTCGGATGTACAAAAGAATATGCGTGAGATTCGGCGTACGCAGTGTTTCATACATCTGAATTTTTTTCTGCGTACGCACATTTACAGCTTTGTGCGTACGCAATGTTTTAGTAAGATTTCCACGCAAGTCTTCGTACATGAGGCCCCAGGTCCTGGAGGGCCGGTGACCCTGCAGGGTTTAGCTCCAACTTGCCTCAACACACCTGCCTGGGTGTTTTTAAGTATACCTTGATTAGCTCATTCAGGTGTGTCTGATTAGTGTTGGAGCTAAAATCTGCAGGACACCGGCCCTCCAGGAACAAGTTTGATGACCCCTGCCTTAAAGCAAGACAATAGTTTTAGCTTGTCTACAAAATGCTTCTTAATGTAAAAATATCTAAATTTTTTAACTAGAAGCAAGACAAAAATCTAAGTAAGAAAAGCATTTAGTAGTGTAGCACATACGTTGTAATATTTCAAATCTTTTTATAATAATTCAAATTGTTTTATTTAGTTTGAGCTTGCCAGTCCTTTTTTATTATATGCAATAGAATGACTAATATATTATTAGCAGTGGGTTTTTATTTGTTTCTCATTTAACAGGGAAATTATAATCAATAAAACATAATGACATTAATAAACCATAGTGAATAATGTTAATGATCAAATTAGTCTATTAGTAAATTAAGATGCTAAAAACTTCTCAAGCTTTTCTCCTCTGTAACTTTTTATATATATATTTAACATAATAATAAAGATGTAAAGTGAGCTCTTTCTATTATTTACAATTATACCATAAATAATACTGCAAAAGAAATAATTGAAAAATATGTAAGTATTTAAGTGTCTCAACTAAATAATGATTTATTATTATTATTATTATTATTATTATTATTATTATTATTATTATTATTAATGTTATTATTATTCATTTATTTATTTTCTTGTCAGCTTAGTCCGTTTATTAATCCGGGGTCGCCACAGCGGAATTAACCACCAACTTATCCAGCAAGTTTTTACGCAGCAGATGCTCTTCCAGCCACAACCCATCTCTGGGAAACATCCACAATCATTTAAGGAAATACTCAATTTTGGCCAATTATTTCTTAAAACAAGACAATCGTTTTTGCTTGTCTAAAAAATGCTTTTTGATTTAAGAATTTTTAAATATTTGGTCTGGAAACAAGACAAAAACATCAAAGTAAGAAAAAGCATTTTTGTAGTGTAGCATATAAGTAACAATAAAAATCTTTTGATAATAATACATTTTTTTTGTATTTATTTTGAGCTTAAAAGTCCATTCATTTTTATTATATGCAATAGAATGACTAATATATTACAAAGTTTTAAAGCAGCGGTTTTTAATTGTTTCTAATTTAACAGTGAAATTTAAATCAATAAAACATAATGACATTAATAAACCATTGTGACAAATATTAATTTTTAAACTCTTTGTAGATTAAGATGCTAAAAAGGGCAAGTTTTTCTCCTCCTCCATAAAAAATGTTTTACCATAATAATAAAGATGTAAACTGAACTCTTTCTTTTATATAAAATTACAACATAAATAATACAGCAAAAGTAGCAATTGAAAAATATTTCAATATTTTAATGTCTCAACTCAATAATGATTAAATATAATAATTAATAATAATAATAATTCATATTATGTTATTTTTAAAACGTAAAGTTCTTAAATCTTTTGATTTGCAAAAAAATTAGTAGATAAATAAAGCTATTAATTGAATTTTCTAGATAAAACAAAAACCATGAAACAAAAAAGGTTTTTTGTGAAATTTAACAAATGTCAATTGAAAAAATTAAACAAATAAAAACTTACTTCCACGTGATGCCAAGGAAATATGTCTTATTTTCATGTTAATATTTTGTGAAATATGTCTTATTTTCGAAATAAAATAACTAAAACTATATTAAAATGAGTATAATACAATTACAATAAAATACAGGAAAATACAAACACAAAACCGTCCAAAAATTACAGAAAATGAAAATATACCCTATTGTAATTTAAAAGACTATCAAAACAACACTAGTTTCTTGATTCTTCAATAACTCTACAAACTTTGTCAGTTATAGCAGGAAATAGCCTGAGAGAGATGTTAATATTGTGTTGGACAACAGGAAGCCCTCAAATCAAAACAGTTGAGGATGAGTAATAATCATTTTGACTGAACTCTCGCTTTAATTTCTGCATTAGTGTGTTCAGAACAAACAGGCTGACGATACAGATCTCCATCTGTGAATGACAGGACAGCTTCATTACCAGCGCGCCACTAAATGATTAATGTTCCTTTGCGAACACAAACATAAAAGCCACAGTATGACTTTGATATGACATGTTTGAAAAAGCACAGAAAGACTTGCAAACCAAAACTGTACAGTTTGATTGGAAATAATTAAACGTGCTTTATAAAGAATTGAAGGTTTCATTTGAAGCTGGACTGCATGTTAATTTTGAGCTTTTCACAAAGTGTGTTTTCTGTCTAATGGAAAGAAAACGAAAAACACACTTTCAAGTGTTTCTTTTGCTGCACTTTATTCATTTTGCGTCGTTGTTTATTATTATGGTATTTTTTTTTTTCTCCTGCACAACTTTTTTTCTGGCAATTTTTTCCAGTCATGTTGTGACAAATTATTAGTCTGTAAAAACCTAATGTTTTTATAGTATATAGTATGTATATAGTATGATAAACAGAAGAATTTTAACCCGACTTCATTCAATATTCAGATTTGTTTTATATATATATATATATATATCCATTAATTGTTGGCTTAGTCCTTTTTTTAATACGGGGTTGCCACAGCGGAATGAACCGCCAACTTATCCAGCAAGTTTTTACGCAGCGGATGCCCTTCCAGCCGCAATCCATCACTGGGAAACATCTACACACACATTCACACACACACTCATACACTATGGACAATTTAGCCTACCCAATTCACCTGTACCGCATGTCTTTGGAATGAGGGGGAAACCAGAGCGAACACAGGGAGAACATGCAAACTCCACACAGAAATGCCAACTGAGCTGGGGCTCAAACCAGCGACCCTGCGACCTTCTTGCTCTGAGGTGACAGCACTACCTACTGCGCCACTGCTTTGCCTAAGAAATAATTATTTCATTATTTTTAGTGTGGTTAGAGATAAATTTGGTAAATACAACACTATGAAACCATGACCCATGCGCTCATGCTCACTGCGAGCTCATACACAACATATACAAAAAGTAAAATCAGTTAGGAAGCATGTGGACATTCCATAAAATCAAGTACATAGTAGTTAAGGCCACTATAACTATAACTTAGTTACCAAAGTTTTACAACTGCAATTTAAGAGAAATAAAGCGATTCTGATTGATGGACAATGCAATTTCAGCAAAAGTAAAACCGACTTTTACCTTTCTCTTTTTGAAGGCCTGTCGAGACAGAAAGCCCCTGCAGGCGGCCTGAAACAGTGTGATGTTCTGTCTAGTGTGTTCATCCCTCTGTGCCTCTAGTTTAGCCACTGTTCCAGCCCTGAAGAACACCTAACAAATACGAACACACACACAAACACACACAGACACACACACAGACACACACACACACACACACACACACACACACACACACACACACACACACACACACACACAGAAGAGAGAGCTTATTAAGGGTGCATATTAAGATGCTCTTCAAATATCAAAGTAGAATCAAAGCACACCAAAATAATCTAATGTACTAAAAATAAAACCCACACAAAATGTTTATATTAAATATTCAAATAAAATAAAATGGTAAATAACATTATCAACACGGTAAAATACAACTAAGCATTTTTTTAATCACATTGACTTATTAAAGGGGAACCTATTATTCTTCTTTTTACAAGATATTAAATAAGTCTCTGACGCCACTAGACTGTGTATCTGAATTTCTCGCTCAAAATCCCACACAAATAATTTTCATTGGAAATAAAAGTTCATTTGTGCACCCTAAAACTCCACATTTATAATGCCTCTTGGTCACTGACATTATGTGCAGCACTAATGGAGGAAGGCTGCTTCTAACTCAGGGCTGCTTATGCTAATGAGGGAGAGATTGTCACTGATGGGTGGGACTTTCCCCTTCTGATGTCACAGGCAGAATGTCAATCAAAGTGTTTCTCCAGACTTTTTATCAAGTATTATTATAAAATATAGAATTAATTTATTTTTAATATTAGAGACTGGCTATTTTCACACACGTCTACATTACAATTGTGTTTAAACCCATTATAAAAGTGATTTTTGCATTATAGGTCCTCTTTAATGAGTAATTTAGTTATTATTTTGTTTATATTTTTTTACAGAACAATGATTCTAGTCCAAACAGAATCCAAAAATCATACAGAGATCATACAGGTACAGTAAATCTGCTTGATTGAACGGATATAGTCATGAAATCAGTTGATTGTAACACATTTACTATCATCATGGTGTAAAAAGCTGATGCTTTTACATGTAATTTTTGAATAAGTGTAAACGTAACATTCTGTAGTGCATTTAGTTATTGCCCAGCAGGCACACAACGTCATAAGACGTTGATATTAGGTTAGATTTAGGTTGTAATGTCAGGTGACCAAAATTCAAGTCTAGTCAGCGCCTAAGGACAACGTTATTTGGATGTCCAATAACGATGTCAAATGATTTCGGGTTGTGAGAGAGAAAGTGACCAAAATCCAATGTCGAGCCGACATCTTAAACCAATGTCATATTGACATCAAACACTGACATTTATTCATCAGTTATGGCAACCAAAATCCAACTTTCAATAGAGGTCATAGTGGTAACGTCTACACAACGTGAAGCTGCAGCATCATTAGACGTTGATTTTTGGTTGTTTTTAGGTTGGACGTTGGACATTGACAAAGGCCTAACATTGGGTTTTGATGTCAACCCAATTTTCATCTCCAAACAAAATGCAACATCCCTACAATTTCGGGGTATAACATCAATCTGATGTCGTATTGACATCTTGTGCCTGCTGGTTGTGTAAGACCATTTCGGTCAACATAAAGTAAACATCCGTCATCTTCTCATCAGTGACAAGCATCTAAACAGTCTCCGGGTCAATGCGTGTAGATTTTTTGGACATCTTCTAGTTCATTATGTTGCGATTTACCTTCTATGTGCGATTTGATGGACTTACAGGACTGATTTTTCAACAAGAAAAAATAAAGTAGTAACTGCAGGTTGAAGGAAAGTAGTTGGAATCCTTTATGAAGGGCTCCTGACATTATAATCCATTTCTGTGCCGCAGTTCAGCCTCCGCAAACGTTGACGCCAATTGCAGCTGCCACAAAATAATTACAAACCATTCCAACTTATAATACGCTCCAATAAACCTCTGTTCTTCTGGGAGCGTGCCAGACCGGGCTTGTTTACACGCGACACTGTTTATTTTTATTTATTTTTTTATCCAGGGGTCCTTTTGGCTCACCGTGATTTTCCAGCTGATGGGATTAAACTGTTGAGCGCCAGCGTCTGTTCACACTGATTAGGACACCAGGAAAAACAAAAACAGACAATGCAACTCATGCCGAGATGAGAGTTTCTTGGATGGACAGACTGAGAAACACTGCAAAAATGCTTTTCTTAAGCTCAGATTACATGTTGTTTTTTCCCAAATTTCGGCACGATTTGTTTGGCGTAGGGTTTCATGGGGATTCGTAAACGACAAATAGGCATTGGGACGCAAGATTGTTTCCTTACGTGTAGTGTGTGGCAACCAATGCCATGTCTGCAATGCTTCACAACGTCATCACAGCATGTTTCAGTTTTTTGTCTAGTTCCTAGTCCAAATACGTATTTAAAAATGAAGACTTACATCAAGAAGCATTTTCTAGTAGGCAAGTTTTTTCCTTTAAACTAGCAAAATAATAAATATGAAGAGCGACTTTTAATTTTCAGTCAGCCAGCTCAAGCAAACTTTCATTCCATTGTAAAATCCCAGCATTTAAGATCTAGTTTCTTCAAAAACCAGTGATCTGATTGAGATATGATATAAAGTCTCAGACTAGACAAGAAGCAACACATTAAATGACATTGTTCTGCACCCTGTCTTTAAAATCTGGAGATTTATTTTACCCCTGTATTTTCAATAGAGTTTGAGAGGTCGCTGGCGGTGCTTTCATTTAAATGACTCTTTCATCTCATTTTACACTCGAACAACTAAAGTCTATTTAACTGATTATATTATAATTAAATTACATTATTGATGATGTCAAAGGAACCTTGTGAAATTGAAAAGAGTCAAATTTACCATTCACCTAAAGTTTATCGGTGGCTAACAAAAACTATGCTGTGCAAAAAGCACATAGGTTTAGTAAAATAATCTTGTTTTTGGATTGAAACAATATTATTTTACTAAGTTAATTTAGACTTTTTCTAAAAAAAAAAATAAAATAAAATAAAAACATTTGTTCTACTTTTCTTTTACCTGATAAGGACAGCAATAATGAGCCTGTAGTGCATATCCGGGTAACGGCAAAAGTACCAGAACTAGAAAAATCTTGATGGTTCTGTGGGTCTCGTCTATCAAATCTGATCTTTAATTTGTGTTTTCTGTTGGGTTCAAGTCAAGTAATTGGTATTCTACAGCTTTATTTTCTTTCTCTGAAAGAATTTTAGAATTTCCTTGGCTGTGTTTTGCATCACTGTCGTGCTGAAATGTCCAGCCTGGTTTCATCTTTATCCTTCTAATGTAGAAGTTGGACTGAAGCAGCTAATATTAATTTATATTGAGGAAGGGCAGAGGATTACTCAAGAACTACTGAGATTTCAGCTGCATCATTTAATTATTACACATAACGTCATTTGCAAATTTGATTTTAATTTTAAATTTGTTTTCTTAGCATATATGGATTTCTTTGGTTGTTACCGACATTCGAGGAAATTTCATGTCAGTGGCACCTTTAGAAATATGTTTTCTGAACTTTGCTACCAGGACAAAAACTGAAATTTAGCACCACAATCAAATAGTTTTTTCATTTGTTGTTGTGAAATCTCTTTTGCCAGTTCACATGCACATCGCAATTTCAAACAAAACTTCGAAACATAATCAAGATGTTGTTCAGATCATTAGACCTGTGGTTTTTGTTTGTGGCGTATTAAAAATGAATTAAGCTATTTTTGATTAAAGCTATTTTTAGGCTATAAATAAGCTATTTAACCTATAGGCCCACAAAGAATCTGCAGATTTCCCAAAATTTTCAGCCCATCGAGTCGTGTTTAAAATTATATTTATTCAATTTCGAAATTAATTTCAGTAATATTATTGACTAATATGAAAATGTTTATATGATTTATTTAGAATACAGTTTGTAAAGGAATATTTTCAGTTGTTTAGTAGATATACTATATGGGAGACTTGCTTTGTTTACTAAATGAGTGGTTTAATTGGATTTGTATTGTTAACATAAAAAAAAAAGTTTAAAAGGTTTTATTTTTATTTCATATATTTAGTTTTTAGTTACGATACTCCTAAAATCATTCCACATAAATCTGCAGATTTTTAAAAAAATTCTGCACAGAAATAGCAAAAAATGTCCGCAGATTCTGTCTGGTCCTATATTTACTATTGTAAGAAATTATCAGCATTTGGTATATACTTTCAGTACCACCTTTGCTTGAAATGACCCGATCTAATCCTGTTTACATGAAATAAGCTGCTGCTCCCAAGCAGGCTTAAGCTACCAGACCTGTTGCTATGACAACAACCCTCAGATGAGTTTTGAAGAATGAAACTATCCTGGATCGTGTCAAATCATCAATAGCCAAATCCAGCTAATTGAGTAATGCACATACAAAGAACTGACCCCAGGTCTCCAGGTCTAGTTCTTACCTGGCTCAAATGCTACTTGATTTAAGATTAAATATCATTTAGACATTTGGAATAAAAACAATACCATAACTCTTAAGTAAGAAAAGCCACTTTTTCTGCAGTGAACACAAAAATTTTGACTCACCTGCATCATCGGATGCTTCTAAAATCACAAAACGAACGTAAAAAAGTGTGTATAAACTCACCCTGCTCAAACCCATGTGATAACTGCTCTTCTCCAGTTCCAGCGACTCCAAAAGCTCCTCTACAGCCTGCAATGACACACACACATTCACACACTCACTGTCATGTCCAGTTCACACAGTGTACATTACAAAGCACTGCTGACCCTGGTGCAGGCCTGCAGGACACACACTGGCCATAGAGTCCCCAAACTGTCCAGACCACCATCACCACTGACACTGTCCCTCTCTCTCACGCAGAAAGGTCTGGAGAACTCGATCTGTCTGAAAGGGCCCGTCTACATTACTACAGTTAAGGGGGATCTGGCCCCTGACTACTAAAGGGCCATTGTTTGAATGGCTTCACAAAACAGCTTCTCCTCCGAGACGCGTTTCCACCTCCCTCTGTCTCTTTCTCTTAGTGTCTCTCCAGATCTCCAGTTTTGCGTCGTTCCTTTTTTTCTGGGACTCGAAACAACACTAACCTTCACTGCTGTGTCACAAAAGGAGGACGGGTGTCTTTTTACCGCAGGTTATAGCAAAAAAAATTATAATAATAAAATACGGATATGTTATATGTACAGTGGAAGTTAGAATTATTAGCCCCCTTTTGATTTTTATTTTCTTTTTTAAATATTTCCCCAACTATTTTAAACAGAGCAATGAAATTTTCACAGTATGTCTGATAATATTTTTTTATTCTGGAGAAAGTCTTATTTGTTTTATTTCAGCTAGAATAAAAGCAGTTATTAATTTTTTAAAAAACATTTTTGGGACAAAATTATTAGCCCTTTTAAGCAAATTTTTTTCGATAATCTACAGAACAAACCATCGTTATACAATAACTTGACTAATTACCCTAACCTGCCTAGTTCACCTTATTAACCTAGTTAAGCCTTTAAATGTCACTTTAAGCTGTATAGAAGTGTCTTGAAAAATATCTAGTAAAATATTATTTACTGTCATCATGGAAAAGATAAAATAAATCAGTTATTAGAAATGAGTAATTTAAACTATTATGCTTAGAAATGTGCTGAAACAATCTCCCAGAACAAAACAGAAAATGGGGAAAATAAACAAAATAAACAGGGGCGCTAATAATTCAGGGGGGCTAATAATTCTGACCTCTACTGTATTTTATATAAACAGTTGAAGTCAGAATTATTAGCGTTCCTGAACTGTTAGCCCTCCTGTACATTTTCCCCAATTTCTGTTTAACGGAGAGAAGATTTTTCAACACATTACTAGACATAATAGCTTTAATAACTCATTTCTAATAACTTTATAATAACTTATCTTTGTCATGATGTACAGAATATTTTACTAGATATTTTTCAACACACTCCTATTCAGCTTAAGGTGACATTTAAAGGCTTAACTAGGTTAATTAGGCAAGTCATTGTATAATGATGATTTGTTCTGTAGACAATCAGAAAAAAACATTGCTTAGGATTGCTAATAATAATTGAAAAGTTCAGATGCAAAAACCTCTAAGTGCCGTCTGAAATGTCCATTGAAAATGAACATTTTTCTCAGCCTCCTTTGTTTATTTTGCGATATTTCACTTTAAAGACCAGGAAAAAGTATTATTGTTTGCCATAAAAGTGATGTTACTGAAAAGTGATGTTACTGAACTTTTCCATTACACTACTACACAATGTGACTACATGATCTTATAAGTGTGACTTTTTTCTTTTCTTTATGTTTTTATTTCTGCCATTATGGCTATCTCACAAGTGTGACTTCATTTTCTCTTATTCACAGTGTTTTATACCAGACTTTACTCATCAGAAAATATGATTTTATATCATAGTATGAAGATTTCCTGTTTTTTTTTCTCTCATAATTGTGACGATATAATATATAGATGTAAACAGACTTGTATTTTATTATCTATTACAATATGACTTACTTTTTATCTAATATTTATCTCATAATATGACTTAACTGTATAATGCACAGTATGACTTATCAGAAAATATGACTTTATATCATAATATGCATATATTTGATTTATTTTGAATATATTTTTCATAATTACGACTATATCCCACAGATTTTTATTATAAAATGAATTTATTAAAACATCATAAAAATCTTTATTTATATCTATATATTATATAGTCAAAATTATGAGAAATGTAATCTAAAAAAATCCGATATATTCATATTATGATAATAAAATCAGTTTACTTATCAGAAAATATGACTTTATATCATAATATGAATAAATCTGATTTATTTTGAATATATTTCTCATAACTGCATCTATCTCTTACGATTGAGCCTTAATCTCATAATTGTGACTTAATTTCTTTTAATTATGATTATATATTTCAAATAGGCAACAATTGTGATTTGGCTTTCTCATAATTACAGTTTTATATACCACATGACTTTATAATGTACATTTTGTGACGTTTTTACAATACCTTAATAGTTAACCTGCATATAATTTATGCAAATGACATTAATATTTAAATCGAATGATGCATTATGCTAAATTTCCTAATGAAGCTCCAGCAAAGCCAATTTTTTCCTTGCATTTGGCACAGGGTTAATCCTGAATCCTGTCTGCCATTTACACGCTCAGGGCCACAGAGCAAAGGTTTTTGTGTAGTAAAACTCTCCGTTCCCCTCGGCTAATCACAGGGCCAAAACCCGATTAGGAGGCCCCTGGATGGAGCCGTTTTTTTTCCAGCTAATAATTACAGTACATTTGGGCATTTAGTAAAGCGCTAAAGCCCAGAGCAATTACTACATTTTTCCTGTCTCGTCCGAGTATTGATTCAAGTTGGAGGCCCAGCTGGGGTTTCTTGATTAAGCCCTCACAATAACCCTGATTACCCAGAGTTCATTTCTGCCTCAGACTCAGACAAAAACACACACAAGAGCCCAAAACTTCATTTCGCCAGCTTTTGTTCTATTATTCCAATGCTCATTATTCTCTTAAATACTGTATCTACTCACTCGTTTTTCATCTTTCACGATGTAGTTTCGGCCGAGTTTCTTGGTCAAGTGAGGAGCCAGAACGTCAAAGCGTCTTCTGAACTCGGAGAACACCATGTGGTCGGGATAACCTGTGCAAAACATTCAGATTTTTAGCTGGAATTAATAAAGCGGACTTGATGTATGTAAGGCTTCTAGTGCAATAAATTGCAAAAGCTTTTGTCATGGTATACGGTAGCACGTCATGATTTTGCCAAGCACGATGCGATCCTAGATTAACATCTATGTTGATCCTATAACATCATTTTTGTTCAAAAATGTAATCCATACCTTTTCCCTACCCCTAAACCCAGCCATAACTGTATATTATTCCCAAAATCAGAGGGGAACATTAGATGGATAACAATCATGTGAAGTGCATAAACCTAACCGTAAGGCTAATCTTAACATAAACTGAAAATAAATCCCTAATTCTGATTGGAATGTTGTTCCAGGATCAATATACACTCATTGGCCACTTTATTAGGGACACCTTACTAATACCAGGTTGGACTCCCTTTTGCCTTCAGAACTGCCTTAAGCTACGGTCACACTACAGTTTGAGAATGCGATATTCTGTTGTGTGGAATTTCTGCCCAGAGATGACATGTTTTGATCCTCGACTGTTCTCACGCAGTCAAGTGATGCGATTTCGCAGGTCAGAGTTCACCAAGCTTGAACTTTGCAAACTTGAAACTTGACGCATTGCATGACCCCGCAGTTCCGGTCTGATGCATTCGCGTGCGTATGAATGGAAGTCTATGGGAGGAAATGCCCAGTGTGACCGCAGCTTCAATCCTTCGTGGCATAGATTCAACAACTACTAGAAATATTCTTAGAGATTTTGGTCCATATTGACATGATAGCATCACACAGTTGCTGTAGATTTGTCGGCTGCACATCCTTGATGCGAATCTTCCGTTCCACCACATCCCAAAGGTGCTCTATTGGATTGAGATCTGGTGACTGTGGAGGCCATTAGAGTACAGTGGCTCACTGTCATGTTCAGGAAACCAGTCTGAGATGGACATAAAGGGATGGACATGGTCAGCAACAATACTCAGGTAGGCTGTGGCATTGACAAGAAGCTCAATTGGTACTAATGGGCCCAAAGTGTGCCAAGAAAATATCCTCCACACCATTACACCACCATCAGCCTGAAGCGTTGATACAAGCCAGGATAGATCCATGCTTTCATGTTGTTGATGCCAAATTCTGACCCTACCATCTGAATGTCGCAGCAGAAATCGAAACTCATCAGACAATGTTTTTACAATTTTCTATTGTCCAATTTTGCTGAGCCTGTGCGAACTGTAGCCTCAGTTTCCTGTTCTTAGATGACAGGAGTGGCAACCGGTGTAGTCTTCTGCTGCTGTACCCATCCGCCTCAAGGTTGGACGTGTTGTGCGTTTAAAGATGCTCTTCTGCATACCTCAGTTGTAACGAGTGGTTATTTGAGTCACTATTGCCTTTCTATTAGCTCAAACCAGTCTGACCATTCTCCTCTGACATCTAGCATTAATAAGGCATTTGCACCCACAGAACTGCCGCTCAATATTTTTTCTTTTACAGACCATTCTCTGTAAACCCTAGAAATGGGGACAGGTATAGCTAATAAAGTGGCCGGTGAGTGTAGATGTTAAACCAAGAACATGTACTTTGTGAAATTAGGTTGGTGACATAAGGTTTTATCACGGTATTGACCCAAGCAGCAAAAATATTAATTTTACAGGTATAAAAACAAAAAACACTTTGCATATTGTTTTACTGTGTATACGTGTTCAATGTTTTAAACGATATAAATTGCAAAAGAATGATAAAGTACACTTTACAAGAAAGTCTCATTAGTAAAAAATAGTTAATGCATAAAAATCAACAATGAGAAATAGCCCTATTGAAGTTTTTTAAGTGAATTTTAATAAAACGATTCAAACTTTTGATTTTAATGCATTATTAGGAATTGACTAAGAAATTAACATCAGACTTTAGTTATATTAACTGATGGTAACAAATAGAGCCTTACTGTACAGAGTTAACAAACAAAAGGCCTATAGTCACAGAATTTGTCATAGAAAAGGTGTCGTAGGAAGGATTAACTGTAAGTATTAGTGTTTGAAAATAGATCAAATGCTGTGACGATGATGAACTATTCTTAAAAAGCACTCTAAAAGTGTAAACCAATAATTATGAACTGTATTTTCCTACAATATCAATATTGTGCATGTTCATTATCTTGATATATTGAATGAATATTCAATATATCAAATGTCTACATGTTTGATTGGATATTCTCATATTTTCTCACCTTGTCTGTAAATCCTTAAGCTGTCCAGCAGTTTAAAGCCGTGGATTTGAGCCCTGAGCAAAGCCACATCGATCTGCATAAGTCCAGGATCACAGCTCTCATCTGGAGACCCTGCGGCCCTCAGAACCTCCGCTCGGGGTAACAGACAGTGGACAAAGTGAACTTTGGATCTGCGGATGGTGTCCAACAGTGCATCCTGATTGAAAGGACCAAATTTATAAATTAGCATAAGAGTGTGATAAATAAAACTCTGTTGGTGATTTAGACAACCTGCAAAATAAAGAATCCAGACACAGCAGCTCATTTGCATCAAAACCAATATAATCTATCAAGAGGAACTGTTAAGTCTTAAACATCAGTGTAATCAAACATATTCGCCCATGCTTGTGTCGTTAACATGTCAAAAATAAGATGAGTTGGATAACATCATCTTTTTCTTTTTGTTGTTTCTCATCTTAAACTGTAAATTTCCTTAAAAATGCTATTAAACCCATTTCCTTTAAAGTTAAGCCAGCTTAACAGTTCCAAGTTACAACATGTTTAGTCACTTTAACTAAAGTCAACAAGTACAGTAAACTTATTACCTTAAAAGGTGCTGCATTTAAGTTTTTAACTCTTCTAAAACATAAAAATACCACAATATGTTTGCAGGTATTGAAAAAACATGTTAAGTGAACATACTTGTTTATCTGAAAAGCAATGCTAAAGTCAGTTATTCTGCATTGAAAATGTGCTTTCCGTGTCGGAATGTCTGTCTTTGCTTTGGTTTCTATAACCAGCCCACTGCCAGTTTAAAGTTTCCATGAAGTGCTTTTTGAAATTTGCATATTTTTTTTCAATGTTTAATGTAATCTCAACCAAAAAATGAAGGGTAGCACATTTATTAGCTCTTCCTCTTTGTAAAAACAGCCAATAAGGTTTTGTTTTAACCACAGCTCTGCCAGTAAGAGTGGTTGAACTCAAGCATATCGAATGAGAAGTGTCTTGAAGGGGGCGGGGCATGTCAGAGACTTGATTGGACAAGATTTGATGAGAAACTGAAGTATGAGGTGACGTGAAAAAATCGTTGATCCACTTAAGCGTGACAAACTGCAAGCTCTGGATGTTTATTTCAGTTTTATATTTTCATATTCTCCATATTTGGAGCACACTAGCTAATAAATATTCTTAAAACTAACAGACTGAAACTAAAACCTCATTTTTTTTTATTTCATAGGACCTTTAACCAATTATATTTTGGCCCCCCTGAAAACAGTGTATTTTCAGTCATAAAGGTCGAAAACGTGACCTCCAGAAGACAGTTGCAGCCTCCAAAATGAGACGCTGTTTTAAAATGATAATAATCCACATGAGATGGTTTTTAATTAGCAAATAATATAAATATTACAAATGTCAACCTTAGATGAGCAGCTTACAGTGTTTGGCTTAATCATCAGACACATACACTCCAGTTGGTGTCGTCAATCTTTAGACTGTTAGTAATTTGAGCCGAAAATCTGTAGTTTACTAGGAAAAGATGGGCAGTTTTGCTTGGTTATTGTAACCCAATGTTGGTCAAAAATGGAAAAAGCCAGCTATTGGAGTGTTGGGTTAAAAAGTTAATGTTTAATTTGTTCAAATTTGACCCAACAGTATGAGAACCCAGAAGTTGTTAGAGTATTCAGCCTGGGACTCTTGAAAACCCACCACTTGGAGTTTAATCTGAAGGCAAAGAGACTTCTTTTTGACCGCCGCCATGCCTGTGGTGAAAGTCTTCCTCATGCTGGTGGCCCGACGCATGGCGAGCTGAGAAACGCCCTCCAGTCCAGCAATAGATCCGGTCAGAACCGCAGCACTGCTTGAGCGACCCACAAACATCCCGCTGATGCTTTTCCTGTTAGAACAAAGAGAAGAAATATGATACCGTGTCTACAGCTGATGATACTGAGAAAAACAACAAACATTTTCTAATAGATGAATGATTCAATGACTAAATGCGTCAGATTTATGAATGACTCTTCTGAATGAGTCCAATGTGATTTCGAATCTGCAACAAAATCTGACATAAACTCAAACCCAAACCCCAAAAATGTTGTATCTTATGCACATATTTGACACCTAAAGTGATGTGATCAGTCTTACTTCTGTGAGTTCAGCAGCAGATTGGCTGCGTTCTGGGGGGTGGGGTTTAGCCTGGCTAGATTCAGCCAACCATATGTGTCATATTCCACCCAGTCTGTCCCATGACTGTGTCCGAGCACAAAGTGGTTTGTGTTTTCGCTTTTAAGCACCACTGTGTGACCTGCAGAAAGACAACAGAATGCACAAACTGGTCCCAGGCAGAATGTAAACTTTTAGGAGTACTATTTTTTGTGATTGACTGTGTTTGTGACCTGTACTTTCCCCCTCGGCAGGGCCATAGTAACTAAAGAGTCGCTGCAGGAGTGTTTCCTCAGACCCTCCAGGCTGTAAAACCTCCTCCTCCATCAGCCAGAACAGACCTCTGGCTTCATCAGTACGAGACAGAGTACGTACCTAAAGCACAGACATGAATGTCCAGTCGAAAAATAACAGTGTTCACTTTTCAACACACACTTTTCCATCAGATCTCATATACCTATAAACATTGTTTAATCAGACCACAGTGTGTCACTTTGACTGAAGGGACAAGATTACTCTACAGTGGCAAGGAACTTTCTCATCCACATACAGTTGAAGTCAGAATTATTAGCCCCCCTGAATTATTAGCTCTCCTGTTTACTTTTTTCCTCAATTTCTGTTTAATGGGGAGAATTTTTTTCAACACATTTCTAAACATAATAGTTTTAATAACTCTTTTGGGGGTATAACAGTCTTATAAATGAAATATTAATAAAGTGCGTGAGTAAGTGGATTTGCTGCATTTTTACAAATCTCAGCCAGACAATATAATGACAAAAAAAACACTTATGATAGCCTAACATAAATCTTTATTTGTACCTTTAATTTATTTTTTTTTAGCTATTGTTCAAGCTACACTAATGTCTTGAAATGTAACTAACACATTTAGCTACTATTATTTTAAATGACAATAGATAGTAACATTTAACTTTTTCCTAACACTGATAGATGATTAGTTGGGTAAAAGGCAATAGGTGAAGCATGATTACTCAGGTTATGCTGATTTCACTATGTTTTTTTAGCGGTTATTCGAATAGCCTATCCGTGGGTTAGCTTGGATGTGTGGGCATAGTTTGATGTCTTTACCTAAAACTTTAAACACTTATGTTATAAAAAAAAAAAAAAAAAAAAAACGGAACGAAATAAGTAGAATAAATTATAATTAAAACCATAATTTTTAAGCTAAAGCCATGATTACAATTACAATTATCAGGACAGCTTATCTTGGCATAAATCAGTCATAAACATGATTGTCATGAGGCTATTATTATTATTATTATTATTATTATTATTTATTGTTATTAATAATAATAATAATATCATGAATATTATTTGAATATTGTGATTGCATTTGAAAAATTTATTTTGAATTTGTAAAATTAAATATCAAATATTGATAACTTGACATAAACAAATACATCATAACCTGTCTTTGTCCTGACAACTACAATTACCAAGTCAGCATAACTTGTCATAAATCTGTCATAAACATGATTGTCATGAGGCCATTATTATTATTATTATTATTGTTATTATTATTATTATTATTATTATCATTATTATTATTATTATTATTATTCTTTTAATCATGAATGTTTTGTAATATTGAATTTGAAAATTTTAATTTGTCAAAGTAAAAGTCAAATAATATCTTGACATAAACAAATACATTATAACCTGTCTTTCTCTTGACAATTACAATTTTCAGGACAGCATATCTTGTCATAAATCTGTCCTTAACATGATTGTCATAAGGCCATTATTATTATTATTATTATTATTATTATTATTATTATTATTTTATCATTTTTTTAATCATGAATATTTTTAGATGTTAATTGTATTTGAAAAATGTAATTTGTCAAAGTAAATGTCAAATAATAACTTGACATAAACAAATCCATCATAAACTGTCTTTGTCTTGACAATAATAATAATCAAAACAACATAACTACTCATAAATCTGTCACAAATTTGATCATCATGAGGCCATTATTACTGTAATGAATATTTGAAAAATGAATATTTTTGGAATATCTTAATTGAATAATTGAATATGAAAAACTGAAGTAAATGTCAAAGACTTTTATGACAGCATCATGATTATTTAATAACATGTATTTACATTTTAACATTCTGTACGTTTTTACATTTGTAGTTGAGTTCAGCACAAAATATTATCGATGCTGTCATCAAATTCATGACACAATTCACAAAATCCTGGAGGGACGGATTGACTGAATAGATGGATTGATATGCGACCCCCCCAAAAAAGCTAATGTAATTTCAACTCAGCAAGTATAATGATTGGATAACACACAGTAAGTATACACAAGAACATTCACTAAAATAGTCAGACAGACAAACAAGCATCATGTGTTGAGTGGTTGTGGACGAGTGTCTCACCAGGGTTTGACTGGAGGACTGATCGATCACAGCCACTGAGCGAGAAGGACTGGGCTCCAGGTCATCCAGAGTGATTTCAATGTTCTCCTATGGGACACACAGACAGAGGGTTCATGTGTTGAATTCATTTGTGACTCATGATGCTCTGCTTCAGTTAAAATACACAGAAATAAACCAACCAGCAAATAATTGAATATGTTAATACTTGTGGAGATAATCAAAATAATAAGCCATTATAATGTGGAAGATGAATAAAACATATGATAGATATCATAAAAGCAAAGACTATGTAAGAACTGGTAACACTTTACATTAATCTTTTATTAGTAAATATATTTAATTGTAATTACAAACATGAACAATACATTTATGTTAATGTTAGTTAGTGAAAATAAAGTTGTTCATTGTTAATGAACCGACTGAATACTTTCCCTCTTCCCTGCTATGTCCGATCATCAGTGAAAATGGTATAAACCAATATGGGGGTCAAATTATACTGACATTATTTGTTATTAGTACTAATATAGGCTGCATGTTGGCTCAGTGGTTAGCACTGTCGCCTCACAGCAAGAAGGTTGCTAGTTCGAGTATTAGCCACTTGGCATTCCTGTTTGGAGTTTGCATGTTCTCCCCGTGTTGGCGTGGGTTTCCTTCGGGTGCTCCAGTTTCCCCCACAGTCCAAAGACATGCGCTATAGGTGAACTGGATGAACTGAATTGGCCGGAGTGAATGACTACGTGTGTGAAGTTAGTGCAGTGGTTCCCAACCACCGGGCCGCGGACCGGTACTGGTACGTAAAAACAATTGGTACCGGGTCACATAAGAAATCATAAATTATTTCTGTAGAAAATATTCCCCCCGTGACTTGGTTTCTTCCACTTACCCCCGCCGTCTCACGTGAAATAGACAATGCCAAAATCCACCACGGAGCGGGAAGAACGATCGCTAGAATGTAGCTCAGTGATGGTTGTTGATAGTTTAAAGTTATAAAACAGGTATTATAGAGTCCATGTCAGCAGAGCATTTAAGGACTGTGCATATATGTGTGCGTGCATCGCTAAGTAAGTACCCGAAATCATTGCAATATGTATCCTAAAATGGAGTTTCACATAATCATACTCATTAAGGCTGTAACATGCCAATGCATACATTTAATTCGGCTATATTATTGTTAATATGTTCGTCAGTTGAGATGTTTGGCACAGACGTTATGTATTTGATGCATATAAACCTTGATTGAAACATAATCAGAGCGCGATAGTGCAACTAGCTGTTCATGATTAACCTGGATGCACGAGCGCAGCAGCTGTGTTCACGTGAAGACACCCAACAACGCATCGTTGTAAAATGGACAAACGTTGACCGGTCTGCGGTGATAAAAAGGTTGGGGACCACTGAGTTAGTGTATATGGATGTTTCCCAGTAATGGGGTGTGGCTGGAAGGGCATCCACTGCATACAACACATGTTGGAACAGTTGGCGGTTCACTTTGCTGTGGTGAGCCCTGATAAATAAGGGACTAAGCTGAAGGAAAATGAATATATAGTACTGATATTGTTATTATTTTTTAAAATACAGATTACCCATGACAACCCCCTATCACACACTTATGTAATTTTGACATCCTTTAAGAGAGATCAAACATTAAATCAAACCCCTCCAAGCCCCCCTGTAAACAGCACCCTGCAGAGAGATACAAAAGAGCTGGTACTGCCCTAGTGCCCTATTTTTTTTTACATTGAGAGTGTAACGTGTTTTTGTTTTACACAAAAGACACAGAATCATGGGTGTTTTTACACACCTCCTTGTAACGCTCCAGCTCCTTTACGAACGTTCTCTCCTGAAAAAGCGTCTGTAGACGTTCCTGAGCATAATTATGGCAGAGCTCCTCAAACGTGGCGCTGCGCTGTATCTGAGTCTTCACCTGCCGAGGGTTCTGGAATCCTGGAGTGTCCACAATCAGCAGAGAACACAGAGAGTGCTGACTGGACTTCAGCGCTCTGAAAAGAGACCAAAAAAACATCTCTAAACACACTAAATCAGCCCCCACTGTACTGGGTGATTAAGGGTTACTGATTACCTGTTAATCAGAGAGATGATGAGCGTGAAGAGCTCTGAGTATAAACCAGCCGCCATGGACTCCAAACACTCCGCCGCTGTGGCTTTAGATGCTAAAAATGAACACAAAGTTCACTTGTTTTGAGATATAAAATAGATCTTGATTCGTGACATAAGCCATGAGAGTATTTATTCATAACGTGACACATCATGAACATGGAGATTTTATGTATGCTTATGACAACTGTCTTTAAGTGCTGTTCACTCAATTATGCTATCTTTGGGTGCTTTCACACCTAGACTTGTTTCGGAACCTGCCTCATTTGCCCAGTTAGCGCAGTTGGATTGGCATATGTAAATATAGCAACCAAAACAATTGGTCCGAGATCGCCTCGCCTACAATCCGAGCCCAGCTATATCACAGTGTTATATGGATATGTAATAGGCATAAGGGCTATATGAAGAGAGTATTATGAGTAGGGCGGGAGGTCATTCCAGACATTTCAAGTCTCCTGGAAGTTCCGGGAGTCTTCCGCAAATGTTCCAAAATGCCCGCAAATGAGTGATAATCTCCCTGAAATCTTGCGTCTCTCTCCCGGTCCTCAAATAAGTCGCACACCCTTCTCACCCCTTCCCACCACATCCCTGCTCGCTCTTCAGACACGTCGCGCGCACCATGTCAAACACCACCAAGATGTCTTAGTTATGACTATTTTACATAAATACAATATAACCTCTCTTTGTCTATATCATCAAAACTTGACATTACCAAGACAAATTGTCATAAACCTGTCATAAACATGATTATCATGATGCTATTATAACTGTTGTGAATTTTTTAACAGCGTCATTAATAGTTTTTTTTTACCTCAACTACAGTGAAACAAATCGAATTTGTCATTAAAATGGCATTAAATATCAGTGTCACTGTTTTAAAATTACATAAAATTATTAGAAATTTTCATAAGAAATTCAGTTTGTTCCGCTGAAAAAGAAAAGTGATCAGAAGTTTATTTATAAACTAATTTGGAGAGGATCACATGCTTATGATTGACCTCAACTGGTCCTGCATTAGCAATCCAGGATTCACCAATCGGATGATTTCTAACTCACTATATATAATCAGAGTTTCTTACCTTAGTTACCTTCGCCTTGAAGAATCCCCCCCCCCTCCCTCCATTCCTACTCCTACCTCCTTTCCTTGACAGCGTGGCATGGCAGCCCAGTAGTTAGCACTGTTGCCTCACAGCAAGTTTGTCATTGATTCAAATTCAGACTTGGCCAATAGACGTTTCTGTGCAGAGTTTCCCCCTGCATGCGTGGGTTTCCCCTAGGTTTTCTGGTTTCCTCCCACAGTCCAAAGACATGTGACATAGATGAATTGACCAAACCAAATTGGCACCATTGATAAGCTCTTAATCAGCAATTCCTAATTGCCATTAGCCATATAAAAAGCGGGAGTTCTTGAGACATACCAGAGCTTAAACTTCCCTCTTGCCTTACAAACGGAAGGGAGCCCCAGGGAAAGTAACTATTTCTTAACTTTAAAAAAAGTACATTTGTCAATTGACTATAAAATAAATATAAAACATTGTACAGTAATCTACACCATTTTAATGTTGTTGTGGGATAATGTGAGAGATAACAGCAGCATGTCCTCAACTATATATCTAGATATTATTTTGTTTAATTCTGTGTTTGCGGTGGAGAAAAATTCAGTTTTATGTGCTTTGACATCATGGCGTCATCTCCTCCTTTGGTAGCAGAGCTCATGTTATCACCTGCATAGCCACTAATTTTGAGGTGGGATGTTACAACATGAGGTGCTTCATTAGATTGGAATTACTTGTCAGCGATACAGAGAAACTTTTTATCCTTGCATGAGTTGCACGATAGATAAACATTCCTGCCATTCACCTCAACCAGGGACAAGTAGTGCTTATATTTCTAGTTAGCAAATGCTACCTTTGAACTTTTTGGATTTGCCATCATTCTTACTTTGGATTAGACACCATCTTATGTTAACACCACCACTACTCTGCCACTGATTGGCTAACAATAAAAATTTACTCTATCTAAACCAATCATCAAGTTCTCTGTTACACCACTTTTACGCCAATCATCATCACTGGTTGGTTATATGTTCTGCCCCAGCACCGAACACACATATACACCAGAGAAAGAGAGGTACTTTGGCTGAGAAAGACGCTGCTCGCATGTAAACAGCTTCAATGTTCTTAATTATAGTAACGCGGATCTTATTGTCAGTAACGGTAACGACGTTGTAACAGGGGAAACAGTGATTCTGTGAAACATAAATTGGGGACTTGTCCGGGATTTGAACCTGGGACCTCTCGCACCTGAAGCAAGAATCCTACAACTAGACTGTGTAATTCTTAATCACTCGTCACTAAAAAAAGTATTGCTGCAAGTAACGCTATTTATTTATAGCACCTTTATTTCCATCACTGATCATAACGATTATGTTTATGACAGGTTTATGACAAGTTATGTTGTCTTGATTACATCAAGTTGTCATGACAAAGGATACAATGTAACTATTTGTCAAGTTGCAAAAAAGACAACTCAAACAAATGTCATCTTTGCATTTATTTAATTAATGGCACTTAATGACATTTGTTATAAGCAAGCATAGAATCTTCTTCATAATCATGGCATGTGCTTTGTCATAATTATAAAGGTGTCAGTCTTATGAACACCCCTTCATGTAAAGTGTTATCAAAGGCAATAGCAAAGATAAACTACCTGCGTGGTCCGTGTCTTCCGTACTCGGCCGGAGGCTTGCAGAGCGTGGTAGTGTACCTTTTCCTTGAGGTTTAAAGATGGCAGAAGACAGCTCCTCCAGTGAGCAGCCCAGAAGATACGCTGCTTTCTGTGCCCATTCATGTCTGGCAAACTGCTTTCGGCCAGCTGAAAGGTCAAAAAGCCACATTCGCAAAAGAAAAGCAGCATTACAACAAAACCTCCATCACATTACACTGAACTACAATAGATTTTCAAGCTACTCTGAGAGCTCTTTGGTCAAGCGTCCGGAGAAACTTTCATCTCCTGGATTGAGGATCAAAGAAAGGAACATTTTCATTCGGGCGCTCGACATCAGAGAGCAGAAACAAGCACAAAGGCTGATGAAAGGTGGACACGTGGTTGTATTAAGATGCTAAATAAATAAGAATGATAAAAGCAGCCACTAGAGACTGAGTGAGAGTAACTTGCATTTACCTGCGTCTGTTTCTGTGTTAGGATGGGAGCAACATGCAACATCAACACATGCAATAAAACACATGATTACAATGGTTAAATAAATAAAAAACAACTGGTATAGATGAAGAAACACTATTAAATACTGATGATGATGATGACTGACAAATGTTTTTAGAGCTCAAACACACACGAGACTGCTAGATTAGTATTGTGACTCTACTGACTCTTAGTGGACAGATGGTAAAATACACTCAGTCAAATGAATGAAAGTGATTCAACTGCAAGCAATAGCGCTATGCTAATATTTGTGAAGGATATAAGAAATAATACAATAAGAATTTATGGTAGAAGGCGATTAGGGTTAAGTGATTTTTAATTATTTTTTGAACGACATATGTCAAGAGTAACAGTAAAAAAAACATTTATAACGTTACAAAAACTCTAAAGTCAAAAAGGTAACATAATACCATCATATTTGAGAGGTTTATTTAATGCTTGATCAATACAGAGTAAATGAAAAGCATTTGTTTAATATAGATTTTGTAACATTATAAATGTCTTTACTGTCATTTTTAATGAATCTAATACATGTTATGTGTTTACTGTCATTTTTGATTTATTTAATACTTTGCTGATCAACAGAATATTTTAAAACAGGAGCATTTGTTCAAATCATTTATTAATTTTAAATATTTTTTTAACATTATAAATGACCTTGATGCTAATTTTTGCTAATTCGATGCATACTTGATCAATATAAAGACCAAAAGATCTGCGTTTATTCAATTTTAATATATTGTAAATATCTTTACAGTCATTTTTGATTATTTTCACGCATGCCTAATCAATAGAACCCAAAAGAACAGCATTAAGTGTCATTTTTCAAACATTATACATGTCTTTTCAGTCAGTCATGATCAAATTTAAGACATTTATAAAGTTAAATATATATTTTAAATAGATGCAGTTCTTTTGACTATTCTGAACATTAATAAATCAAAACAATTATCAGTTTTCACAACAAAAAAAAGCACAAAGAGTCTAAACAAAAAGAGTCTAAAAAGTTTCCAAACAAAAATATGAAATGGCACAATAATTCTAAACACTGGTTGTTTCTACTATTAATCAGAAATATTTAATGACGCAAATTGTCTAATGGCTCGTTTCCACTAAGTGGTATGGTATGGTTCGGTACGCTTTTATGGCCGTTTCTGCTGTCAAAAGGTACCAAAAGGGTACTGTACCACTTTTTGGGTACCCTAAGGGTGCTTTCACACCTGTGAATCGATTCAGTTGTTCCGAAACAGAAATTACATTAGTTACATTGTTGCTCTTTGCTCTTGGAGCGGTTCGCTTTCACACTGCAAAGTTTCTAATCGGACCAAAAGAGCTAAAACAAGTCACGCGCGAGTAAACTCTCTTCACATTGGTCAGAGTGTCAGGATTTATTTTGCAGTGTCCCGCTAAGCTGTCAGGAGAGGTGGTGGTTTGGTGGTGATTGACAGGGTGCACGCGCGACGTGACTGAGGAGAGACGCGGTGGGGAGGGGTGAGAAGGGTGCGCGATGATGCCTATTTGAGGACCGGGAGGGAGACGCGAGAGGGAGGAAGACGCGAGATTACCGGGAGATCATCACTCGTTTGCGGGCATCGGGAGACTCGCAAAACTTCCTGCCCTACTCATAATTCTCTCTTCATATAGCCGTTAGCCTATTACATATGCATAAAACACTGTGATATAACCGCGCTCGGATCAGATCGTTTTCTCACTGCAATTGAACCGCTCCAGGGTTCGTTTCAATCGAGCCGAGTCCACCTCACTCAGGCGGTCTCGGAGGGATTACTTTGGCACGGAACAGAGCGTGATTGCCCTGTTCACATATGCCAAACGAACCGCGCTAACTGGGCAAACGAGATACATTCCGAAACAAAAGTGTAGGTGTGAAAGCACCCTAAGGGTAGCCTAGCACACCAAAAAGGTACCAAAAGGCGGAGCAAGACGCTAAATGCTATTTGTTTACAAAGAAGCATCAATCGAGCAGAAGAATGAAAACAAAACAAAACGCCATTTTTAAATACACAGCCGAGACATTATGTATTAATACTATATGCATATAATAATGAGCCATGGTTGACCCGAGCTCAGACAAACCTTGTTGTCGTCATGATGAACAGCCACAAAGCCAAGAATAACAAAATCTGCCAGGTCCTACTTTTGTTTTACGAGGTCTCCTAAAGGTGCGAGCGGTTTCACTTTCTCCAGGGAGCTTGTGATCGCTCGCGTGCGCATCTATATTTGAAATATCGAACTTTCTGAACTGATGATAATAACATGCGACGTTACCGTAGTCTATTTCGCACTGTCATTGACCTGCAGTTATAATCAAATCATGTTCATAGAAAAGTTAGTCATGAACATTTATACACAAGTATTTATGTGTATAAAGCATCTGTTTTGTGAGAAGTGCTTCTCACATGATATGTGAACGACCCGTGCAGCTTTACTTTGAGCGCGATTTCCTACAGTGAGAATGACGTCAACTTGTACACCACACCCACTAAAAGGATGATAAAGGTGACCTGTACCGACCCGTACCATACCGTACTGTACCAGTCAATGGAAACAGAAGCATGACTGTAAAGTGCCACTACTGACTCTCAGTGGACAGATGTTAAAATACACTCTTTGCAGTCAGACATTCCTTTATTGTAGTTCTCTTCCTACATTTAAATATTTGTATTAGTTTAGACACTGGTAGCTTTACCTTTAGTGGCCCCGGCAGCACCGAGATGGTAAATGGCCCCTAAGATCAGCCAGACAGTCTTCAGTTCTTCAGGAGAGACTCCCAGCACTTTCATGGCAGCCTGTAGCTTGGTGAACTGCTGAGTGGCTTTCTGCTTGTCATCGAGCTACAGAAAAGGGCGTATGATATAAGGTTTACTGATAAAATAGTTATGCATTATGAAGATCTGTGTGGCTTTTCTTACCTTTGAGGGAGGATGGAGTCCAAAAGTGCTGTTCTCAGCCAAGTGATTGAAATGAAGTTCAGTCCTGAAAGGCAGACAAAGTTCCTTCAGCTGATCAGCTTTAATCTGAACAAGTTGCTGTTGTGGAGGAACATTCACTTGCATACTGTTTTAATCATTTATCTGCACAATTCTTGATATTGTTGCAGTCTGTTTAAAATATTGAACTAATCTGAAGAAATTTGAATTACTTAACAAATTAATCAGTCTTCTGAATCAGTCTCTTGAATGAATGATTCATTGACTCAGTCGGTTGTGAAGACTTCACTTGTCCCAGCTTTTGTTAGCAATTCTTTTGAACAACAAATGATTCAGTGATTACTAGAAAAAAAGTATAACTATTTTTGTTTGAGTTTCTTAAATGAATGATTTAGTTACTCACTCAAAGATTTCATTACTGGATGATTAAGAATTTTTGAACTAATAGTAATTCTCTTGAACAACAAATAATTCGGTGACCAGGAATTATCAGTGTTTTTGTAGAAGATTCTTATAAATGAATGGATCAATGTCCATTCTTCATTACTCAGTGTCATTACTTGATAAATAAACTTTTCTCTTAAACAGGTGATTCAGTTACTAGGACTTGTTTTATAACTGGATGAATCAGTATTTTTGAATTATTCTCTTAAACAAACTATTAAATCCCTTCGACTTGTTTCATACCTGGATGAATCAGTTTATTTGATCAGAAGTTTCTTGAATGAATGATTCAATAACTCAATGATTCACTTGTTTCATGGCTGGATGAATCAGTTTTTTTAATCAAAAGTTTCTTGAATGAATGATTCAATGACTCAAAGATTTCACTTGTTTCATTAATTAAGCATTAATAAGCATTTCTGAACTTTTCTCTGAAGCAGGTGATTCAGTTACTTAGGTTTGTTTCATTACTGGATGAATCAGCATTTTCTAACTAATCTTAGCTATTCTCTTGAACAACACATGATTCAGTGACCAGGAATTATCATTGTTTCTTGGATCAATGTCTCACTTGAAAATTTTCACTTGTTTAATTACTTGATAAATATGCATTTCTGAACTTTTCTCTTAAACAGGGGATCCAGTTACTAGGACTTATTTTATGCCTGGATGAATCAATGTACGATTCAATCACTTGAACTTGTTTCATTACTGGATGAATCAGCATTTTTTTTTAACTATTCTCTTGGACAAATGACTCAGTGGCTAGTAGGACTTGTTTCATAAGTGAATGAATCTGTGTTTTTGACACAATAATTCAATGACTCATAAAGATTTCACTTGTATCATTACTGGACGAATCAGCATTTTTTTAATTATTCTCCTGAACGATTGATTCAGTGATTTCAGATCTCTTTGAATAGAGATCTTCTAGCAAGTTCTTTTGCAGCTCTGTTTTTTAGTATGAGTATGCCAGAAAGGTGGCTGGGTAGATTCATGCAAGAAGTCTGCTTGCAATTTGCCTGCATGCTTTTGTATGTTAATAAAAGCCTTGTGCTCACTTTAGAGCTGCATCTGCTCCGGCCATCAGATAGTAAAACACATTGAAGCTTGATTCTCCTTCTGGTCGTCTGGTCACTCTGAATTTCTCCAGAAGCATGGTCTGTAGATGAGAAAACAGAGATAAATATTCCAACTTTTTTTTCCTGCAATTTGATTGCAGCCATGCTGTACCCTACCTGAACAGATGCAGATGCCACCTGTCCTGCTTGGTCAAAGTCTAGAGAGACGATATGTGAGAAGCGACTGGCGTTCCCATTCATAGCCGTACTGCAGTTCCCAAAAGCCTCCAGAACTGTGTACACCGCCTGCCATTTCTCAGCTGTGGAGAGGAGACACAATGCTCTTTGAAAAACATCCAAGTTAGTGGAAAAATATTTCAAACTATGTGAAGTTTAATTTTAAACTAATTTCGAGAGGAGCATGTGCTCATGATTGACCCAGCTGGTCCACATTAGCTAATCATTATCCTCCAATCAAAGGATCCCAAGTCTCTATATTTATCCTCACTTACTTTCTACAACTATTTTCGTCTGGAAGAAACCCCCCTCCTCCCCTTCTTCCTCCTTTATCCAGAATGGGCGGCACGGTGGCCCAGTGACTAGCACTGTTGCCTCACAGCAAGAATACCCATAGCGTTGGGTCCTCGCTGAGCCATCTGGTATTTCTGTGCGGAGTTTGCATGTTCTCCCCGTGTCCGCGTGGGTTTCCCCCGGGTTCCCCGGTTTCCTTCCACCATCCAAATGTGCTCTATATTGTAGATAAAATAAGCCTAAACCTTTTTTATAATGTCTTACTCTCAGGAAGTTCGCCTTAGCCTCAGCAGCGGGGGAGTTTGAGATCGACCTGAGCTCAATCTCCCCTCGCCCTGCAATAGGGGGGAGCCCTGGGCTCGAGGATCCCTTGAGCTCAGGGCTCTCTCCTGGGACAGCAATCCAAACAAGCTATGTATAAATCATGAGCTAAGTGTGAACTCTTGAATAAGAATGTGTTTGTAATCTATATAAACGTGAAATAAATTAAATAGAATATAAATGCAATATGAAAAAACTAACCTTTAAAAAAAATTGCAAATTCTGCATGAAAAACGTCTAAAACGTAAAAAAAAATTATAAATTGCTAATTTGTAAAACAAAAAAGAGCTTATTAAGATAATAAGTAAAAATATTTTATATGAATAATACTTAACCTAAAACAGACGGACACATATTATTATTCTTATTATTATTATTGGTAGCACATTAAAACAATAGTCCATTCATTAATGTTAGGTAATGTACTTGCTAACATGAAAAAACGATTTGTAATGCATTTATTATGGTATTTATTAATCTTTATTAACACTAGTTAATGTTATTTAAGTTAAAAACCAGGTGTAAACCCCACCCCTTTCTCACCTGAGTACACCTTCCCACTGCTGGCTGCGATGGTGACCAGGTACTGCAGCAGGTGCTGGGTGTTGGTGGTCTTTCCGCTGCCGCTCCTGCCCAGCAGAACGATGGTCTGGTCCTGACGTGTGGTCAGCAGCTGATGATACGCTGACTGAGCGACAGCGAAAATGTGGGGAGCTGTTTCCTCTCTCCGGCAGCCCTTAAACATCTGCATCACCTGAAACCAACAAACTATGTCAATAATTTTGAGGTGAATTAAGCCTCATTCACATTACACACTTGGGTGGAAATTGAAATCTTTAGTGAGCGTTCTCACCTTGATTTCTGTCATGTATACAAACATAACTGAACGGAAATAATAATATTATTTATAAACTGACAGCTTTCGCTGAGGATGCCATCTTGTGGTCAGATGCGTAAATTAATTTCGGCGTGCTAACTTAGTGCTTTATGAGTGTTTTCTAGCTGTTAAGTGTACATGAGTTGTACACTCATGATTGAGTTGCATTGTGGGATTATTAAAGTGCACTTCAAAACATCCACTATGGTTTTAGACACCACTTCAAATGGCTGCTCCCTCAAATAATGTTTTATTTAAGGATATAGACCGTGATTTCTGATCACTCCTAGTTTCAGTTGTCTGTTAGGTATGTTGCCAGGGGTAATATTTTATGATGATATTTACTGACAGTTGCTGCTTTTCTTGTTGCAGAAAATAAACATTGTGGAGGTAAAACAGCAAATATAAATAGAATCAGTACATAAATTAGGGCTGCTCAATATATCGTTTCAGAATTGATATCGCAATGTGCGTATCTGCAATAGTCACATCACTGAATGTGCAATGTTGAGTTTATATTTTGGGATTACAGTTCTCCAGAGCCACAGTTTAGAACACAGAAGCGTTGTGCAGTCATTGTAGAGTTTAACTGTAATAGAGTGAAAGTTTATCATGTGCAGGTGTTTTTAAGACTCATGACTATGTACACATTCAAGCACAAGTGAGTTAGAAGTATTCAGGCACAAGCAATTGTGCCATTTGAAACTTTAATAACTTAATGACTTGAAACAGATCATGATTCTCCCCTGATTGTGAATAAAAACTTAACAAAAATAGCATTATTTACTGGAGGTTCTAGAAAGAATATTAATCGTTGCAACTAATTTGAATAACTTGTTTCATAAACGAATAAATCAGTGTTTTGATCCAGTAACTTTAATTAAGATGAATTGTATTGGATTAGGGCAAAGCAGTGGCGCAGTACTGTCACCTCACAGCAAGAAGGTCGCTGGTTCTAGCCTTGGCTCAGTTGGCTTTTCTGTGTGGAGTTTGCATGTTCTCCCTGCATTTGCGTGGGTTTCCTCCGGGTGGTCCGGTTTCCCCCACAGTCCAAAGACATGTGGTACAGGTAAATTGAGTAGGAAATTTGTCCGTAATATATGAGTGTGTGCGTGGATGAATTGCGGCTGGAAGGGCATCCGCTGCGCAAAAACTTGCTGGATAAGATGGCGGTTCATTCTGCTGTGGCGAGCCCAGATTAACAAAGGGACTAAAAAAATGAATGAGTGAATGTATTGGATTATTTATACACTCTCAGAAATAAAAGTATGCAAACTGTACCTCCGGTGGTACCTTTTCAAAAGATACACTTTTGTACCTAAAGGGTACAAAATTATGTGTTAGTACCGAAAAAATTTAAAGAGGAGCACTTTTGTACTTTTTAGGTACTAATATGTTCCCATAAGGTATTATAATGGACCTTTTAGGTACAAATTTGTACCTTTTGAAAAGGTACCACCCCAGTGGCAGTTTGAGTACCTTTATTTCTGAGAGTGTACAATGAAGACTTTAGTGTTAATTTCAATGAGATTTTTCAATTTCTACAGTTAGACTCCACAGAAAACCATAAAACACTGTATATTTCCCTTTTATCTTGAATTTTTTTCATATTTTATGATTCATTCACTTCCCTACTGCAGTGGCGGATTTAGGCATGGGCAATATCCGCCCAGGGCAGCATCTTGCTGGGGGTGGCACAAGGAGACAGTGACGAGGAGAAAAAAAACAAGCACCAGTAAAAGCTTTAAGATACTGTTAACTTCATGCAAGTATATTGATTAGGAGCATTAATCCCAGAATAAAGACGTTAGGGGCCATTCACATTTAGCGTCTTTTGCATGTGCAAGCTTGTTACTCTCTATGTGCAACCGAAACAACGCTGGTGAAATCAAACTGACGCATGCACGAAGGAAACCATTTCTGCACGCCTCACGCGTTGCTCTGCTCCTGGTGTGAATCCTGGTTGTTCACAGTCACGGCGATAAAATTCGGCCAGCAGTGGGCACTCAACCTTTGGTCTGTGTGGGTCCTAATGCCCCAGTATAGTGACGGGGACTCTATACTGCTCTGTGAGCGCCGTCTTTTGGATGAGACGTTAAACTGAGGTCCGACTCTCTGTGGTCGTTAAAAATCCCAGGATGAAAAAAAGTGTAGGGGTTTAACTTCGGCATCCTGGCCAAATCTGCCCACTGGCCTCTTTCCAGCTAGTGTGTGGTGTGTGGTCTGGCGCAAAATGGCTGCCGTCGCATCATCCAGGTGGATGCTACACACTGGTGGTAGATAAGGAGATTCCCCCATTGTGTAAAGCGCTTTGAGTGCCCAGAAAAGCGCTATATAAACGTAAGGAATTATTATTTATATTATTATTATTATTATTATTAAAAAACAAAGATAAACTAGAAAAAGCGTGTGTTCTGTCATTGCGGCTATTTATCGGCGTCAAACACTGATCTATGTATGTTTACAGCACAGAGAACACAACCCGCTGGTGTAGGAACTAAGATAGCGTCCGTGAGCTCTACTGATGCTATCGCTTAAGAAAGTCGGTCTTCATTTGTATAAAGTTAGAAGACTACTTTGCCGCATCTCATGACATGCCCGCTAATGGTTTCTAGCTCGCCATTGAAATGAATGGTCACTTGTCGCTTTAGATGTCATTCATAGTGTAAATAGGGCTTTAGAGACGCTGTGTGAAGTTCATACCTTCTCTGAGTACATGGCAGGGCTGCAGAGAGGATTGATTAACAGCAGGTTTGGCCCAGCGTATGTGTGAATGAGGTTTCCACCATAACGCTGACGTAGAGAGTGAAGGATACTAGATTCATTGAGGTACAGGAGAGACGAGAGATCCTCCACGCGATCATATGACAGAGGATTCGCCTTAAAGACAGAATGACAGAACAATAGACAGAAGATTTAAAATCACAGTGAGGTTAGTCAGAAGTTACTTTAAAATGTAATTAATTGCTAGACTGTAAAAAAAAAGTCTTGCTGCCTTCAATTTTTTTGTTGAATCAAAAAACTTCTAGTCATCTCAGCTTACATCAGTCAAACATAAAACTTAACTTTAGTTGAAACCTGTATAACTTATTAAAATGAGTTAAAGCAACATACAAATATTTGTTGTCTGACCTTTTTCTATTACATTTTTTACAGTGTAATTACAGTACATAATTAAAACTGTATTTCAAGAGTTCACACTTAGATACTGTTTGACAACTTGTTAGCAAGTTAGCAGGTTTGGCATGCTGGCCCGGGAGAGAACCTTGAGCTCGGAGATAGTTGAGCCCAGGGCTCCCGCCTAGTCCATAGAGCATGTGAGGGGAATACGAGATCAAGTGGTTCTCAAGAGCTCCCCTGGTAAAGGAGGAAAGGAGGAGAAGGGGTGGATGGGGGGTTTCTTCGGAAAACGAAGATAGGGAGTAGTTCTAGCTAGGCTACTTATAGTGAGTTTGAATCAATCTGATTGACTAACTAATGAATGTAGATAAGTGGCCAGCTGCAGTCAATCATATCACGTGCTGCTCTCGAAATCAGTTTGTGTAACTTCACTTAAATTAATTTGTCTGAAAAGTAACTTAATTACTTAATGAGCAATTTCATTACTTCACTCAATACTAAAAATCCACATGAATGTCAACGCATAGACAATGGTAACTCTTAATTATTTAAATTTGAGTCAAACAGGAGCATTTGGTTTGGTTTAAAAAAAATGTAAACAACATACACTCACCTGCAACTTTATTAGATACACCTTACTAGTACCGGGTTGGAACCCTTTTGCCTTCAGAGGCAAGGTACTGGAAATATTTCTCAGCTGCTGACATATATAATGCGAATCTCCTGTTCCACATCACAAAGGTGCTCTATTGGATTGAGATCTGGTGACTGAGTACAGTGAACACATTGTCATGTTCAAGAAACCAGTCTGAGATGATTCACGCCTTGATGACATGGCACATTATCCTGCTGGAAGTAGCCATCAGAAGATGGGTACACTGTGGTCATAAAGGGATGGACATGGTCAGTAATAATTCTCAGGTAGGCTGTGGCATTGACACGATACTCAATTGGTACAGTTTTGGTGAGCCTGTGCGAACTGTAGCCTCAGTTTCCTGTTGTTAACTAATAGGAGTGGCACCCGGTGTGGTCTTCTGCTGCTGTAGCCCATCCGCCTCAAGGTTGGACATGTTGTGCATTCAGTTACTGTCGCCTTTCTATCAGTTGGAACCAGTCTGGCCATTCTCTTCTGACCTCTGGAATCAACAAGGCATTTGCGCCCCCAGAACTGCCGCTCACTGGATATTTTCTTTTTCGGACCATTCTCTGGTCCCTCAAACACTAAAAATGGTTGTGCATGAAAATCCCAATAGATCAGCAGTTTCTGAAATACTCAGACCAGCCGGTCTGGCACCAACTATGCCACCTTTAAAGTCACTTAAATCACCTTTCTCCTCCATTCTGATGCTCGGTCTGATCTGCAGCAGATCATCTTGACCATGTCTACATCTCTAAATGCATTGAGTTGCTGCCATGTGATTGGCTGATTAGAAATTTAACAAGCAGATGGACAGGTGTACCTAATAAAGTGGCCAGTGAGTGTATGTATGAAAACACAAACCTTTTCAAATTAATAACACCATATTTCATATTTACAATACGCTAACTTAAATTGTTTTCTAAGCATGTACAATTGTCTGACAAATCGAAGCTTCGTTAGTTGAAGGTTAGTATGGAAAGTATCTAAATTACATATAGATACCCTGCTTCTCCTAACTGACTTAAATAGAACCGCTGAATGTATGTATGTATAGAATTTAGAGGCAGGTATATTATAAGTAACTAATTAAATTACCTAAAAAATGAAAAGTAATCTCTTTACTTTTTAAGCAGAAAATAATTTCATTACAGTAACTAATTGCTTTATAACTAATTACACCCAACACAAATCTTACTAAGCACAATTAAACATTTGTTCAAGGCTTTACATTAGGCAATCACCTTTTCCACATCATCCTCATCCACTTCCAGTAATGTCCCATCATGCTCTAGTCTGATTTTTACTTTCCCCTCTGGGAGAGATCCTGTGTCCGTCTTGAGCTGTGTAGCTATATAGACAAAATACATATTTATTTGCTTGAAATAGAATCGTAGCTCATGGGAATTCGACCATAATAGGTTGTTTAATGAACTACAAGTCTTCACTGACCCAATGAGAAGCCATCTTTATGGACGAGCCAGACTTTCTCAGTGTTGTACCAGGCCTTCTCTGCAGCCAGCTGCTCCTCGGTCTTCACCTGCAACAGATAGTTGAGTACAGATTTAAGAAATGCATGCAAAGATCTAAGATATAGATAACATATATGTCAAATGTGAAGCATCTGCCCACATCAAAACAACTAGAGCTATGTATAATACAAAGAAACCACACATTCAACCTGAAAATTATACTGCAGTGCAATGCACACCGTCAGGTTAAAATCTAAACCACAGCTACTGAAAAAGCAGTTCAAATTATCTGCACAAAACAAGGAAAAAGAAAACTGGAAAAATGAAATGCCACTTGTGCACACCAAAGTAGAATTTGCTGGGAAACATGCTTCTATTCATACTGGTAAGTTAATGAGATTCCTCTCATAGCACTATCATAATCTAGTAAGCGGTACACATTAGCAGAATTACACGCAGGCGATGCAGTGGCCAGACCTTAGACAGACAGGCAGCTTCATGTGCAGCCTGCAGGATAGCCACAGGGTCCTCGGCTGCCTTGGCCTACATTGAGCCGGAAAACCAAGTCAGAAAAAGTGACGAATATACAAACTCTCACCGGTAAAAAAAAAAAAAAACAACTGGCAAGGAGACCTGGTTTAATCAAAATTCTACTTGAACATTAGTAAAAAGTTAATGTAGACTGAAAATGATAGATGGATGGATGGATGGATGGATGGATAGACAGACAGACAGACAGACAGACACATAGATAGACAGATAGATAGATAGATAGATAGATAGATAGATAGATAGATAGATAGATAGATAGATAGATAGATAGATAGATAGATAGATAGATAGATAGATAGATAGATAGATAGATAGATAGATAGATAGATAGATAGATAGATAGATAGATAGATAGATAGATAGATAGATAGATAGATAGATAGATAGATAGATAGATAGACAGACAAATAGAAAGCAGAGGTTACAGGAGGTCTTTCTGCAGAGAAGTTCTGCTCCAGATGTTTGTGATTCTCTGGGGTGGGCATCACTTGAGACCCCTATGGAGGGAATCAAATAGGATCAGTGATTCTTGAGCAGACCTGACTGGGATCAGCAGTATTAAAATCTACTGGCCTACAAGTATAATGTAAAACCAGGACACAATACTATAATCAGTGAGAGATACAGTTGACATCAATGAGTCTGAATACATTCTAACTTCAGGCAAAACAATGTCTTATTGCTGAACACTCTGTCTTTATCCCTACTCACATGTCTTTGGATTTTGATACTATCCGTGAAACATTCACTATTCCGCAGTCCGAAATGAAAACTTATGGCAAACATAATCAAAATGTAGCAGTAGTAAAGTTTTGAGTTTTCGCGCTGATTGCCTCACCTGATTCAGAGCTCCTATTGGTTCTTGGTTTGACGCTTGTCGTAGCTCAGGAGTGTTTAAACTCAGTCCTGGAGGGCCGGTGTCCTGCAAAGTTTAGTTCCAACCTCAATTAGACTCACCTGGGATAGGTAATCAAGCTCTTACTAAGCTTTCTAGAAACATCCTTGCAGGTGTGTTGAGGCAAGCTGGACCTAAATTCTGCAGAACACCGGCCCTCCAGGAACGAGTTTGGACACCCCTGTCGTAGCTGAAGTCACACCGCGGGAAAGTGCTTGAAATCTTTTGACACTGCCAGAACGTCCTCACAGGGACATTTGATTGCAACGGCCTTTAAGATGCTACCGGTGAACATGTCAAACCAACAATGAAAGACCACAGATTTTACTCTAGGATTAGTCTCAGACAACCAAGCCATGGCTGCAGTGGCACAGTGTAAGCAGGACTTTACTCAAATACCTTGGGGGTTGCAGGACACACACCTGTTGGTTGGTGATGGTGGAAATCTGTGACGGAAGTTTACCAGCAGGAGCTGCAGAAGGTTTTGACACTCCCTTTACCTTCACACACATACCACTAGTCACTAGGCTTATATGTGAGAAGACATTTACATTTATTCATTTAGCAGATGCTTTTGTCCAAAATTGAGGATAAAAACACACTTCAAATCACCAGAGAATAGCAATATACAGATGCCATGGCAAATTTAAGTTAGTGTAGCAGCTTTTCCCCAAACTTGTGAGATGGAAACCAACAGATACAAGTTGTCCGCAATTGACATGATCAGTGCAAATGCAATGTTAGTCTGATATATAACCTACGCCTTAACCCAACAATTTTGCTGTTAAAACCAGAGATGTTGTGCCTTCAAAAATGTCACTTTCTCATCAGTTGTCATGCTGAATTATCGTAGCGATCCTCTGGTTTAATAGATAGCACTTCAATCCACTCCAAAGAGTTAAAGTAGTAGAGAAGTCAGAAGCCTTTATGCAAACAGTGAGAGATTAGTTCTGCAGTAAGACTGGGCTGCTGAGCAATTTCATGCGTTTCAAAAGCATTGAGAAAGACATGCAGTCTGTACCTCCGGCTTTCGTACAGCGACCATCCGGGACGCAGGAATAAACCCTGTGGGAGGTGCTAGTGGATCAACTTTAGGCTTGGGTATAAATCCTGGCACTGATGGAAACGGGTCTCGCTTCGGAGGGGGAAGAAATCCTGCTGGAGGTGCTAAAGGATCAGGTTTGGGCACAGATTGAGTGGAAAGGTTTGCTTTAGAAGCAGGATTAAATCCTGAGGGTGGTGTAGGATGATCAGGATTGGGTGTAGGTTGAGTGGAAGAGTTTGGTTTTGGGATAAAACCAGCAGGTGGAGCCAATAGATTGGGCTTGGCAGCTGGAATGAATCCAGCTGGAGGGGTAAGAGGATTCTGCTTAGGAGGTAAAAAGCCTACAGGAGGTGCAAGAGGGTCTGCTTTAGGAGGTGGACTGGTTGCTGGGACAGACAGTTGGGGTTCCTCTGTGGGTGTCTCACTTTCCCCAGTCCTTTCTTGGCTTTCCTCCTGAGTTTCTTTGCGTTCGGTAGCTCTCGAGCGGGAGCGATGTTCTTTACTTCTTGCACGCCCCATTAGGCTGGTCAACCCGAAAGCAAGAGCGTCTCCATCCACCGAGCTGCTGGCTTGCAGGGGCCGGCTAGTTTTGGGAACTGAAGTAGCTGTTGACTGCTTTTCCTCTGACCCTGTTTTATTCGCCAGATTGAGTCCTCTTCTTGCCAGTGTATCTGATTCCATGCTGCCTTGTCTTCCATTAATGGACCCACTGCTCCTCTGATCTATATTCATTGGCCGCTCTGGATTCAGCGGTGTTGATGGTTCCCCTCGCTGTCGCTCAGTTGGACCACTTACCGATGGTGTTGTCTGGGGTTGACTCGTGCTGTTCTCACTCTCTGACTGTTCATAAAACCCAAAACACACATGTACAGGTCAAAACAAAGTAAACATGCGCTAGCTGCTGGAACAAAAATATAAGAGTTCACATCACTCCTAACCTACAATAATACAAGGTTTACAATAGCTTTGGTAAAATTCCACAAGCAACAACCTTCCAAAGTTTCCTGAATTTCCCAAAAGGTGTCAGACGGGTTTCTGTTCTAAATATCAGAAGCTCTTCACTCTCTCCAGCACAGCAGCACTACTGAGTTCATCTGAAAAACACTTTGATTTGCTTTCTTCCACATGGCCAGGCACTTTGCAGTTCTTTTCTCAGCACAGTTAGACAGGTTAACTGACAAACCCAGTAATTAAGGTCACTGCAGCGCAGCGCTGGCTCAAAGCCCTGAAACACAACTCTACTGGATCAACCGCATGGACTTTTTGTACTCTCTCACACCATGCACAATTCAGAACCTTAAGTATTCCAAAGACCTCATAATCATTTCACACTTTAAAATGACAGTTTATAGTGCACATTTATTCTTAAGGTGCTAAGAACGAGCTCTTTTATGCAGACAGACCTTCATGTCTATCCTGAAGGTGATGATACTGGTGCTCTTCCAGCTGTGCACGCTGTTCTGCGGGATGCTGAAAGCAACAGCAGCACTCTGAGAGTGCTGGACAGGCCCCCAGTCCGATACCTCCATGATGACTTGCAACCCTCTCACACATTTGCTTCAGGCACATTCTTAGCTCAGCATCCTTCTCCTGCTCCTTCCCTCTCTTTCTTCCTCTACACTACAGCAGTGATTGGAGGACGAAAAGGGGCAGGGTGTGATGTCAGCAGGCTCCACCCACTAGAGTAGAGCAGCAGGACAGTGCCAAACAAACACCAACATACTATACCATCACTCTGACATAAACATGAACACTACAGTACGTTAACAACTGAACATTTGAGCATTCAGCACAAGTTCTGGAAGCCACTTTGTTTTGCCAATACCTATTAAAAGGCCACCTTTCAATCAATACTACTCCACAAATTCCTCTGGATTAAATAGGTGAAGAAATAGAAAGAAGAAATAGATGAACTACATACACACTAGGGCTGTGCAACATGACAATATATATATTGTGTGGACAAAATAAAAAGCCGTTAATTTTATATTATGTATATTTATATTGTGGTGTCACAAAATACATTGTTTACTTACTTTCATTATTTATAAAAGAGTACTACACACCATTACTGTGATTCAGGCAGCATTGTGAGAAAGTTACAAACTTAAAAAGTATAATGTTTACATTTAGCATTTTATTTAGCTTTTTTTTTTTTTTTTTATGTTGGACCTGACTAGGCATGGGCCGGATTCAGATTCTGACGGTATGATAACCTTGGATGAAAATATCACGGTTCCATGGTATCATGGTATTGTGCTCACTGCTCTAAAATATGTTGTTTTTAAAAGTCTAGGTAAAAAAACAACCACTTATTTCCCTTGAACACAATATATTTTATTTTTTGAAAGATTTATGATTTTTTTGAGCAGTATACATGTCAGGCTAAATAATTTAAATGGATCCATAGCTGCATCCCAAATCGCATACTTATGCACTATTTAGGCCGCATACTTACTACTTATGCCATTTTGTAGTATAAATAGTGTAAGTAGTGTGTTCACACTGAAAACTCTAAAAATCATAAGTGCACTTTAATTTCCCGGATGATGCACTCATTCAGCCGGTAAAATGAAGTGTGTAATGATGGACACTTCACGCACTCAACGACCGCAGGTTAGCTTACGTAGCGGAAGGGGCGGAGCAAAGCAAAAATTTTCCTATGAGAGTGATTATAGTGCCTCCCGATGGTGAATGTGGCAATACTCACGGCAGGTATTATTTGATAATTCGGTCGTTTATTTCACTGATTTGGCGTCCGTCAAACGTCATTAGGGAAACGGTTTGAATTTCCGCTTAATAAAAAAACAATAGTGTGCCATTTGGGACGACACTACATACATATACTATGCTGTTGAGTGTGTAAGTGCATGAGTACATAGTGCATGAGTGCATAGTGTATAGTGTGCCATTTGGGACGCAGCTCTTGACTTGACTGCTGTCTTTGTTAGTTTCAAAAACACAGATTTCTTTACAGTTTAAAACGGCATATTTGGATATTTTCTGCTGGAGATACTTTTGTCCTAAAAAAATAAAATAAATGTAAATTAAAAACTTACACATACCTTAGGAATGGAATTACAGAAAATTTTGGCAGTTTTAAAACCTTGACTTTTCCCAAACCGCCGTATACCCTAAAAACTTGCTTAGACCTGACATCATTTGTTTTTTTGTTTTTTTAATCAAACATTGCCCTGATGTTCTAAATAAAGTGAAATATGATCACATGCGATCCAGTAAATACTTTAAAATGTAAAAAAAAAAAATGAATAGAACTTTTCATCATGTGAAAAAATATTTTCAATTTGGATAGAAACCCCATAAATGACTAGTTAGACAGTTGCGCATAATATATAGTGAAAGATTAATTTATACGTGGGACTCACTGTATCGCAAATAAAGAGATAAACAAATGTTTTAAGGAATTTTACTCAAAGCTATACACCTCAGACACGGAGTTGGACTCACAAACAATGGAATCATTTCTACATAAATGTAATCTCCCCGAGTTATCTTCAGAGGACCGGGCATCTCTTAATAAAGACTTTACTTTAGAGCAGGGGTGTCCAAACACGGTCCTGGAGGGCTGGTGTCCTGCATATTTTAGTTCCAAGCCCAATTAAACACACCTGACCCAGGTAATCAAGCTCTTTCTAGGTATACTAGAAACTTTCAGGAAGGTGTGTTGAAAGAAGTTTGAGCAAAACTATGCAGGACACTGGCCCTCCAGGATCGAGTTTAGACACCCCTGCTTTAGAGGAATTAAAGATCACAATAAATACTTTAAAAACCGCTAAAACTTCCGGTCCCAATGGGCTGCCAGCTAAACTATATAAAAAAATTCAGCCACATACTTACTCCATATTTGTTTAAGGCTTTTTTCAGCAACTGTAAATAACTGGACTACCACCAACTTTTTCTGAGGCTATTATTACAGCATTTCTTTAAAAAGGTAAAAATCCTAAAGAAGTTGTGGCGTACAGACCCTTCTTAAGACCCATCTCCCTTCTCATTGTTGATAAAAAATATTATCTAAAACACTTGCTAATAGACTCTATAAATTAATTAATAAATTGGTTAATGTACAGTTGAAGTCAGAATTATTAGCCCCCTGAATTATTAGCCCCCCTGTTTATTTTTTTCCACAATTTCTGTTTAACGGAGAGATTTTTTTCAACACGTTGATTTTTTAAACATTATAGCTCATCTCTAATAACTGATTTATTTTATCTTTGCCATGATGACGGTTAATAATATTTAACCAGATATTTTTCAAGACACTTCTATACAGCTTAAAGTGGCATATAAAGGCTTAACTAGGTTAATTAGGGTAACTAGGCAGGTTAGAGTAAATTAAGCAAGTTATCCGAGTGGAGTGAGGTTACTTGTTTGCTGTCCTTGATTTGGGAGATGAGTTTATAACTTGGATAAGAATTTTGTTCAGTAGTCCATTAGCATGCGTTTCAATAAATAGAACAATTTCAGACTCTTTTTACCTTAAACTCCCTTTAGATATTCTTTATCTACATGTAGATTCTGATGTAGCACTTATTATATTAGCGCATTCTGACAAATTCACTGAGCTGTGCATAACAGAGATTTCTTACATATTGTTTGATAACAGCAAAAAAGCTACTATTATTGCACTGGAAAAATGTTAATCCTTCAACTGCTAAACTATAGCTTTAAGAATTGATATCTACTTTGCACTTGGAATGAGTTAGATGTCTTTTAAAAGGCAACATTGGACAATTTCACAAGATTTAGGGCCCTTTCTTCTGTCCCTTAATGGGGAATTATTTTCCCCAAAGGAACATATTGTAACTAAAAAGTAGTTTTGATTATCGCTGTATTGTATACTTATAGACTGGGGTTGGGGTGTTTATTATTTTGGGATGAAAATTAATCCCGGAATTTGTGAAATAAACTATTAATGAACTGAATTTACATAAATGGTACTGTAACGTGATATCAGGATATGACTGAAGAGATGTTTGTCATATCGCCCAGCCCTATTTCAAACAATTCAATTGTTAGTTAGTTTAGTTCAGTTCAGTGTGGTTTAATTTTCACTCCTAAAAGTCTAAACACTGAAGAGCAAATCCATTGATTTGCAGCTTCACAAGTCCCAAAACTAAGCAAGCCAGTGGTGACAGCAATTACAGACAAAGTACAGCAATTACAGAGAAAATGCAAGGCCGGAAGCCAACAGCTTTCGTAAAAGATAAAGGCTTTTCAAAACAAACCCCATCTTTAGCAACTCCCGATGATATATGTGAAGTAAACACACAAGGATGTGTTTTCAAGTGAACCCCAGCCACAATAACAAATGCTGAGTGCTAAGAGATGTGAGCTCATCTGATCTCTGAACAGGCACCCTTCTGAACTCAGAGTCATGCAGTAATGAAGATGCCGCTTAAACACTTACACTCGAGCCTTTAGCACCCGGTACGTTTTCATCTTTCACCTGAAGTGAGGAAGATGAACACAGTGGTAAAGTTAATGTTGTTCTGGATGTAGCATATAACCATATTTTCTCTCTCTTATCCCAATCTACACTTTGTTGACTCATAGATTCTCATAGAGATGTAGTTCAGATATTATTTCTCTGTAAGAATAAAGCTTAACATCTGCCTTTTTTCAGCTACAGTGGGGAAAATAAGTATTGAGCATGTCATGTTTTTTTTTTCCTGGGAATAATATTTCTAAAGGAGCTGTTGATACGAGATTGAACCAGATTTTGGTAAAAAAAAAAAAAAAAAAACATTTTAAGTGATAACAATTGTATGACACAAGAAAAAAATACTGAAATGTGTATAATACTAATGACTTTTTGGTGGTGGCAACTTAAAGACACCTCTCAGATGAAGAATGAAGTCACATGGAATGCTCAGGTGTGATTTTTATCACAGACTTCAACAGAGTGTAAAAATCTTGATGGTTCTGTGGGTCTCTTGTCAAATTTATTTTGTATTTTCTATTGGTCAAGTGATTGGCTGGGCCATTCTACAGCTTGTTTTTTTTTCTCTGAAAGCATTTGAGAGTTTCCTTGGCTGTGTTTTGGATCATTGTCTTGCTGAAATGTCCATCCTGATTTCATCTCCATCCTCCTGCTAATGTAGATGTTGGACTGAAGCAGCTGATATTCATTTACGATGAGGAAGGGCAGAGGGTTGCTGAAGAACTACTGAGAGATTTCAGTTGCTGTCTGGGCTTTCACTGCCTTTTTACACCTCCCTTTCTTCATGTGTTCAATACTTTTCTTTGCGTCGTATTATTTTTATTACACAACTTCACTTGTAAACTAATTAGATTTGTTTTCATTGCATGTATGGATTTCTTTGGTTGGTACTAACATCCGCGGAAAATTTCAAGTCAACGGCACCTTATGTTGTTGAGAAAAATAGTGATGTGCTCAATACTTATTTTCCAAGCTGTACTAAAAACTAAGCTTCAAATACACAGCAGACCAACGCTAACTAGAAAATTAAAGGGATAGTTCACTCAAAACTGAAAGTTCTGTCATCGTTTACTCACCCTTTTCCTCTTTCAAACCTGTTTGACGTTCTTCTGTTTAGAAGAACTTCACTTTAGAAGCACTTTAGCAACAAGACCAGCAGCGTGTAAGTACATTTAGACTTGTTTTCAGTGTTTGTGTATGGTTCTAGCTGTTATCAGCTGTTTGTGATCCCCCCCCCCTCCCCCCCTTGATTTGTATAGCGCTTTTACAATGTAGATTGTGTCAAAGCAGCTTCACATAAATGGTCATAGTAACTGGATCAGGGTAGTTCAGTTTTTAGTGTTTAAGTTCAGTTCAGTTTAGCTCAGTTCAGTGTGGTTTGAAGTCATTACTAAGAGTCCAAACACTGAAGAGCAAATCTGTCGATGAAATCCATTTAGACTTGTTTTCAGCTGTTTGTGTGTGGTTCTAGGACATTTAAACTTGTTTTCAGTTGTCTGTGTTTGCTACTAGAAAGTTTACTCACTGTTTTCTAGGTTACTGTAAGAGCTTGTGTGTCGATCGCGGACGGTTTCGCGCCCCCCGCCTCAGTTTTTGGTGTTTTTACTCTCGAGGCATGTCCAAGCGCCAGGTAAAGAGTATATTCAGCATAGTAGGTTGAATTAGAAGGAGAAGCACTTTAGCAACAAGACCAGCCGCAAAAAATAAAAGTAAATAAATAAATAAATTACTAATGTTTTGCTTCTTACACTTTACATACCTGAAACTTGCCTACAGCACTTATTCATTGTTGCTCTTATAGTTGTATAAATTGCTTCCTTGTCCTCATTTGTAAGTCGCTTTGGATAAAAGCGTCTGCTTAATGACTAAATGTAAATGTAACACATAAGAAAACTGTTTAAAATAGTGTAGAATTTTTGAAAAAAGCTGGAAAGCACTGACTTCCATAGTATTTGTGGAAAGTCGATGGAAAGTTTTCAGCTTTCTTCAGAATATCTTCTTTAGTGGTGAAGTTTGAAACCACTTGAGGGAGAATAAATAGTGGGTCTTTTTGTTTTTGGGTAAACTATCCCTTTAAGTACTTAAGGACTCTTTTAAGACAAAGCAGGAGTTTTCAAGGTAATAGGAACTGGTTTGATTTCACCTGTCCTGCACACACGATAAGTTCATGAGCAAACAGCATGAAACTGTACTTCCCTTTTTCTCCCAAAATGAGAAACGAGACGAGAAGGCCATGGAGAAACCAACAGTTCAGGATAGGGCAGGAGAAGAAAGGAAAGGGGAACAGAGGAGGGCTGGATCCGAGAAGGGGAATAATTCAAGATCAGTGACAGTGAGGGTAGTTTTCTCAGGTGAAGTTTTGGGGGTACTAGGACCCTGTGGTGAACGGGTAAAATGTGTAGCTACAAAAGAAGAGAGATGGATAAGCATCAAAAGATTAAGCAGAATCATTAACATAGACTTACAGCATAACACTCGCTTAGCCAAACAAAAACGCGATCAGTTATCGTCTTTACATTGCCAATTTGGAACTTGTCAACCTAAAAATGACAATTCTGTTATTGTTTATGTGTTTGTCAGTCTCATGATGTTCAAAACTCATGATTTTTATTGTATTATGTTTTATCCTTGTTCTTTCTTCATTTTTAAGTATATGAATGACAACTTGAGCTGTCTCTAAAATGACAAGAGAAATTAGTTTTGATGATTCATGCAATATCCCAAACTTCCTGAAAATCCAAGTTGTTATTTAAGTAAATGATGACAGAAGTACAAAAATAGATCCAAATAGAGTCCATGTGAATCAAACTCTTCACTAACTAAACAAAAATAATGCAAACTAGTAACACAGAAACAAGTCAGTCTGAAAGTGAAGGTGCAGTTTCAGGCAACAGCACTGAGCTTTCATGATACACCAGAACATTGACTATAAATAGAGCACATGAGAAGAGGCCACAATTTTAAGTAACAAGCACACACACAGGCTGTCCGGCAAGCTTTAAATCTTGATTCTTATACCTGTCACACAGAAAGTAGACGCACTGTATTGCCTCTGTTAGGTTAAGCAGGTGATCAAGTAGAGATCCATGAGCAGACGTCTTGAGTGGAGTTCAACGTGGGACAGGACATTACGACAGAGACGTCGAGCATGGGTTTAGCATCGAGAGGGGAGGGGATAGCAGCTGTTGCAGGGCACCAGAGATATAAATAACCATGTAGACCCCAGAAACTCCCTGGCCACACATACAGAGACACATATGTAAACATAAACATAACAAACTGGATTCAATCAGCTTTACTGTTCTTTCAGAAAATCCAGGCAAACTCAATTCACAAACTTATTCAACCAAGACGACATGTTCAAATCCTACCACAAGAGGGCGACAACATGTGCATATTAAAACACTGCTCTTCCTCGTAGATCCACCAGAGGGAGATGTTGTGCACACTTCACAATGAGCTCATAACTTTTGGCCTGAGTTAACTAGCATTTGAGCAAACCTCCAACACTAAGTATTATAAGCTTTGCTAGGTAACTATCCAAACACTGTCCCATGATATCTAGGGATACCTTTTCACCACTGAAACACCCCACAGAGACATTTAATACATGCTAGAAATCTCTTTAGCACTACATCTTGGTATGAAGTGATGAAGCTAAGCTATTTTTGATAGCAGCTGGAAACTAAACATTACAGGTAACAGGTCATGCTGTTAAATGCATCAAACAAACTTTACAGAGCTGCAATGAGAATACATGATTGGTCAAGCTGTGCTGTGCTATAAAGTTGAAGAATGCCATTGTTATATATTAGTACTTCTCTCAAATAAACCAATACTAGAAACTTTCAAGTGTTTTTTGAGTAGATATAGGAACAAAGTTATAGAAAATAGCCACCGTGATCAGTTCCCCACTAAATTACTTCCCCCAGGACTATATCCTGGGTGCATTCACATCATTACTAGGAACTCTGAAGTGATATAAGATGACAAAAAGCAACATGAAGTGCTGCACTGAACAAAATACACAACTGGAGGTTGTGTGTTGATTGTTTTTGTGGTAACAGAGATGGAATGCAAACGAATGAGTAAAAAAATGTAGGACTAAATCAACTTGTAGAGCTAAATATCACTGAGCAACAGGTAAATACCACAAGGTAAATTAATGTATATGCCTTGTAACACTTTAAAATACTGGGCCGGTGTTTATTGCAGCATGCATTCATCCAGTTAATGGACATTTAATAATAATAATAATAATTAAATTTCCTTACATTTACTTTTCTGGACACTCAAAGTGCTTTACGCATTTTTTGGGGGGATCTCCTCATCCATCACCAGTGTGCAGCATCCATCTGGATGACACGAAAGCAGCCATATTCGATCAGACCGCACACCACACACCAGCTGAGTGAGTGATGAAGCCAATTATGATGTGGGGAAGTTTAGGAGGCCATGATGGACAGAGGCCAGTGGGCAAATTTGGCCAGGATGCCGGAGTTAAACCCCTACTATTTTTCGAAGGACATCCTGCGATTTTTAATGACCACAGAGAGTCAGGACCTCGGTTTAACATCTCATCCAAAAGACGGTGATCACTGAGCAGTATAGAGTCCCCATCACTATACTAGGTTATTAGGACCCACACAGACCACAGGTTGAGCACCCCTGCTGACCTCACTAACACCACTTAAGGCGGCAAAATAGCTTTTCCATGTGGCATACAGGAGTACCCATTTACCCCACTGTAGTTTCTTTTGTGTTGGATTAGAGCCTGCACTGAAGTAGGAACTAATTTAGTTCTCCCTAATGGCAGTCCTGAACTAAAACCATTATCAGTCCCTGTAGTGTATTGAATTGAATAGTGAATATGCAAAACAAATCTAGTATTTAGCCCAATAATTCTACAGTATGTGAAGAAATTCCTCCAGTGGGAGAGCCTGTATATGATTTTAAGTCTGTGTGACATCCAAATGTACAATGTTTATTTTGCAAACACGTATATTTTGTTAAACCACTGTTTTGGTAATCTTCAATCAAAGTCTGATCATTTACTTCAGTGTTTGGAGTGGTGGTCCTGACATCTGTTCAGTCACAATATTTTTACGACCCACATACTGTTACTTCGTTATGAGGGAATAATGCAAAAAAAAAAGCTCCGCCCCCTACTCAATATTCCATTTTAGCTGGAGGTACGTCAACATGCACAGTAAATAAAATGCAAAGTGAATTGAACATAAAACCAGCCAAGGCTCATTCTGAAAACATTTCTGAAGACCCCGAAATATGTACCGGGTGCTACGTATTTTTTGCAGTTTTTGTTTTTGTGAATCTGCGAGAGGCTGCTGTAAGCGCTTTTTCACATTTCATGTCACTTGCCACTTGTAAGTGCTGTTCGTCCCCGCGCTGTTCTCACGTATACCCACCAAGCCGTTGTCGACCAACTGAATGACTAAATGATTGACTGAGCGACCGGCCAATCTACTGACCCACCCTCTTCCATACCTAAACCCAACCAATTTTACCGATTGACCCGCCCACTTGCTTACTTCCCTAAACCCAACCGACAATTTACAAAAGCCATCCAGAAAAAGAAAAGCCCTCGTTTGATTTTTACCATGTTTTTCGGATTTTACTACATTCTCACCCTGTTATTCACTCGCTGGTTTTATTTTTTGGATTCTGTTTTTGTTTTACCTGATTTTTTTCCCCTGACTCAAACCCGGTCGTCATTGTGGTCAACTCCTCGCTGCATCTCAAGCCCGTCGACATAAACGATGAGCTAACTGGACAAACTGGTAGCGGTGGGAAAGCCCTCCTCATGGAGGGAAGCGGTCAGCCGGTAAGCGCCAACAGAACGGCGTCATACCGTCCCGTATCAATCACTTTCAAAAAATGAAATGCAGCCATATGTACCTCCAGCTACATCATTCGTGGTCTCCAGAAACGTCCGCGGGACTACATTTTCAGAATGAGCCTGTTTTGCATAAAACAATTAAGTCGTCCCAAAAACATCTCAAGAATTGTGTTGTTTCAGCTGATTTTAAATAAGTAGTTTGAACAAGCAGCAGAGCGCACTGAAATAAGTCTCAGCAACTTCCGGTCCATGCAATCTTTACCCAACCCTGCACATAACAATATTGGTGATTGATTGGCTAACACATACACACACTATGTAAGGGTTTACAGTTTGATAGGGTTGTAGACCAGGCTAGGCCTGTCATATCATATCATATCATATCAATGCTTCAAAATAGAACACAAACAGGCTGGAGTTGTCTATGGAGGACGCGGTGGGCTCCTTAATCTGATTAGCTCCTTTGTGCAGATGGATCTCTTGTCTCTCTGTGTGGTCCCTGTCGAAAATCCTGATGGATCAGTGAGTTTTCACATCTTATCGGCTGTTTTCACTGAAAGCAACGCTTTTGCATTCTGTCGACATTATTCAGGAGTTTGATGCTCTGAATGAAAGACTGATGTGAACTTTATCAAGCATTATTTCATTTCTCAACTATAGTAACTGATCACAGTACATATAAACACAGGAGTGGACTAAGTAGCATACATCACTTACTTACACACTGACATTTAAAAGATTAACTTGGTTAATTAGGTTAAATATCATTGTATAACGATAGTTAGTTCTGTAGAAAATATAGCTGAAGGGGGCTAATAATATTGACCATAAAATGCTTTTAAAATATTAAAAACTGCTTTTATTCTAGCCGAAATAAAACAAATAAGACTTCCTTCAGAAGAAAATATATTATAGGAAATACTGTGAAAAATTCCTTGCTCTGTTATACATCATTTGGGAAATATCTGAACTATATATATATATATATATATATATATATATATATATATATATATATTGTTCAAATATTTCCCGACTATATTTGAAGAAGTTTCTCCAGTGGGAAAGCTTGTTGTCTCTGTCTTTTGATCTTATTTATATGAATAAGTTTGACTTCAGCTGTGTATATACATTTATGCATCAAAACTTGCACTTACACACACTTCTAAACACATTTAAATGTGACACTAAATCATTAATAGAATGGAGAAAGGTGAGGATTGTCTAACATGCACATAATGGCACATGGTGGGAGGTCTAAAGACTAAAGTTCCTCCCAGAAGCCTGTTCATTGCTATGTTAATGAAGCATGGCACCTCCTTCTTTCAAAGCCTGATTATTCTTAGTCTTGCTAATCCAATGTTTGATAGTACCATGAGCTAACGAAGAGGAAAACCATCAATTTTATCCATTTTAAATATGAATTTGCTGCATATTGAAATATAAGATAGGCTATACATAAGGGATTTTCAAAAATCTAGGATAAAAGCATATAGCATGGAGAAGATTATCATAGCGCGAGTTGATCTTTGAGGGGAATCCAGGACATGGTCTTTAGCACAGTATGGTCAGTCTTTTTCAGTTGCAATTTATTTTACCTTTTCTATTGCGCACAAACACTGAAAACATAGGGGACTGTAGAAGAGGAGGTGGAAACATTCTTATACAGGCCAAACTATAGGTTGCTTTAAACACCTGCTACACGTAGATGCAAACATAAAAACAGATGCTTTTCTCATTCAGAAGCATCCAGAGGGCACAAGGTCTGCAGGCAGATACCAACAGCATGTATAATCTTGTTGCATCTCTCTATAAAGTAATTGGCAAAAAATGTATGTTATGGAAAAGTACCCTTATGATGTAAGAATACAAGCCTCAAGCTAATTATAGGTAGCAATATCTTTATAAAGAGTCAAATTTAACAGTAATTAATTCAATTGCATATTTAATTATTTGAATTAGCAGATAAAAAATAATTGTTGATTAAAGTGCTTCATAAAGTCAGAAAAAAAACTAATAAATAATATAAAACAAAAAACACTGTACACTGTAAAAAAAACTGTTATTTTACGGAATTTTACTTTTTTTATTTAACTTTTTTTTCACATTATTCTGAAATACGGTTAAAAATCGTAAAATAACAGGAAAATGCTGTAAATGTACATATCCACTGTTAAACCACATGAAAAACATGTCACTGTCTTAACTAGAAGTAAACGCCATACAGGTGTGTGTTAAGCATTGATTTATAAAGACCAATAGTTTGAGCACTTATATAAGTGGGCAAGCTGTCCATGAATTTGGAGA